TTAATCAGTTCAACCAAAGGACTGCTGACACAATCTGCTGATTATAATCATCACGTGTGGGGGATGGTTTTGTAAGTGGAGCCGTTGGTCGTGTTTATTGCCTCGTTTAGTGCATATTTTGAATCTGTTAGACATGATTATCGTAAACGGTTTGTCCAAATTGCTTTTGTTTATTGTCGCAACATGCGTGCGATGGTTATTTAGCTCTTGACCAAGGTTATCGTGTGTCAGTGTATGTAAGGGTATATCGCTTGTTCAAAGTTCGATCGTCGCTATATGGCTGAAATAGTGCCGATGCAACGTTAAATTGAAACTCACTCACTCACTCACTCACCCAAACTCACCCAAACTCACTAACTCACCAGCACCATACCCGTGCTCGAGGGTTTCACCAATACAATATATAATTCAAATATAGTTTGCAGGGCCCCCTGGTGGTAGAAAATCCAAGATGGCCGCCAGCGACCAATTCAGTCACTTCACCTCACCTCACCGCACCTCACCTCACCTCACCTTACCTCACCTCACCTCACCTCACCTTAACCCAATCGCGTTTTACATCTTGATCAATTACATTTGATCACAGGGGAAAACATTATATTGTCATACAGCCACTTTTACGTGAATACGTTTACAAAATGTACACACAGATTTACGTAATTTATAAGCATAAGGAAATCTAAATTTAGAAGTTAAATCATTAAAGTAAAACATTATCGTCTAGCACAGCTGGCGCACTGACGTCACACTATAAAGGCATGATTAGATAATACAGAGAGACAGCTTGGCCTGTCCTTTGTGACGGTGCCCGTCATTTATTAAGGATTGATGACTGACGCAAAAAGCATCTTCCCGAGGCAAGGAGTTAACTGACTTTAAAAGCCAAGTTTCCACCCTTGCCGAACTAGGCTGGAATTCCTGGTCTCGAACGTAGCGCCACCAGTGGCGAGTTATGTCCTTTCTGTGCCTCTCCTACTGACCAATCAGATTCAACCTCTCGTATCACTTGCATTTGCTTCAAACAAAACGGTGGCGCCAAGTCAAGACGATCTGATCGATAATCAAGATCTATATTGTGATAAAACGAGTCTTACATCGCGAAGTGCATCAAATCACGTGAGCACCTTGATTAAAAACATGAAAAGATTTAGAAAATATTCGTTGACAACGAGTTAGCGGTGCACATGTTTTGCAAATGCTGCAGTCGACCGAAATCTGCATGCCACTTTACGAACCGGATATCGATTTCGTTGCGCGATTTTGATTGGACTATGCATAGACTCGTTAGCCCAGCCAAAATGTAACTCCATAATACCAGCCTAGTTCGGCATGGGTGGAAACTGGACTTTTATAGTCAGTTAACTCACTTGCCTCGGGAAGATGCGCAAAAAGCGACATGCGACCTGTCTTGCATGTGTCTCAGCTTCATAATAGATAGCGACATGGTGGAGTGGCTCGATCCTATTCGCCATGCTTGTGGTTTTGACACAGAGCTCCATCCATGGTACGACCCAACATATGTAGAGGGCGTCATGAAAAATTATATATACAATTTTTTTTTGAATAGATCTCAATACAGCCTCAGATCCAGACCAAACAGAGCTTATCTTGTCCTTTTTGATAATCCAATGAATTTATATATGATTGAATTCTCTGTCCCTTTTGACACTAATGTGATTGACAAGATTCAGGAAAAACATAACAAATATGCGGACCTCGCTTACGAAATGTCACGCTTGCATCCCAAGTACCAAGTTGTCCGACTCCCCGTTGTTCTCGGTGCCTTAGGTTTGGTACTTCCCAATCTGTTGACTGAAATTGGGCGAGTACCCGGGTTTGCTACCAGGAATACAGCCCTTCTGACAATCGGCATAATGCAGAAGGCTGCAGTGTTGGGGAGTTCTCGGAAAAGTTCTGGGTAGGTTTGACTAGGCAGCGCTTCCTGGGAGAAGTCCCATTCGCTGTCTGGGCTGCGTGTAGAGGGGGCAAGGGCCCTGAGCTGATGATGAGCCTAACCAGCCTGACTGTGCCAGGATCACCAAAACCCTCTCTGCTGCGACGACGACGATGATGATGATGATGGTGATGATGATGATGATTAAACATTAAAAAAAAAACTTCTGGTGACAAGATATATATGCGTCTTCTGTTTATTTATGCGGTAGTCACTGTTCGCTATCACATAGCTACGAAACAGAACTCAGATGCTAAGTTTTGAACCAACATTCACAATAGATTACAACAACATAGTTTGAACGTCACTGTGACTTGAACTCTTTGCGTCCTGTGCCTTGACCTTGACCTTGACCTAGACCTAGACCTTGACCTAGACCTTCTACTGTTCTGCAACTTTGACGGTTTTGTCCTTCCGAAGGTCAACAAAATTTTTGCCCGTAACGTCGGTGAAGTTGCTGTTGCAGTCTCGGATGGCGCTGTTTGGAACCTGAAACACACCCATCACGACATGAATTCTCCACCTACGATATAGAGATTGTTGTTTGTTGTAACGCTATTTGAACACTATTCCAGTTATATGACGGCGTGTCAGCTTTATGTGGGAGGAAAGCCCGAAGTGATGCAGATCTAAGACGTTTAGCACTTTGGTGAAACCCACGAGCACGGACATAGCGGTGACAAGAAGAAAAAAGACAAAAATGATCATCGCCAGAGAATAACCAGTCTTGATTATCTGCCGAAACAGATTCCATAGACGCAAAAAGTGATTAAAGTATGTGTAAAATTCAGTGATGACACGAGGTGTTCGCAAAAAGAGTTAGCCTGTCCTACTCTACCTGTAGCACCCGCCACACAATTTGCTTGGAAAGGTAAGTGTCTGTTTCCTAACTAAGTAATCCCTGCTAATAGCAAAGCCCATTGTAAGATGTCGACTTCATGTATATCCCAAGCATATGTTTATAAACTACAATCAAATAGTGACAGGACGAGGTGTTCGCTCAAATATGAGTGTATCCCGCCTCATCGGTGGCACCCGTCACATACACATGCAAAGGCAAGTCAAGTGTTCATCTGAAAAAACACGTGACCATTTTACAAACCAACTGCTGCGCCTCTTAGTGAGTGAGTGAGCGAGTGAGTATGGTTTTGCGCCGCTTTTAGCAGTATTCCAACAATATCACGGCGGGGGACACCGGAAAATGGGCTTCACAAATTTAACCCATGTCGGAAATCGGACCGGGCCTTCGACGTGATGCGCCTCTTAGAGATGGGGTAGGGTGCAGGCAGCGTTGATGCGACAGCGCCAGGCGATCAGCAACTGTCAAGTACTTCCTTGCGCAGCTTAGAATACCTTGGGTACTCGTGTTCATACTTTGTTCAACTTAGTGTACTGTGGGTACTCGTGTTCATACCTTGTTCAGTTTAGTGTACTGTGGGTACTCGTGTTCATACCTTGTTCAGCTTAGTGTACTGTGGGTACTCGTGTTCATACCTTGTTCAGCTTAGTGTACTGTGGGTACCCGTGTTCATACCTTGTTCAGCTTAGTGTACTGTGGGTACTCGTGTTCATACCTTGTTCAGCTTAGTGTACTGTGGGTACTCGTGTTCATACCTTGTTCAGCTTAGTGTACTGTGGGTACCCGTGTTCATACCTTGTTCAGCTTAGTGTACTGTGGGTACTCGTGTTCATACCTTGTTCAGTTTAGTGTACTGCGGGTACTCGTGTTCATACCTTGTTCAGCTTAGTGTACTGTGGGTACTCGTGTTCATACCTTGTTCAGCTTAGTGTACTGTGGGTACTCGTGTTCATACCTTGTTCAATTTAATATACGGCGGGTACTTGTGTCATACCTTGTTCAGTTGTGTAAACTGTGGGTACTCGTTTTCATACCTTATTTAGTTTGGTGTACTGCGGGTACCCGTGTTCATACCTTGTTCAGTTTAGTGTACTGCGGGTACCCGTGTTCATACCTTGTTCAGCTTAGTGTACTGCGGGTACTCGCGTTCATACCTTAATCAGTTTGGTGTACTGCGGGTACTCGCGTTCATACCTTGTTCAGTTTGGTGTACTGCGGGTACTCGTGTTCATACCTTGTTCAGTTTAGTGTACTGCGGGTACCCGTGTTCATACCTTGTTAAGCTTAGTGTACTGCGGGTATTGGTGTCATACCTTGTTTAGTTTAGTGTACTGTGGGTACTCGTGTTCATACTTTGTTCAGCTTAGTATACTGCGGGTACTCGTGTTCATACTTTGTTAAGCTTAGTATACTGTAGGTACTCGTGTTCATACCTTGTTCAGTTAGTGTACTGTGGGTACTCGTGTTCATACTTTGTTCAGCTTAGTATGCTGCGGGTACTCGTGTTCATACCTTGTTCAGCTTAGTGTGCTGTGGGTACTCGTGTTCATACTTTGTTCAGCTTAGTACACTGCGGGTACTCGTGTTCATACCTTGTTCAGATAGTGTACTGTGGGTACTCGTGTTCATACCTTGTTCAGATAGTGTACTGTGGGTACTTGTGTTCATACCTTGTTCAGCTTAGTGTACTGTGGGTACTCGTGTTCATACCTTGTTCAGCTTAGTGTACTGTGGGTACTCGTGTTCATACCTTGTTCAGTTTAGTGTACTGCGAGCACTCGTGTTCATACCTTGTTCAGTTTAGTGTACTGCGGGCACTCGTGTTCATACCTTGTTCAGTTTAGTATACTGCGGGTACTCGTGTTCAAACCCTTGTTCAGCTTAGTGTACTGCGGGTACCCGTGTTCATACCTTGTTCAGCTTAGTGTACTGCGGGTACCCGTGTTCATACCTTGTTCAGTTTAGTGTACTGCAGGTACCCGTGTTCATACCTTGTTCAGCTTAGAGTACTGCGGGTACTTGTGTCATACCTTGTTCAGCTTAGTGTACTGCGGGTACTCGTGTTCATACCTTGTTCAGCTTAGTGTGTTCTGCGGGTACCCGTGTTCATACCTTGTTCAGATAGTGTACTGTGGGTACTCGTGTTCATACCTTGTTCAGATAGTGTACTGTCGGTACTTGTGTTCATACCTTGTTCAGCTTAGTGTACTGTGGGTACTCGTGTTCATACCTTGTTCAGCTTAGTGTACTGCGGGTACCCCTGTTCATACCTTGTTCAGTTTAGTGTACTGCGGGTACCCGTGTTCATACCTTGTTCAGCTTAGAGTACTGCGGGTACTTGTGTCATACCTTGTTCAGCTTAGTGTACTGTGGGTACTCGTGTTCATACCTTGTTCAGCTTAGTGTACTGCGGGTACTCGTGTTCATACCTTGTTCAGCTTAGTGTACTGTGGGTACTCGTGTTCATACCTTGTTCAGTTTAGTGTACTGTGGGTACTCGTGTTCATACCTTGTTCAGCTTAGTGTACTGCGAGTACTCGTGTTCATACCTTGTTCAGCTTAGTGTACTGTGGGTACTTGTGTCATACCTTGTTCAGCTTAGTGTACTGCGGGTACTCGTGTTCATACCTTGTTCAGCTTAGAGTACTGCGGGTACTTGTGTCATACCTTGTTCAGCTTAGTGTACTGTGGGTACTCGTGTTCATACCTTGTTCAGCTTAGTGTACTGCGGGTACTCGTGTTCATACCTTGTTCAGCTTAGTGTACTGCGGGTACTCGTGTTCATACCTTGTTCAGTTTAGTGTACTGCGGGTACTCGTGTTCATACCTTGTTCAGCTTAGTGTACTGCGGGTACTCGTGTTCATACCTTGTTCAGCTTAATGTACTGTGGGTACTTTTGTCATACCTTGTTCAGCTTAGTGTACTGCGGGTACTCGTGTTCATACACCGGGTTGTTGGTGGCCTTGTTGAAGGCACAGATGAGCACCCAGCGTCTCATGTTGCTGTTGTTGATGCCGCTGCTGTGTAGAAGGTTGCAGTGGAAGAAGAGGGCGTCACCTAGAAATAACGCACACATGTAAAACACCCCGTTGCTAAGGCCGGTATAACAAGTTGCCGAACCAAGAAGTCATGTGTGTTGAGATTTGCCCCCAGCAACCGTCGGAATGAGGAGTGTCCGTACTAACGAGATTTTACTTTATATGTCGTGTTTAAGAAATCACTTCATATTTACAGAATGAGATTAATCGGTAGTTGTCCAGATAAGACTGTTATCTTATAAATTAATCTGGAAATTAACATGTTCATCGCCGTTTTGAGTGAGTGAATATTAAATAGTCAGTATTATCACATCAAACAAACAACGTTGATCTTGTGAATCCGGCGAAGAGCAGGGTTAGAATTGGTCTTCGGCAGCCCATGCCTGTCGTACGAGGCAACTAACGGGATCGGGTGGTCAGGCTCGCTGACTTGGTTGATGCATGTCATCGCATCCCAATTGAGTAGATCGATGCTCATGATGTCAATCACTAGATATCCTGGTTCAGACTCGATAATTTATAGACCGCCGTCATACAGCTGGAATATTGCTGAGTGCGGCGTTAAACAACACACACAGTGAAGTTAATGTGATAAAGCGAATTTAGGCCAGAAAAAAACCCCAATTGTTTATGTCATGAAACAGATCCACTCTGACTGGCACGATAACACACAATCTGGCAGGCCACATAATAATGTTACGCAGCAGTCAGAAATATTCCATCTATATCACTGTGGCCTCTAGATATATTAAGCTGGGACGTGACCAATCTCATTAAAATCAGATCTTAGTTCTCGCTACCGCTAAACAAAGATCTGAGGTCATGCCATTACGGGTCACGTCAGAACGACCTTTCGCAAACTTTGACCGACCAATGAAATGACTGACAAGAAATCGACATTAGCCAATCAGAAGGCAGCTTTCTCGAGCGTTAACCCGCAACTGTCGTTCGGATTACCCTCTGTTAAATATTTCGAGGTTGCATGATTAGAAAAGTTAACACATTCTGACTGTCACTTTAATGATCTGTAAGCGACGCTCTGATTGGTTGGATGAAAGTTCGTTCTGACGTGACCCGTAATGGGGTGTCCTCAGATCTATGTTTAGCGATAGCGAGAACTGAGATCTGATTTTAATGAGATTGGGACGAGAAACGTGTGATTGATATTACGACCATCATTCGACGCCGTCGGGGTCATCTTCCCGAGGCAAGCCGTTTAGTTCGGCAAGGGTGGAAACTCACTTGCCTCGGGAAGATGTCATTAATTATATGTATGTTACTTGCAATTGTTATCTATTTACCTGTTGTTGTCATTGTTAATCGTCCCTTGGGTACGTCAGAAACCTATGACTGTGGGTTCGAATCCCGGTTCGCCCCGATTATTTTTCTAGGTTTGTCAGCACCATACCCGTGCTCGTGGGTTTCGCCAAAGTGGTAAACGTCTGAGACCTGCATCACTTCGGGCTTTCCTCCCACATTAAGCTGACACGCCGCGATATAACTGTAATACTGTTAAAACCGCCGTTAAACCCAACTCACTCACTCACTCAATGTTAATCTGCTACTTATCACATGTCTTTATTGTTGTTAGTACAGCTTGATAACGGTGTAAGAATCTACACGGAAACGTCGTTATGAAATAAACCAGAAGATGTTATCCAGAAAGTTGTACGTTTTCGTGCCATCAATTTGCTCTCACAACTTAAAGTATGGCTCCTGGGGTCCCGGCGGGCGGCCAAATATTTACCCATCCAATCCCCATAAATGATTCGGCTCTTACAGCTTGAAGCGCGGGATACAAGGACCTACTCTGCCCCGGAATCCAAACAGTTTCTTCACATGAGGGTCGGTCGGGTAGCCGAGTGGTTAAAGCGTTCGCTCGTCACGCCGAAGACCCGGGTTCGATTCCCGACATGGGTACAATGTGTGAAGCCCATTTCTGGTGTCCCCCGCCGTGATATTGCTGGAATATTGCTAAAAGCGGCGTAAACTTATACTCACTCACTCACTCTTCACATGCTCATCACCTGGTTCCATCTCCACATATCTGTGCGTGCACTTCTTCCTGATTTCCGCAACCCTCTCAACATCAGCACCCGTCTGGCCCCCCACCATCAGATGCTCGACACGCCCACATCGATGAGACCCCTCCAGGATCTGACGTTGACAGAAACAAAAACAACGATAAAGAAATATCACCTGCTCTATAACCTTTACCACACCAAATCAGAATCAGTCGTTCAACAAGCAGTTTTTGTATGCAGCCTTCAGTGCAAATTGAATCATCTGTGATTGGATAATTTTGTAGAAGATTTTTATGTTTTTGAAATGCACGTCCATCAAGTAATTAAAATTAACCATGTTTTTTTCTATATTTAGTGCTGTCTTTTTCAACATGATGACTTATGCTTAATTTGACCACAGGTATTTTCAAACAAGAGACATTTGGTGCGGAACTGGGGGTAGTGTGTTTCGCTCCCTGTACTAGGAAAAGGAGCTGGCTTAGCTGGTCAGTTTTTCGGTCGGTTGGTTTGTCTGTTGTTTAACGCCGCACTCAGCAATATTCCAGCTATATGACGGCGGTCTGTAAATAATCGAGTTTGGACCAGACAATCCAGTGATTGATATCATGAACATCGATCCACGCACTTGCGATCGATGACATGTATCAACCAAGTCAGCGAGCCTGACCACCCGATCCCTTTAGTCGCATTTAACGACAAGCTTTGTCACCTTTTACGGCAAGTATGGGTTGCTGAAGACCTATTCTACCCCGGAATCATCACGGGTCTCATTTTTATTCCTGCTTTAAGGTCGAACTGTGCACTAACGTACATGCAATAGCTTTTGAATGTTCAAAAACATAAAAACGTTACTATAGAAGTCAATTAGTAAACATTTGCTTGTAGTGAGTGAGTATGGTTTTACGACGCTTTTAGCAATATTCCAGCAATATCACGGCGGGGGACACCAGAAATGAGCTTCACACATTGTACCCATGTCGGGAATCGAACCTGGGTCTTCGGCGTGACGAGCGAACGCTTTAACCACGAGGCAACCCGACCGCCCCCATTTGCTTGTATGTAACCTGTACAATTAAGTGCTATACAGAAGACGCTCTATTAATATTTGTTCGGACATTATTACACCAGGACAGGAGGTCGAAATAAATATAATAAAACCATGGTAAAGAAAAAACAACAACATTTTTTTTAACATGTGGAAGGAATACTTACCTGTCCGCATTGGAAATGAGATAAAAAAAATAATTGTAAGTTGTCCAATGTGTAAAACTGATACATTTTATGTGTGTAATGACAAATTATTAACATATAGATGGATATACGTTATAAACATCAAATTATCAGTCGGTGTGTATTATTTAAAACAAGACAAAAAGTGAGCAGGGCTCACTTAAACCCCGACTTCGACTCCATATTTCTAAGTTCAAAACAGGAAAAACGTAATATCTCTCCGAAATTCCGCTTTTCGAAATCAAACCTTGCACTGCACGTCTCCTTTTTGTATAGAAACTGTAAACCCAATTGGAAAAGAATCCATGAAATAGTTTTAAAGTTATAGGTCTAACAAATGATGAAGTAAAAAAAATATTCAAAAGTTCAAAAAGTTCCAAACAAGAAAAAAATCCTATTTTACTCACAAAATACACATATTAAAATCAAACTTTGCACAGTACCTCTTCTATTAGTAATGAAACGGTTCCCTAAATTTGAAAAGAATCCATAAAGCAGTTTTCAAGTTCAAGGTCGCAAATATTTCGGTAAAAGAATTCCGAGTAAAAAAAATGAATAAAAGCTGTATTTTTCGGAAAATCCAAATATAGAAATCAAACTTCGGACTGCACCTCTCCTATGGGTATAAAAATTGTTCACCAAGTTTGATAAGAATCTATGCAGCAGTTTTCAAGTTATAGGTCACACACAAAAAATGACGGACAGACGGACGGATGGACGGAATTCCTTGGTGAAACTAAGGTCGGAGGTATATAAATCGATCAAAAGCCTGAAGCAGAGGAGAAGTGACAAAATATTATATTATATTCTGTTCTGTATTTTAATTCAACAAACAAATTAACAGCATAAATACGGCATTACATTGTCATGTGTGCTCCCTTTTAAAGATTCACTATAGATGACTGCAATGATACGAAACTAACATTTCGTGTCGGAAAATGCATTATTCTTAAGTTTCGTTTAACGAGTGGCTAATATTTCATATCCAGCCAAGAGTAATATCTTCACGGAAGCATATATATCTTACTTCTAGGCAGCCATTTTCTTTCACAGAACGGTCAACCGGAAGGAAGACACTGAGCATGTCAGGAAATAGGCAGCAGTTTTTGTACCAGTAGCTGAAAATATGAAACAGGAAGACTTGTTAAAACGCCCCATCATCAATATTACAGCTAGAGCACGATGGCCTGTGAAAACGGGAGTTAGGGGGTATGATTTCACGCCGCTTTTGATAACATTCCACAATATCACGGTAGGTTAAACCACAATCTCATTAAAATCAGATCCTAGTTCTCGCTACCGCTTAACAAAGATCTGAGGACATCCCATTACGGGTCATGTCAGACCGACCTTGCGCGAACTTTGATCGACCAATGGACTGACTGACGAGAAGTCGATATTAACCAATCAGAAGGCAGCTTTCTCGTGCTTTACGTCACTAATTTCAAATTGGCGACTACGCTTCGAAACATAATTTGACAAATTCTCGATTAAAAATTTGAAACCTAAACAAAAGAACATTCTGGAGTGGCTAATAGATTTCGGAATACCCCGTGTAAAAAGTTTTCGGGGTTGCATGATAAGAAATCACATTCCGACTGTCACTTTCATGATCTGGTAAGCGCCGCTCTGATTGGTCGGGTGTAAGGTCGTTCTGACGTTACCCATAAATGGTTGTCCTCAGATCTTTGTTTAGCGGTAGCGAGGACTAACATCTGATTTTAATGAGATTGGGAAAACCAACAATTTGGCGTCACTCATTGCATTCATTTGGGGAATCGAACCCTGGTCTTTGGCGTGAGGAGCGAACAGTTAAATCCCAAGGCTCCCCATCGTCCTTGTTTAAACACCAACAGGGCCAGTGGTTAATAGCATGAGCGAAATATGATGAATACATGAGTGAGTGAGTTGGTTACGACGCTTTTACCGTATTATATCACAAAATGTATCTTAATGTTAAAGAACGAAAAAGAGATGCGTGTCGTTGGCGTTTACCATTTTCGTGACACTCACGAGTAGCGTTCAGTGCTGAAAGACCAAAAATAAAAATCGGGGCGAAAATTGGATTCGAACCCACAATTAGAGGATCCGGGAAACCAAGGCATGCAACTCTCAACAACAAGATTCGGCGCTTTTGGCACCTCGATCGACAATAAAAGTAAACGTAAGTTGATATCCTGATCGGAACGAATTTTTGTAATTCCAACTCACGAAAAATGGAAAATATCTCGATATCATAAATAATCACCCATAGTCTTGATGCCACAGGAACTTGCCTCCAGTCAGGGGCTCCTTCATCATCAGCTTGCAGTGATAGATGTAGCTTTCCCCTCCCAGCAGCTGGATGGAGAAGACAATAACAGTGACACATAACCATCGCGTCTGTTCTTGGCTACAACCGCTTCCGTGGTCTGGTGGATACAACGTCTAACCAGAGAGCGGAATATCAGGGTTTCGATCCCGGTCGCGTCATACCAAAGACGTTAAATGATGGTTCTAAAAGCCCATCAGATGCTCAGTCTTTTATTGTATGGAACATGAAGACAAATATTTTTCTGAAACCAGAGGAATGACCGATATAACGAACTTATTTTTTAGTCCCGACCATTTGTTGTATATATGCTGTGTATATGCTTATAACGAACTACGGTTATTACGAACTAAAATTAGTGGTCCCTTTGTGTTCGTTGTTCGCTGTACATAATCTCCTCGCGGGCATGACTTCATTGAAACATTCATCGAATTGTTGCGTATGGGTTCAGTGTGTTTGTTTGTTTGTTGTTTAACGTCGCACTCAGCAATATATTCAACCGAAATGACGGCGGTCTGTCAATAATCGAGTCTGGACCAGACAATCCAGTGATTGATATCATGAGCACCGATCCACACAAATGGAATACGATGACATGCATCAACCAAGACAACGCGCCTGACCAACCCATCCCGTTAGTCGCCTCTTACGACAAGAATGGTCGTCTTTTACAGCAAGCATGGGTTGCTGAAGACCTATTATATCTCGGAGCTTCACGGGTCCGTAAGGGTTCGACGCGGGTGCGCACACATACACGCACCGATGCCTGTCATAAGACGAATGAAATTACCTTGTCACTGAACCCGGCAACTTTATCACACCGCGTGACCATTCCTGTGACGTCATTTCCGGGATGACGCCATATGGCCAGTTTGCTTGACCTGTCGTCACCGTCTGAAACCTTGAAATATACAGGGTCATCAGATGGTTAACAATGGTTAATCAGTTAACATATAGGATGTCAGAGGCTAAACGTGGGTGAAACATAATGATTAACGAGGATTGTTTGTTTGTTGTTCAACGCCGCACTCAACAATATTCCAGCTATATGACGGCGGTCTGTAAAATAATCGAGCCTGGATCAGACAATCCAGTGATTGACATCATGTGCATCGATCCACGCAATCAACCAAGTCTGACCACCCGATCCCGTTATTCGCCTTTTACGACAAGCATAGTGGCCTTTTACAGCAAGTATGGGTTGCTGAAGACCTATTCTGCTTTAGAGTTAATATAGGATGAAAATAAGTAACATAGGGTTGCTAGAGGTAAAGTAGGGTTCATAAGGCGAAATAGGGTTAACCGTCGTTAATATTTGGCTAAGGGAGGAAAACATAGGGTTAAAAAAGGTAAACATATAGAGCTAACGGAGGTAAACAAAACAAATAAACAAACCTCGCTCCCACCCACCGACTCACTCACTCACTCACCAACTGACACACCCACTCATCCACCCAACCACCCACTTACTCAAATACCCACCCACTCACATAACCACCCACTCACTCACTTAACAAACCACCTACTTACTCACTTAACCACCCACCCACTCACCCACTCACTCAACCACCCAAACATTACTCACTTAATCACCCACCCACTCACTTAACCATCCACCCACCCACTCATATAAAGGCGCCGCAATTCGCTGTGCAGAGTTGCGTCCCTTTGGCACACCAGAAACCTATGGTCGTGGGTTCGAATCCCGGTTCGCCCCGATTATGTTTCTAGGTTTGTCAGCACCATACCCGTGATCGTGGGTTTCAACGAAATGGTAAACCTCTGAGACCTGCATCATTTCGGGTTTTCTTCCACTTTAAGCTGACACGCCGTGATATAACTGGAATACTGTTAAAAGCGGCGTTAAACCCAACTCACTCACTCACTCACTCTTACCCCTTGTGAATGCGTGGTAAATGCATCCGATTCTTCCACGGACTTCTTCAGATGTGCCGTTTCCTCAGAGTCCAAAAGCCCTCTGAAATGAGGGTATAGTGTTTCAACAGATAAAACTTGAAACATAGCTATAATAGTACCATATGCCGCATGTAGACCTGATTGACTCTCACAGTTGGTCAATATTGAAATTTCTCTTTTCACATACAAAGTTCTGTGACATAAAAGAGTACCTCGTCTGTGGTCTAGCTAACTGACTTTAAAAGTCCAGTTTCCACCCTTGCCGAACAAGGCTGGTATTATGGAGTTACATTTTGGCTGGACTAACGAGTCTCTGCCTAGTCCAATCAAAATCGCGCAACGAAATCGAAATCTGGTCAGTAAACTGTCGTGTAGATTTCGGTCGATTGCAGGATTTGCAAAGCACGTACACCGCCAACTCGTTGTCAACAAATATTTTCCAAATCCTTTTATGTTTTTAATTAAGGTGCTCACGCATTTTGATGCACTTCGTTATGTAAGACCCGTTTTATAACACTATAGAACTTGATTGTCGATCAGATCGTCTTGACTGGGCGCCGCCATTTTGTCTGATACAAATGCAAGGGAAACAAGAGGTGGAATCTGATTGGTCCATAGGAAAGGCTCAGAAGGGACATGACTCGTAATAGCCACTGGTGGCGCTACGATCGAAGCCAGGAATTACAGCCTAGTTCGACAAGGGTGGAAACTCGACTTTTAAAGTCAGTTAAATGTCAGTTGATAGAGCGTCTGCCCGGAAAGCGGAAGTTCGGTTTGTGGTGACTGGCTCGGTGTCAGTATGGTGTATCTGAGTGGGGTATTCATGTTAAACTGCGGCATGGTGTCTCAGTCGGCTCGCGCTACAAAACCGGCATTGGTCCGAACAAGTACAAGCAGCCACACATTCACACCAGTTGCTTTATACGAGCAATAATCTTGAGCGCTACGCGACAGTCAACCCATTTCACGCCAGCCATAAAACAGTAGTCTATATCACTATGGTTCTGGAGCATTTTAAAAGTATTATATCATTTCCATATTTTTTAACACTATCAAATACATTCTTCAAAAAAGAAACGCACAGGTAGTATGTAGTTCATTGAACCTGACTACATAAAAAATCCGGTGTATAAATTGGATATATGTTATTGAAAAATGTTGGTGGCCTGATATTCGACAAACGGTGAGTCAAAACGCAGTCATTGTCGATTTGCAATGTCTTAAACGGCATTGTTTTCACACTTGTTCAAAAATGTCATGGAGGAAATCAGTAAAACAAAATGCACGTGCAAGTTATGGCGTTTGTATCTCGTGGTAGTGGCTATAAAAAGGCAAACATAAGCCAATAATTTGTCATTCAATTGTCAACATTTTTCAAGTTCGAAAATGCCGAGACTTAGCGCTGCCGATCGGAACATCGCCATTGGACGTATCCAAAGAGGGGAATCGCAGGCTTCTGTTGCACGCCACTTCAACGTCCACCACAGCACCATTTGCCGCCTTTGGGACCGATACACACAGTTCAATTCCACTGCAGCCTGTCCGAGAACCTGCCGACCAAGAGTTACCACCCCTGCACAGGATCGCTACATTCGACTGTTCCACCTACGTCCTCGCAATGCCACAGCTACGGAGACTGCAGGACGCATCCCTGGTTTGAGGAGGATATCGGACCAAACCGTCAGGAACCATCTTCGCGAGGCTGGAATCCGACCCAGAAGACCAGTTATCGTCCCTGCTTTGCAACAGATCCATCGACAGCGACGCTTGCGTTGGTGCCATACCTTACAGCCTTGGAATTTGAGAAACTGGAGACGAGTGTGGTTTAGCGATGAATCACGATTTCTTCTGCACCGGCGAGATGGAAGACAAGGTGTTTGGTGTGTGTGTGTGTTGGGGGGGGGGGGGGGGGGGGGGGGGGCATTTCCTACGCCACGAGATCAGACTTGGTTGTGCTTCAGAGAAATTTGACAGCAAATCGCTACATAAATCAATTTCTTCAACCTCACCTTCTACCAATCATTGACCGCCAGAGGGAGCTGTTTCAACAGGACAATGCACACGGCTCGTGTCACGGTAGACTACCTTCATAATGCCAACATCAACCCCTTGCCCTGGCCGTCGAGATCTCCAGATCTCAACCCAATCGAACACCTCTGGAATAAACTCGATCGACGTGTACGTCAACGTCAGAACACCCGCAGACACCCCCACAACTGGCCAACGCGTTACAAGCACAATTGCGCAAAATTCTGCAGGACAGAATTCGTACACTTATCCAGTCAGTGCCGAGTAGATGCAGAGCCGTGATTGCTGCCCGGGGCGGAGTTCAGTGCCACCTTGTGGCCTTATATGACATGACATGAAACAGTTTTCAATGCCTCTGTACAACGACAACATGTGACAACATTTCATATTTGTATCTATGATATTAAATTCAATATATAAATTTACTAAAAATCTACCTGTGCGTTTCTTTTTTTGAAGAGTATATATCGTTATACCAACGAAGCTTTGAGAAGAACAGTTAAACCCGGTGCCGCCTTGACAAATTTCCTTTTATTTGCCTTATGTACAGGTGAGTTAATTCCCTTGGAACACAATCGATTAGAAAATAACAACCAAAGATATATATGACATAGATATATGTATTTGTTCAATACCAGTGAAGATCCCGGTCTTCATCAACCCATGCTTGTCGTATGTTTTAAGAGGTGGTCAGGCTCGCTGACTTGGTTGATGCAAGTCATCGTATGCCAATTGCGTGAAAAGATGCTCATGATGTCAACCATTGGATTGTCTGGTCCAGACTCGATCATTTACAGATCGCCGTCACACAGCTGAAATATTGCTGAGTGGCGCGTTAAACAACAAACAAAACAAAAACACTACCTGATAAGAATATAGCCATGTTCATCATAGACCCTTTTCACGTCGTCAGTGACATCAAACGCCTCATCGTACTGGAATTCTAAGAAAAACGTTAATGTGTCAAATACAATTGTCACGTCTGCCCATTTCTCACTAGAGGTGTATATGGAGCCGCAATGCGCTGTGCAGAGTTCCGTCCCTTATGCGTACTAGGATCCGAGGTTCATTATATAATAATAATAATAATGATAATGATGATGATGATGATCATGATCATGATCATGATCATGATGACACTGTCAACCAGGTCACATAAATGTAATAGGCTCTAGGGGTAGAGGGGTAGCCTAGTGGTTAAAGCGTTCGCTCGTCACGCAGGTTCGATTCCTCACACGGGTACAATGGGGGAAGCCCATTTCTGGTGTCCCCCGCCGTGATACTGCTCGAATACTGCTACTATATATGTAGTCCTAGGTGCTGGCGTGTATATCAAAGGTATTCGACATAAACACAACAACGGATACCATGTAGGAAATAGACTCGTGCATTCGGCATGACAAGACAACGCATAAAACAAGGCTAACACGCTATCTTTTTATATCTAGAGTGTCAAGGGTTTCGGTATTTCCACACACTGAAGCACATGTAGCTCTTGAGGCAAGTGCATAGTTCCTAACATGACTCTGACCACCCACAGTGAATTGGCGTCAGGGAGGATGAGATGGAGATTGTGAACCTTCTAGCGCAGATTTGGTTATATACTCCCCAGGGAGCTGAGAATGGAAAACGAGTGCGCATTGATCGAAAGACAGGGGTAATAATGCAAAACTTTGAACATGCATTGAGTGTATGGAGGCTAACGCAACAGAAGTACACACATTATTTTTTTGTAGTAGTAGTGAGTGTGAGTGAGTGAGTGTGGTTTTACGCCGCTTTTAGCAATATTCCAGCAATATCACGGCGGGGGACACCAGAAATGGGCTTCACACATTGTACCCATGTCGGGAATCGAACCCGGGTCTTCGGCGTGACGAGCGAACGCTTTAACCACGAGGCAACCCGACCGCCCCCATTTGCTTGTATGTAACCTGTACAATTAAGTGCTATACAGAAGACGCTCTATTAATATTTGTTCGGACATTATAACCACTAGGCTACCCGACCGCCCCCTATTGTAGTAGTAGTGGTAGTGGTAACAACTGTAGTAGTAGCATCAGCAGTAGTTGTAGTGGTAGTAGTTGTTGTAGTAGTAGTAGTAGCAGCAGTAGCATAAGTAGCAGCGATAGTGGTAGAAGTAGCTGTCGTAGTAGTGGTGGTGGTGGTGGTGGTAGTAGCAGAAAAAGTAGCAGTGGTAGTAGTAGCAACAGGAGGAGTAGTGGTAGTAGTAGCAGCAGTAGAAGTTGTAGTCGTAGTTGTAGTAGTAGCAGAAGTAGTTGTAGTAGTAGTTTTGGTAGTGGTAGTAGTAGTTTGTTTGTTTGTTGTTTAACGCCGCACACAGCAATATTCCAGCTTTGACGGCGGTCTGTAAATAATCGAGTCTGGACCAGACAATCCAGTGATAGATAGCATGAGCATCGATCCACGACGTAGTACTAGTAGTAGTAGTAGTAGCGGTAGTAGTAGTAGTAGTAGTAGTAGTAGTAGTGAGTGAGTATGGTTTTACGCCGCTTTTAGCAATATTCCAGCAATATCACGGCGGGGGACACCACAAATGGGCTTCACACATTGTACCCATGTCGGGAATCGAACCCGGGTCTTCGGCGTGACGAGCGATCGCTTTAACCACTAGGCTACCCGACCGCCCCTAGTAGTAGTAGTAGTAGTAGTAGTAGTAGTAGTAGTAGTAGTAGTAGTCTATCTTACATCAGCATCCACGTTTGACAGAGTTTCTGCACAGTCATAAACGTTAATGCTCCGCTTCGCCTTCCTCTAACAAAGCTGTCATGAAATATTTGAAATAGTGTTTGTTCATCGAGTCACTTATCAACTACACTAACGACTCGCTATGGGGCTCACCGCAAATTCATATTGCAGTTCATCCAACATACGCAATTCACTGAATCTCAGGAACTTAATGAGCGTTTCACGTACCTGCCGACATGGTCAATGAAGGTAAAAACTCACACAACAGCAAAATGATCCACCTGATTTGGGGGTCAAGGACAAGTTTAGGCCACATAAAATAATATGTGACAACCATAAGATAAGGGACCTTATGGGCGAAAAATCAACTTTCGACTTATATTTTAAAACTAAAGTATCTTAAGGCCAAAAAAGTACAATTGATAAGTTTAAATTCATACTTATTACAGAGACATATGGCATCAAACATTTGGACTCATTTTCTACAAAGTCCCAGACTTACGACTGTATATGTAATAATTGCAGTTTTAAGATACGCTGTCTGATTAATTGAAAGTAGACATGTATGTTGAAATGCTTTGAAATTATGTTTCTATTACATTACGATCTAACGAGAGAAAAAAACGATATTTTTGTACAGTTACCGCACATGGCGATTTCGACGGAAGGCATCTAAGACGCCGCGATTCGCTGTGCAGAGTTGCCTCCCGTGGGACGGCAGAAACCTATGATTGTGGGTTCGAATCCCGGTTCGACCCGATTATGTTTCTAGGTTTGTCGGCACCATACCCGTGCTCGTGGGTTTCACCGAAGTGGTAAACGTCTGAGACCTGCATCACTTCGGGCTTTCCTCCCACATTAAGCTGACACGCCGTGATATAACTGGAATACTGTTGAAAGCGGCGTTAAACCCAACTCACCCACCCATCCCACCCTCTTTAAGGATGTTGATAAAATGCACAAGCTTTAAAATACTAACCCCTATTTAAATAATGATGACTGTCTCAATAGAATCCATTTTATGCACAGGTGGGTTTCCACGTATATTCTCACAATCCTAACGTCGATTGCCTGTACCTATTTTCCCAATACCGATTGTCATATCTCTCCAAGTTTTGGACGCGATCGTTCGGCCCTCGCGTTTATCTGCGTTGCCCAGGTACATCTATGGGGAATGAATCACTTGACACCCCCCTCTCAAAAACAACGTCGTCAAACATACGACGTCATCAAGTTGCGAGCCCATGTTCGAATCTCCAGAAATGACGTCATAAAAGAATTTTTTTGTTTCGTGAAATAAACCACGCTTCGTTCTTCGTTGTTCTTTGCGATTTATCGAGTAGCTATCCTGTATATTCTACTAAAGGTTATCCTCTACCAGTACTCCTTAATAACCTCGCTCTCAGTTGGTATAGCGGCGGTCCGGTAGCCTAGGGGTTAAAGCGTTGGCTCGTCACGCCGAAGACCCGGGTTCGATTCCCGACATGCGTACAATATGTGAAGCCCATTTCTGGTGTCCCCCGCCATGATATTGCTGGAATATTGGCGGCGTAAAACCATACTCACTCACTCACTCAGTTGGTATTTGTATTCTGAAAACGACATAAATATGAATATAATTTGACCTACTTTGACATTTACTTTCAAGAAATGATGAGAAACAGGAATTTGTTACTGTGGCCTAACGAGAGACAATGGGACAATAGACACGTGTTACGTTATCTTTTTACAGTAAGACCACCGCATGATGAAACCTTGTCCTCATGACAACATCCATATTATGTGCTCTTGCACGTTTGGTTCAACTGTATATGAATTTGTAACGCTGGACCTTGACAGCCATATTTGGTAATAGATAGGCGACGAGTTACAGTTTCTAACAACCGTATTGTTTTCGCGACTGTTCCTGACCATCTAGGTCAAACAACATATTATTTGTTCAGTCAGTTTCATGACAATCATCCCGTGAAGATTCGAGTTAGTGAGTAAGTGAGTGAGTGAGGTTTTACGTCGCTTTTAGCAATATTCCAGCAATTTCACGGCGTGGGACACCAGAAATATACTTCACACATTGTAACCATGTCGGGAATCGAACCCGGGTCTTCGGCGTGACGAGCGAACGCTTTAACCACGAGGCTACCCGACCGCCCCAGATTCGAGTGAGAATTTGGTTTTCAGCAGCCCGTGCTTGTCGTAGTTTACGTACAGTCGAACATTATACATGCACTCGTTGTATCCAATTTGGATGTGTCGTATTCCCGAATGTCTCGAACTCATTTGGGAGTCTCAAGTATCGAAATATATATGTGAAAAAAGTGAAGCGGTTTCACGTTGATAATATATTTCTAATTCAGTTGGCTTTTTCACAATTATTGAACGATGTTCTGACTTTGACAATCCAAGCAGTATGTCCGATTCATGTTTCATGTGTGTTTTCTCTCAATACACATTAGAGGATATCATGTTTAAATCATTCTTCTCAAACTTTGAGGATGGAGAAGTAAGAGTAGTTACAATCAACGCTCGCACAGTTTGAAAAAAGAAGCAGGCTTTGGATCGATGTCACAATCAATACAGATTTAGTTCAAATTGACTACGTGGGCATTACAGATCCGAACTAATTACAGATTCATTTATAAGTCATTTCAAACTCTCTCTCTCTCTCTCTCTCTCTCTCTCTCTCTCTCTCTCTCTCTCTCTCTCTCTCTCTCTCTCTCTCTCTCCGTTTGACGCCGTATGTATATTAGTGACAGCCAGTTTAACGTGATGACCCAGAAATGGAAAAGAACGAGTACCGAGCAGTCATCAAGTCTTTTACTTTACAAATTCATGACCGCATGTCACAAGCGTATGGGGATAAATGTCCTAGCTATTCCACTGTTAAACGTTGGGCAGCTATGTTTAAGGCTTGGAGGATGGGCCTTGATGATAACCCTCAACTTCCATCAATGAAGACTCAATCAAGGAAACAGAAAAACTTACACGTCATATAGACTATTACCATTGCTGAACTTGAGGAAGACACAGGTCTAAGGCATGTATCCATTGAAACTATTATTCATGGACACTTATAGATTATCAAGATATCTGCTCGTTGGATGCCAAAGTATCTAAATTCGGATCATCAGGAAAAAAGAACATTGCCAGAGAAAATTTAGAGCTAATTGAGGAGGATATCCATAATAAAAAAGGAATAAGTAACGGGTGATGAAACATGGGTCTACACTATGATCCCGAGTCAAAACGTCAATACATTGAATGGCACAATTCCACTTCTCAGGCACCAAAGAAATTCAAGTCTTCAAGGTCAGTGACGAAAGTTATGGCCACTGTATCCTGGGGTGCAAAGGTTGTGATCTTTGTTGATTACTGCCCGATTTTCCGACCCAGACCACGACCGCAAAAGGAACTAGATCGATTGCTCAGAATTGTGCTCGCAGGGAATAGAGATCACTAGGATTCCACGTAGTCAGAATAACCTGAAGGGTAACCTGAGATGTCATCGGAACCTCTGATGCAGTCACAGATGGCGTCGAATAGGAGGTGGAGAGGGTGAATGCCAACAAAGTATATCCTTCGGTGGAGGACACGAAGTAACAGTAGCCGAGTGCCGTGGGTTGTCCCTCCGTGGATGAGGTGGAAAGCATCATGGCGAGAGGAAGAAATATAACTCGACCGACGTCCAGAAACACGGTCGGAAGAGAAATCATATGATGTGGGTAGCGTTCCCAATCATTTACAGAGGCGTTATGCGAAGCCGGGTTCAAGGGATAGTCCTGATAAGCAGAGGAGCGGTAGTGGGGACGTGGGCGTGGTCCAGATGACCCATGGAAGAGGAACGAGTCAAGTAAGACGGATGTCCAAGAGCCTCGGTATAACATTCATCCTCAGAACCCAAACGTGAAGAGTCCGAACTTGGAGAGTGGATGACCAAGTCCTCGATCGTCTACCTTTGGATGAGTAGTGTACCATAGGCAAACGTCGATCTGTAGAGGTTTGTTGAACCTTGGGAGAGTATCTGTCTTCAAATTATCACTGATCCTTAGCGGTTCGTCGAACCTTGGATTCTCATCGAACCTCTTCCAAAGTGTGTCAATCCTTGGGGAACAGGTCCCGATGCTGTGAATTGTGGTGAGATTGGGAACTTTGGGGAATTTGCAACTGACGATCCCCATCACGAGAGTGCCCAAACTTCGATGAGCACGGTTTCGGTTAGAGTGAAGTGACTGTTGACGATAGATCAATCAAACATCATGATGTGGATCGGTGGATAGACGATCCTTATGTGAAAATTTCCAAGAATTGAAAAACCATGACCCTCAGTCAAGAGAGGAACGTCGGATTGGAGATCTGGTGGTCGAGGGGTAGAGGAGAGCGCCGAGGCGTGACCGTAGGTTCAAGTGAGGTTACCATCGTCTGAATACCCTCAGGAAGTACGAATTGAAAGCATGTGAGGGCGACGAAACAATGAACAGATCCCTGACAGGCTTCTAAATGGTACGAGGGGTCTCATTAGCCTGAGACCTAATAGGTTCGTCCGAACTGACATCCGACGTGAGTACTCGCCGAACGTCCGCACCCGTTGAAGCTGCTGAGGGTAGTGACTTCAAACCTAGGTTCGTTGGTGCGGCAGAAACGTACTCTGTCAGGAAGGAGTCTGATGTTCCATATGAAAATGGGAGGCGTAGGGTTCCTCGCATCTTGGACCTCCGCAGGGGTAGATCAGTCTGTTGTATTTGTAGACTTCTTAACGGGTGTCTTCTCTGTCGTGATAGATGAGATGTTTCGCGCCGCCAAGATATTAAACGATTCTTGTGGCAAGTCAGCGCATAGAGCACAACTTTCCGAAGTGCTACATCAGCCGTGACAACCAAAACACTCGTGGTGAGGGTCCGGGGGATAGATCACACTCCTACACTTTGTACAAACGGGTCGACGTAGGGGCTGCTCGTCCATGATGAAAAAAGCGTGCTCAAGCAAAACAATAGACAAAGTCTGGCTAATCGAAGCTTGGCAAAACATTGAAGATAGAACAAAGAACAATCAAAGCAGATGGCAGGGAATGAAGCATAGAATTTTTCAAAACATGTCACCACTGAGTGGCGATTTGAAAGAAAATGAGTTGGCTGGAGAAACAACATGATCGGTGCATGAAGGTCAACCAGCATGCATGCGTGCGAACCAAGATGTTGGGCAGTAACCATGGTGATGCGATATATGTCCAGGTGAAGTTTAGAAGCTGGAAACCCTTGTCCAGACACGTTTCCACTTAGGATCGAAACAAGAAAGAGATATGCATAGTGTGAGAGAGGATAAGTTTAACACTTAGTTTTAATCGAGACTGATTGTTCTCTGGCGTTGAAGCTTTATTCTAACTCTTTGAAGATGTAAATTTATGTCATGAAGATGTTATTAACAAATGGGTCAAATTGGGAGGATAAATCTTGAAATGATATGCAGTTGGAGGTACTCGCTCTCATAATTAGTTTAGCAAATGAAATGTAAATACTATAACACAATATTAAAACTTACTTTTATCAATCTTTTTGTAGAACACATTGGAATTCCAAAGGGCAGAGTCTGTTTAAGAAATTAAATCATCCTTATATCATGAAGTAAGTGTAATAGGTTCATGTCAGAGATTAAAGTAAAACAAAGAAAGACAAACAAAGTTGCCATCCAAGTCTAGAGTCTGTTTCCTGTTCCTGCAATGATTTACACTCGTGGGCGAGCATTTGTATGTGTCACGTGACGAGTGCGGGTATGCATTAAGTAAAAGAAGGTTTAACCACACAGAAACATTACCTTCACACTTGGCAGGTTAAATTGTTCTTCAGCCTGCATAATGCTTCGCACATATTAGGACCAAATGGATGTTTGTAGTATGTGGTGTTGTCACCCAAGCATATGACAATACGCAGAGTGATAAAAAATTCTTGGATAAGATACATCGTGCTCTGAAAGACAATAAGGATTGACACAAACTGTACGTGAGTGACAAACAACTCTCCACAAGACTGTATGACAAGAGGGGTGACTTCAACTTTTCAATAGTCAATTTTTGTCGCTTTTATTTATCTATTTCTATCCGAAATTTCACATTTTGTAGTATCAATAAACATCAGTAGACATGACATATAAACACAGCTATGATCACCATGTGACCAATACCCGATGAATCAAAGAATGATTTTTTTCCTTAAAAAATGTTTAATTGGTTGTGCAGTGATTACAACAGAAGGAAACATAATTATATTTGTGTCATGTAGGGTTCCGTCTGCAAAACCTGAACCTCAAGCATCTTTATTATCCCCCTCCACGATGAGGAAAGGGGGATATAGGAACGGAGTTTGTCCGCACGTTGTCCTTCTGATATTACTGGTCGTCTTAAATGGGTTCGAAAATTGGTGTCTTAAATTCGTTTTTACAGAGTTATGGCCCTTGCTTCTTTCTTTTCAACTTGGAAAGTTCTCTCAGAAGCTATTGAAGTGACGTGTACGACAGTTTGCATGCTTACCTAGGTGATACATGTCAAGACAGTTAAAACAATTGGTGCCATAAATTATTTTTTAAAGAGAGTTATGGCCCTTGCTCCATGCTTTTCAGCTACGTGCATACTGTCTGCCCCGGGGACAAGTTTTCTCAACAACTAGTGACGTTGACGTGAATCAAAGTTTGCATGCTTATCTAAGTGATACTTGTCAAGACTGAGTTTGAAAATTGGTGCAGTAATCTTTGTTATTTTTTTATAGTTATTACCCTTGCTCCGTATATGTTTTTAGTTACAGAGTTATTGCCACTGCTCTATGCTTTGTAACTTAGTGCATAGTGTCTTCACAGGGGATAACCTTTCTCAGAAAGTGCTGACTTTAAAAGTGCTCCCTTCTTGCTGAACTGTTTCGTTGTACATATGTATCGAGATTTCTGCTCGGATTGGCAAAAACTAAGCAAAGGCAATTCGGCCAAGAAGTTTAACTTGAGTTTCAGATGTATTGGTGATATCGTTCAATAATGCTCAAATAGCCAGTTCCTTTCCACTGCTTTACCCACCTGAACTCGAAATAAGGAGACCAGTGAAACAGCCTCATCTGTTTCATGTTTAGATCTATGCATAAGGATTCAGAGTGACAAAACACTCTCCACAAGACTGTGTGACAAGAGGGATGACTTCGAATAAGTCGTCTAAGGCGCCACGATTCGCTGTGCAGAGTTGCGTCCCTTGGGCACGCCAGAAACCTATGATCGTGAGTTCGAATCCCGGTTCGACCCGATTATGTTTCTAGGTTTGTCAGCACCATACCCGTGCTCGTGGGTTTCACCGAAGTGGTAAACGTCTGAGACCTGCATCACTTCGGGCTTTCCTCCCACATTAAGCTGACACGCCGTGATATAACTGGAACACTGTTAAAAGCGGCGTTAAACCTAACACACTATCTCGAATTCAACTTTCCAATAGTCAACTTTTGATTTATGTTAAGCAATATTCATGGAGCTCCGGTCTTCGGTGTCCACATTTCCCAACTTTTGAGGTACAATCGAGCATGCTCTTTCTTTCAATATTACAAGGAGCGTCATACGATTCTAGCTCAAAATGTCGCTAGATCAACAAAAATTATGGTGAACAAGTGGACATTTCTACATTTGACGCATCAATAACAAAATTTACTTTGACTTGTACCATATGATTCTTGCCTTTGCATGTGTTTTTGACGGGTGCCAAAGTGGGGCAGAACACCATTTCGCTACACCTGGTGTCATCACTATTTCATAATGATCTATAAATATATGCTCATAATATAGACTCTGCTTTAAGCAGATATTTGATTATACACTCTTCAAAAAAAGAAACGCACAGGTAGATTTTTAGTAAATTTATTGTACCTAATAAAGTCTATATATTTGATTTAATATCATAGATACAAATATGAAATTTTGGAGCTCGATAGTCACATGTTGTCGTTGTACAAAGGCATTGAAAACTGTTCATTGTCAGGCCACATAAGGCCACAAGGTTGCGCCGAACTCGTGTGACCGCCCCGGGCAGCAATCACGGCTCTGCACCTTCTCGGCACTGACTGGATAAGTGTACGAATTCTGTCCTGCGGAATTCTGCGCCATTCTGCCTGTAACGCGTTGGTCAGTTGTGGGGGTGTCTGCGGAGTGTTCTGACGTTCATGTACACGTCGATCGAGTTCATCCCAGAGGTGTTCGATTTGGTTGAGATCTGGAGATCTCGACGGCCGGGACAAGTATGTGATGTTGGCATTATGAAGGTATGAATACGCAATGCCATTTAGAAAGTGATCAAATGTCACAAATGTTATATTTGGGATACCACTTTCTGAGTAAAGTATTGATTCTCGTCCTTTTCCCGTCCGGGATTCGAACCCACACTGCCAGAGTGAGGCACCTAACTGCCAGCACACAAAGAGAGAGCGAAAGGTCCGAGGTTCGATCCCCGGTCGCGTCATACCAAAAGACGTTAAAAGATGGTGCTTGTTGTTAACCTGTCTGGTGCTTGGCATTAAGGGGCTAAAACAAGGACTGGTCAGCTCGGAGTCAGTAAACTGTGTCTGAGTGGGGGTATTCATGTTAAACTGCGGCATGGTATCTCATTGAGCTAGCACTATAAATCGGCATCAGTCCAAACACACACGTACGTCGTTATAAAAGTACAATATTCTTGGACGCGACGTTAAACCCCATTTCACGTCAACTCACCTATAAACTTTAAATGGGCTTTACGTTGAAGCTCTCACCTTGAAACTGGCTTACAGTTGATTCAACCCTGATTAGGCCTTAAAATTCGAAAAATGCCTTGAGTTTGGAAACCATTGTTTACTCTGCTGTTAAATAATTAATATTTTTAATGTGTGATAACGTGTGTATCTTGCTCCATTAATAATAATAAAAACAACTGATGTGTAAAAGTGTATTTCAATGTAATTATGAGATTTTAAAAAAGTAAGATAAATCTGTTTGAAAGCACACTGAGGCGTTACTTTTTCTTCAGAATTTTGATCATTGCCTTAAAAAAGGTTTTGAAAGGTCTCAAATTTGATCAAGTTCGATATTAGTATCCACCAGGAGTATGAAAATTCCTTTAAAGGAAGCCATCCATCGCCACACTAATATTGAATTCCCTTTCTACATAATACAAATTGTTATAACTCTCACAAAGGATTAATGCATAGAGACTAGATGTGCTAGAGTGCTAGATAGTTGCCTTTTCTTCCACTAAATGCGGGGGCACGGGTGGCCCAGTCGTCTAAGGCGCCGGGATTCAGAGTGCAGAGTTGCGTCCCTTGGGCACGCCAGAAACCTATGATTATGGGTTCGAATCCCGGTTCGCCCCGATTATGTTTCTAGGTTTGTCAGCACCATACCCGTGCTGGGTACTCACCGAAGTAGTAAAAGTCTGAGACCTGCATCCTTTCTTGCTTTCCTCCCACATTAAGCTGACACGCCGCGATATAACTGGAATACTGTTAAAATACTCATTGAAGCATTGAACCCAACTCACTCACTCACTACACCAATTTCCGGCTTTATTCGACATGATGTCAAGGGTAAATACATCCACCATGCACATATCACAAGGGGTGTTATGGCGAGGAAATGTTTGAAAATGAACGATTTACCGGACACCCGGATAATTGCATTTCATTAAAACTTTGATTATTTGATCCTCATGAAGATTAAGCGGCAGAAGGATTCATAAAGCGGCATTGAATCAGCATTGAAGCAGTCATGGAGCAGCATTGAAGAATTCATGAAGCAACAATGTAGCAGTCATGAAGAAACAATGTAGCAGTCATGAAGCAACAATGTAGCAGTCATGAAGCAACAATGTAGCAGTCATGAAGCATCATGGAAGCATTCATGAAGCAATAATGTAGCAGTCATAAAGCAACAATGTAGCAGTCATAAAGCAACAATGTATCAGTCATGAAGCAACAATGTAGCAGCCATGAAGCAGTAATGTAGCAGTCATGAAGCGGTATTGAAGCAACATTAAAGCAGTCATGAAGCAACAATGTAGCAGTCATGAAGCAACAATGAAGCAGTCATGAAGCAACAATGTAGCAGTCATGAAGCAATTATGTAGCAGTCATGAAGCAACAATGTAGCAGCCATGAAGCAACAATGTAGCAGCCATGAAGCAACAATGTAGCAGTCATGAAGCAACAATGTAGCAACCATGAAGCAATAATGTAGCAGTCATGAAGCAACAATGTAGCAGTCATGAAGCAACAATGTAGCAGTCATGAAGCAACAATGTAGCAGCCATGAAGCAACAATGTAGTAGTCATGAAGCAACAATGTAGTAGTCATGAAGCAACGTAGAAGCATCTCTAGGGAAGCCCTATCCTCTGGAAGCTTTGATTGTCTTGTTGTCAGCAGGGTTCATGAACGCTTTGCCATCCATGTTCGTGAAGTTGGTGCACTCACGGATTGCAGTATCGCTCACCTGAAAGAAAAGGCGTGATGTCATGGTAGCTGTCTCTGCCAGCGGGCATTTTCTTAAATCTTATGGTTACCCTATTTACTTAAATACACTTTCTTAGAAAAAAGCCACTTATAAAATACAACGTTTATGCATAAAGTGAGTGAGTGAGTTTGGTTTTACGCCGCTTTTAGCAATTTTCCAGCAATATCACGGCGGGGGACACCAGAAATGGGCTTCACACATTGTACCCATGTCGGGAATCGAACCCGGGTCTTCGGCGTGACGAGCGAACGCTTTAACCACTGGGCTACCCGACCGCCCCGTTTATGCATATAGCGAAGACGCGCAACAATATATGTAACTAAGTTTCTGTTGAAAATATTTCTTACGATATCCAGCTTGTTATAACGAGGGAAGTGATGCTCGACAACGGGGTCGTTGCTGGCTTTGTTGTAGCAGGCGATGAACACCCAGCGTCTGTTGTCGCTCAGATTGGCGTTGCTGGTGTGGAGAACGTTGCAGTGAAAGAAGATAGCGTCACCTGTAAAGGTGAAATGGGGTTTATACTACTAACGTCGCGTCCAAGATTATTGCACTTATATAGCGACGTGCATGTACGTGTGTGTGTGTGGCTGCTTGTACTAGTCCGGACTGATGCCGATTTATAGTGCTAGCCCACTGAGATACCATGCCGCAGTTTAACATGAATACCCCACTCAGACACAGTATACTGACTCCGAGCCGACCAGTCCTTGTTTTAGCCCCTTAATGCCTAGCGCCAGACAGGGTAACAACAAGTACCATCTTTTAACGTTTTTTGGTATGACGCGGCTAGGGAATTGAACCCCGGACCTTCCGCTCTCCGGGCGGACGCTCTACCACTAGACCACGGAGGCGGTTACCTGTAAAGGAGTTGTATTAGTAAAAGATGGTGACGTCACCTGTAAAGGAGTTGTATTAGTAAAAGATGGTGACGTCACCTGTAAAGGAGTTGTATTAGTAAAAGATGGTGACGTCACCTGTAAAGGAGTTGTATTATGTAAAAGATGGTGACGTCACCTGTAAAGGAGTTGTAGACTGTGAACAAAGGTGACGTCACCTGTAAAGGAGTTGTATTATGTAAAAGATGGTGACGTCACCTGTAAAGGAGTTGTAGACTGTGAACGAAGGTGACGTCACCTGTAAAGGAGTTGTATTATGTAAAAGATGGTAACGTCACCTGTAAAGGAGTTGTATTATGTAAAAGATGGTAACGTCACCTGTAAAGGAGTTGTATTATGTAAAAGATGGTGACGTCACCTGTAAAGGAGTTGTATTATGTAAAAGATGGTGACGTCACCTGTAAAGGAGTTGTAGACTGTGAACGAAGGTGACGTCACCTGTAAAGGAGTTGTATTATGTAAAAGATGGTGACGTCACCTGTAAAGGAGTTGTATTATGTAAAAGATGGTGACGTCACCTGTAAAGGAGTTGTATTATGTAAAAGATGGTGACGTCACCTGTAAAGGAGTTGTATTATGTAAAAGATGGTGACGTCACCTGTAAAGGAGTTGTATTATGTAAAAGATGGTGACGTCACCTGTAAAGGAGTTGTATTATGTAAGAGATGGTGACGTCACCTGTAAAGGAGTTGTATTAGTAAAAGATGGTGACGTCACCTGTAAAGGAGTTGTAGACTGTGAACGAAGGTAACGTCACCTGTAAAGGAGTTGTATTATGTAAAAGATGGTGACGTCACCTGTAAAGGAGTTGTATTATGTACAAGATGGTGACGTCACCTGTAAAGGAGTTGTAGACTGTGAACAAAGGTGACGTCACCTGTAAAGGAGTTGTATTATGTAAAAGATGGTGACGTCACCTGTAATGGAGTTGTATTATGTAAAAGATGGTGACGTCACCTGTAAAGGAGTTGTATTATGTAAAAGATGGTGACGTCACCTGTAATGGAGTTGTATTATGTAAAAGATGGTGACGTCACCTGTAAAGGAGTTGTATTAGTAAAAGATGGTGACGTCACCTGTAAAGGAGTTGTAGACTTTGAACGAAGGTAACGTCACCTGTAAAGGAGTTTTATACTGTGAAAGAAGGTAACATCACCTTAAACTTGTTGCCGTCAGGGAAAGGAGGTGGCGGCATCAGTTGAGGAGTTCTACTTCCGGAATCTACCGATCCGAGTCATTTCTCCGACTTAAGTGAGTGAGTGAGTGAGTGAGTGAGTTGTGTTTAACGCCGCTTTTAACAGTATTCCAGTTATATCACGGCGTTTCAGCTTAATGTGGGAGGAAAGCCCAAAGTGATGCAAGTCTCAGACGTTTACCACTTCGGTGAAACCCACGAGCACGGGTATGGTGCTGACAAACCTAGATCGGGGCGAACCGGGATTCGAACCCACAATCATAGGTTTCTGGTGTGCCCAAGGGACGCAACTCTTCACAGCGAATCTCGGCGCCTTAGACGACTGGGCCACCAGTGCCCCCTTCTCCTACTTAAACCATGTTATGGTTGATATATATGATTTCTCCATACTTTTGCAGAATGACCTTTGGTCGCGTCAGTTTTACTCGGCCATAGGTTTGAGTGCTGCGTATATCTTGTTGTAGATCTAGTATAACTTGTCAGATGTAATTTAATCTATCTTTTGAAGAAGCTGTCGCGTGACAATACCTGCATTCAACTCCACATATTTTAGAGGCAGTCTTGACTTGAGCTGTTCCACCCTGTCTACATCCGCCCCTGTCTGACCTCCGACCATGCCGTGTTCGATACGGCCGCACTTGTGAGAACCCTCCAGAATCTTAAAGATGAAACCGTACATTTGTTAATGTACTGACGCTGTTAACGGTCATGAAATTACTTACAAATGGATGTTTTTGTTTAAATCGCGTTATGGATCCATTATTTTGACTGTTCATCCTGTTTGAACCCGGTTTGGAATAGCTTCCGGTTTCGGGAAGAGACATCTAAATTAGATCTGATGAAACGTCACCCAAGACTTCGTGGTCTGAGTGTCTCGGGTCGTTGCTCAAGATATCAAACAATGGTTTGTGTGGACCTGACTCGATTATTTACCGGCAATATTGCTGACGGTGGAGTAAACAAAACAAAAACTAATTTTGTTTTTTACCTGTAAACATCCATTAGCTTTCTCACACTTGTCGATGGCGACAAACACACTCATCATGTCAGGGAAAAGGATCCCGTTTTTGTACCAGTACCTGTAAGATACATACATGTACCTCATGTGTACCATCAACTTGCACGTGCACAATCAATGTACGACGTTCATATAGCAGTTTATGATAATTGTCTTACCAAACACAATACAATTTTATTGTATCCCACGCTGCCACTATTTTTTTAACAAAATCCAAAGCATAACTTAAAAAACATTTGTAAACTATTTTTAAGGCTTCAGTGGCCAAAATGGTAGCGAGCTGAGAATCATTTGAGAAATGTCATGCGATGTGTAAGGGTTCGAATCCAAGCACCGTTGCAAAATATTGATCGCATTTCTTGGACAATTACCCTCTTGAAGATCCTGGTTAGAACGGCTCTTCGCAACCCATGCTTGTCGTAAGAGGCGACTAACGTGATCGGGTGGTCAGGCTCACTGACTTGGTTGATGCTGCATGTCATCGTATCCCTCGATGCTCATGGTGTCAAGCCCGGGATTATCTGGTCCAGACTCGATTATTTATTTATTTATTTATTTATTTATTTATTTATTTATTTATTTATTTATTTATTTATTTATTTATTTTATTTATTTATCTATTTATTAATTTATTTAAAATATTGGTGAGTGCAGCGTTAAAAGAACAAACAAACAAACAAACCCGTAATCCTGATGCCAGACAAATCGGCCACCAGTCCTTGCCTCCTTCATCATCAGTTTAGAGTGGTAGTGATACACCTCACCTCCCAGCAGCTGAAACCCAAAATAGAGTACATGTGGGCCCAATCTATATCACAGTGACCCGTGAAGATCTGGGCTAGAATAGGTCTTCAGCAAACCATGCTTGCTGTAAAAGACGACTATGCTTGTGGTTCGATCCCCTGGCCGCTTCTTTTAATAAGACGTTAACCTTGTTGTTACCCTGACTCCTTGGTCTAGTGGATAGAACGTCTGACTGGAGACCGGAAGGCAGTTGGTTCGATCCCCTGGCCGTTTCTTTTAGTAAGACGTTAAAACATGGTGCTTGTTGTTGCCCTGCCTCCTTGGTCTAGTGGATAAAGCGTCTGCCCGGAGAGGAAGGTAGGTGGTTCGATCCCTGGCCGCTTTTGGTTTTGGTAAAACGTTTAAAGATGATACTTGTTGTTATCCTGGCGCTCGGCATTTAGGGCTAAAGCAAGGAGAGGCCAGCTCGGAGTCAGTATACTGTGTCGGAGCATTTTTCAGACAGTAGCGAGGCGGTGGGGTAGCCTAGAGGTTAAAGCGTTCGGGCGTCAAGCAGAAGCCCCGGGTTCGATTCCCCACATGGGTACAATGTGGGAGGCCAATTTCTGGTGTCTCCCGCCGCTAAAACTCTATTATAACAAATGAAGCACTTTTTCCAGCTCAGGGATCCTGTCAGCTGAACACACACCCTGCACATTAAGTTTGTGGTGCAGACAGACCATCATCAATCGGGATTCGAACCCACGAACAGGTAAGGGACGTAACTCTGCACATTAAGCATGACGACGAATACCCACCTGTTGCCCCTTTGCAATGTTTTCCGCACATACTGATTAACATGGATTTTCAAGGTCCGTATAATCCATCCTCGGTGGTCCAGGCTATTATATCTCCATGCTTTTACGATAAATACCCTGGACACAGTCGCAACCAAAGCTTCGTTGAAACGTGACGTCACCATCTACATCACAAACACACCGCTGGCGTTTCCCTCGCACTATTTCTAGCGCCATGTCATTAAAATAGGGCTCGCGAAGTTGTAGCGGGTATTTATCACTTGATAGGCGATATAATACACTGCATAAGCGAGGATGCTGTAGCCACAAAAGGAGTTCGTAAAGAACGATCGTGGGAAATAAGAGTACGTCATGAAAACAGGCTTTGTAGGGCAATTATCTTGAAAATCTTTGAATTTTTATCATGCTAATATTTCAAATTTTGATAGTGCCAATAACAAATTATATTCCGTTTAAAGTTGCTCCCATCCTGTACATCCTTACATAATGTAAAATCTTCGATTTGCTTTAATTTCTCGTTTATGTAATATCATACGTAATATCATAATTATTTTTTTTTTATATTAAGATTATTTACATTCAATAAAATTATTTCGCATTTTCTTACTTCGGCGCAGGTTCCGGCAACTCTTTGACTTCGGGACAGCATTCCTGTGACGTCATTTCCTGGTTGACTCCAAATTGTTACGCGGCTTTTCCTCCCCTCATTGTCATCAGTCTGTGGGTTAGACGTCACACATCGCTGGTTACACTTGCAAGTGATATTAATCCTGAAACCTTCCTTAATAATGATAATAGAATCATGTCAGACAATAGATCCCACCACCCTCGCTCTTCCCTCAATCGCTTATATGTACCAATCATTATGGGAGGACGTGGTTTGATTAACGTTGGGGCTCTTCATGATAGAATTGCATTGTGGACTTTTGTACACATTTATTTGTCTGATGATCCTCTTGTGAAGCATGTCAAGACTCATAATGAAAACAAGGCATTCCATAGTTTTTGTAAATGAGCCAAAGACATAATATCAATGTCAGTGTTGATTTTGTTGATGGTTCTGTACTGCTGGGCGGTACAGAAATGAGTGTCAACCAAGCGAAGTGCCATATCAAATCTGGCTAGACTCAGTTTTTCAAGGCGAGGCTATCTGAACGACCACTGCATCGAGTTTATGTGCAGTGTGTTGAGATGATCAGCAACCCTGTAGAGTCCTCGGTTGGATGAAGTCGGCTGGCCTGAAAAGTGAAACAGAAGGCTTTCTGTTTGCTGCTCAGGACCAGTCACTTCCCACTCGAAACGGCCAATGTGCGATTTTTGCATCAAAACGTAAATATGGAATGTAGATTATGCAATAAATTTAATGAGACTGTCCAACACATTGTAAGTGGATGCCAAGCTTTGGCACAAACACGGTATTTTATGCGACATGATGGTGTAGCTCGATCATTTTATTACCGTCTTCGCCATGCTTGTGGTTTTGACACAGAGGTCCATCCATGGTACGACCCGGAATATGAAGAGGGCGTCTTGGAAAATGATAAATACCAAATTCATTGGAATAGGCCCGTATACAGCCTCAAACGTATCCAGGCCAAAACACCTTATCTTGTTCTTTTGTCCCGTTCATGAACTAAAATTGAACGACTTTATTAACTCACAACAAAGGAGTTTCTTTTTATTTCTTCGTTATCTTCAAACACTGATTGGATTTTCTGTAGTTCGTCCTTCTCCAGAAGGCCCCTGTAAAACAATGCTCAAAAACATCACGCGCAAGCATACATGAGTAAAACCGTAAGGAAGAGACTCACATGTGTAAAACCATAAACAATTACACCAAGCACTCGCTTACATGAGTAAGGCGTGACCAAAAACATCATGGACAGACTTACTTTAGTAAAACCATAAACAAAAACATCATGGACAGACTTACATTAGTAAAACCATAAACAAAAACATCATGGACAGACTTACATAAGTAAAACCATAAACAAAAACATCATGGACAGACTTACATAAGTAAAACCATAAACAAAAACATCATGGACAGACATACATTAGTAAAACCATGAATAAGTTTGTAGCTTTTGTAATGCTGTCAGTGAGGACATCAGCCATGTTTTGGGGAATGTAATGAAACTAGACAATTTTGTAATGATCTCGAACTTTGGCTTAACAATTATCTTTCGCAAAAAAATAAATTGACAAAATATCTTATTTGGTTTGGTTCTAACTACTCTAATACTTTAATCTATCATATACCTTTATTGGAAAAAACAAAAACATGTCCATGTATGTGGAATCAAAGGAATCAAACCCAATAAAGATATGCTTTAAAACTACTTAAAACATATATTCAATCGAGACATTTATTGTTATAAAAAAGGATGAAAAAAAACTTTAACAAAAAATGGTCACTTTTATTCTCAGCATTTGATTCTTAGCTCTCCGTTTATACATGGTATGTTTGAGTCTGATTGTGTGTTGCAACCTTTTTGGTTTGAAATGTGACAATGTTTGTTTCTAAACCTTTAAATTTTAAAGAATGTATTGTGTCTTTCGATGCAATCCGCAATATGTTTTTTGACGGAATACTGTATAACTCTGGGAACAATATATTTTTTTAAAGAATCATAATGGACAGACTTACATGAGTCAAACCGTGAACAAGAGCTTCACGGACAGGCTTACATGTGTAAAATCTTCTTAACGTAATGATTGACTTTAATTCGCCAACAGGGGCGGTCGGGTAGCCTAGTGGTTAAAGCGTTCGCTCGTCACGCCGATGACCCGGGTTCGATTCCCGACATGGGTACAATGTGTGAAGCCCATTTCTGGTGTCCCCCGCCGTGATATTGCGGGAATGTTGCTAAAAGCGGCGTAAAACCATACTCACTCACTCAATTCGCCGACACTGTCTTCGCCTCCAAATGGAGTCTTGGACACAACATTAGATAAGCGACATACCGCTTATAAAAAGACTGTCACCTCATATAAATGAGTTCACTAATGATACAATTGTAATTGACCCATGTGTTATATGATATATGTCATCTCCCTTGCAACTAGTCAACTAAGCAAAGCAGTCTTACATCTTGGTATTCCTTACTTACTAATTTGTTGATCCCAGTCAGTCAAAGAGAGTCCCCAAATGTCGTTATGCATCTCTGTGCCTCTTTCTAACGTACAACCTACCTTATAAGAACATAGCCTTTTTCGTCAAACGATTCTTTCATTTCTTCAGTAACTTTAAATGGGGCTTTGTAGTTGAACTCTAAAAAACGTAATTGTGTTTATTAAACAATTAGCTCAAGAAAACGTCTTCTTTTTCATGTATATGATATACATTTGCATAAACAAGGACGAAATGTCACCATGTAAACACTCTAATATATTGATATACTTCTTTGAAACATTAAGAGTGCTTTTGAAGTAAAACTTTGATGTTTACGTTTGCTAGAAAATGATTATTGTTAATTTTCAAAAGAAAAAAAATCATCTTTTTTTGAAGATGACAACGTGTATTGTTTTATAAGACTGAAAAGAATCCACACTTTCTCCTTGCACATAATGTTGTACAAACTGTCGGAATACAAAGATATTTGTATGTCATTGTTTATCGTTTGTTGAAGGCTTTTCCCCTACTGATCCGTAGCTGTGAGGCGAAACTGGTTGTCCATTCGTCTAAGGCGCCTAAATCGCTGTACACAGTTGAATTCCTTGCCACGTCAGACACCTACGGTCGTGGGTTCGAATCCCCGTTAGCCCAGATTATGGTTCTAGATACATCAGCGCCATACCGTGCACGTGGGTTTACCCAAAGTGGTATACGTCAAGGCCCTGCATTACGTCTGGTTTTCTTTCCATATTCAGCTGACACACTGTGATATAACTGGAATACTGATCAAAACAGCGTTAAACCCAACTCACTCATCAATCCTTGAGCTACACATAATGGATTTGTATATTTGGTATCCCAGATTCACAAGGTGGGAATTCGAAGGTGACATACAAATGATTTTTTAAAGCAGCGTTTAGCCAAATCACTCACTCATTCTTTTCGCAGGGACGGTCGGGTAGCCCAGTGGTTAAAGCGTTCGCTCGTCACGCCGAAGACCCGGGTTCGATTCCCGACATGTGTACAATGTGTGAAGCCCATTTCTGGTGTCCCCCGCCGTGATATTGCTGGAATATTGCTAAGAGCGGCGTAAAACCATTCTTCCTCACTCACTCATTCTTGGGCAAGTTCTGTTCACGTGTCAATCAATATTATGACTTGTTCGTGATCAACATTAGCATTGATAATAATAGCGAGAAGATCAATAACAACCATTATGAAAACAAAAAATCGATAATCACCTGATCTTGCCATTGCGGTTGCAAAATTCTCTGCAACGAAAAGTATCATCATAATAAAACATAACGATAAGCCACCGTGGGAGGTCTAAGATTGGACGTTATGTGCTTTACTAACGTAGTAGAGTAAACAGTAACTGAGTACAGTGTGGTTGACATCACTTTGTCCACCTGTACGCAACATCTAATGTTATTAAATAGGTGAGGTGAGGTGAAATTGAGTTTAACGTCGCGTCCAAGATTGTTGCACTTATATAGCGACGTGCATGCACGTGGGTGTGTGTGTGGCTGCTTGTACTAGTCCGGACTGATGCCGATTTATAGTGCTAGCTCACTGAGATACCATGCCGCGGTTTAACATGAATACCCCACTCAGACACAGTATACTGACTCCGAGCCGACCAGTCCTTGTTTTAGCTCCTTAATGCCGAGCGCCAGACAGGGTAACAACAAGTACCATCTTTTAACGTATTTTGGTATGACGTGGTCGGGGATCGAACCCCGGACCTTCCGCTCTCCGGGCGGACGCTCTACCACTAGACCACGGAGGCGGTCTGTTATTAAATAGATGTTTACAGAGCTCCAGATAACTTTTTGAGCAATTGAATTTTTACTCTAGCTTTTCTATTTTGATTGGGTTATCGAAGTTTTCATTTGGTAACCAATATTTTTTCACTCATCTCAATCTCATAAAAATCAGATCTTAGTTCTCGCTACAGCTAAACAAAGATCTGAGGACATCCCATTACGGGTCTCGTCAGTACAACCTTTCATTGGACCAATCAGAGCGTCGCTTAGCAGATCATGAAAGTGACAGTCGGAATGTGTTTTCCAATCATGCAACCTCGAAAACGTTAACACGGGGAATTCCGAACGACAGTTACGACTGATTCCGACAAAATTATCGTCTGTCTCTCGCTTGCGTAAGATAAACATTTGAACGGAGGAGGCGTTGCGCAGTACGTGGGAAGCACTGCCATACAATCTCAACCACATATTCATTCCGGAATGTTCGTTTGTTCAGTTTTAAAATTTTTAATCGAGAACTGTGTCAACATATTTTTCAAGCGTAGTCTGAAATGGAGGTTGAAACGATTGCCGTAAAGCTCGAGAAAGCTGCTTTCTAATTGGCTGATGTCGACTTCTTGTTAGTCATTTCAGGGGTCGGTCAAAGTTCGCGAAAGGTCGTTCTGACGTGACCCGTAATGGGATGTCCTCAGATCCTTGTTTGGGGGCAGGAACTTAGATCTGATTTTAATGAGATTGTCACTCATTTATTCATCACCCTATTGGGTTTTTTCCCAAAAATTAGTGAACATTTTAAGATTTTAAAAAAAATGTTTTAGATGTATATAACTGTTTTAAATATATAATCGGAAAGTAAATTAGCTCGTAATTGTGTTTAGGAAATAAGTTCCTTTGTACACATGCTGAAAAAGCTTCATTTGGTATTTACGCGTGCTGTTTTAATACATTTTAGTTTTTCATTTAATGCATGCGTTTCTGTACGCAAGTTAATTAAAAGTTTATCATTTATTGGTTACACGTTCTCCAAAGGGTGGCACAGTAGCCTAGGAAAGGGGTTCGCTGATCATGCAAAAACTTCTGGTTCGATTCCCAGGTGAGTTTACTGTGAAAGATAATTATTGGAGCCCCCTGCCCTGGTGTAGCTGAAATAGTACTAAGCCCGCCCACTCCCTCACTCACTCACTCACTCGTAATGTATAAGTTACATTCGGGTTATTTCTGGAATTCTCTGTCTCCATATGCTTTCTATTCCAATCGGGGCCTAGTGGTTAAAGCGTTCGCTCGTCACGCCGAAGACCCGGGTTCGATTTCCAACAATGTGTGAAGCCCATTTCTGGCGTCCCTCGCCGTGATATTGCTTGAATATTGCTAAAAGCGGCGTAAAAAACATACTCACTCGCTGTATTCCAATTATTTGCCAAATCTGTCAAAACAGTCGATAAAAGTATCAGAATTTGTTATACTAATCTTGTAAGTTTTTGTAACTTCCTGGAAAGCATATATTTTTTTTTACTTTAACACCCTCCCCACCGCGTGTTAAAATGAAGTTTACATTTATAGTTTGCATAAGTATGTTAACGTACTCAAGAAATCAGATACGTTTGAAAAGAGTCACTAGAATTATGAATCACTATTTTAGTGCTTAAGCAACCCATGCTTGTCGTAAAAGGCGACGGCTATGCTTTGTCGAAAGAGGCGACTTACGGGATCGGGGGGTGGTCAGGGTCGATGACTTGGTTGATGCATGTCATCGGATCTAAATAGCGTGGGTCGATGCTCATGATATCAATCACTGTATTGTCTGGTCTAGACTCGAATATTTACAGATCGCCGACAAACAGATGGAATACTGCTGATCGGCTTGAAACAACAAACAAACAAACAAACAAAGCAACAAGTACACAAACAACTTTGTAACTGAGCTTATCACATCCACTGCATCACGGAGTATTGTTGAACATCGATAAAAGACAGAATTGGTCTTAATCCTCAGCAGCGGTTGTAGGTTTTAATTTATGACTTCTGTGTATGAAAACATACATGTTGCTATTTTGAAAACCCAGGAGACATACTTACATGAACAATGCCGAAGTACTACGTGTGACGTGGCGGTCCGCTCTGTCGCCTTATCTATCTGGGGCGAGCCGTGACTGTGCAAGCCTTGACCCACACCTTCCTGTACAGTCATCACGTAAGCAATTTGACCCAGGGGGTAATAATGATAATAATAATAATAATAATAATAATAATAATAATAATAATAATAATAATAACAACAACAACAATAATAACAACAACAATAATAATAATAATAATAATAATACCATCATCATCATCATCATCATCATAATAATAATCACATTAATACAACCAAAGCTGCATGTGAGGCGCTAGAAGGTTAACGTGCACTTCACCATCTCGTCCTACCTGGTACCCATTCACTGCTGGGTGAACAGAGCATAATAAATAGGGTCAAGGTCACAGTGACCATGCACAGGCTTGTTGACGTTTACTGTAGAATAAGAATTTAGAAAGATTAACAATAAATTTTCTATTTGTAGAAGATAGGAGAGCATTAAATTGATGGATGTTCGGATGCATGTGGTATAAATGTTATAGTGCAAACCATTTCAAAACTTCTCTTTAAAATTCCATCTATCCAAAATACCTAATTGTTTCAATATGCTTCCAAAGTGCAGCGAAATTCTTACCTCTTAGTATTCAGCAAACATTCAGCGTTTCCCCTCGAATCATAACCCCCCTCGGGGCAGGACCCTTCATCTCCAGCGCTATCTATAAATGTCAATTAAAGGCTTGCCCCCATCTGGCCTACACCCAACCACTCCACTTTGTCAAAGAACTCAAGAAGATCGAGGTGAGGTGAGGTGAAATTGGGTTTAACGTCGCGTCCAAGATTATTGCACTTATATAGCGACGTGCATGTACGTGTGTGTGTGTGTGTGTGTGGCTGCTTGTACTAGTCCGGACTGATGCCGATTTATAGTGCTAGCACACTGAGATACCATGCCGCAGTTTAACATGAATACCCCACTCAGACATAGTATACTGACTCCGAGCCGACCAGTCCTTGTGTTAGCCCCTTAATGTCGAGCGCCAGACAGGGTAACAACAAGTACCATCTTTTAACGTCTTTTGGTATGACGCGGCCGGGGATCGTACCCCGGACCTTCCGCTCTCCGGGCGGACGCTCAAGAAGATCGAGACAGCAGATAGACGGTCAAGATTGGACTTGGTGGTGCCATGAGACCTCGTGCTCGTGTTGACAGAGACCGAGATGCAAGGCTCGAGAGACTGAAGCAGCAGCTTGCTACTGGCAGAAGATCAGTGATCCAGTTTCTGGATGCAGTTGGACATTTCATCAAATTACAGTAATTTTGCTAGTAATGATGTAGTGCTAATGTTATAAAACATGAAGATGATGGATATACATGTACATTGCAATGATAATACATGTGTATTTATGATATTTGATGTTGTGAAAACATTTGAGTTGTGAAGATGATCTCATATACAAAATGAAATTACAGAATCAAAAGTCATTTACATTCTTTGTTATCTTGTTGGAAGAGTTCATTTTACTTAAGGGATAAGGGTACAAGTGATGTGCACTCATCCATAAATTTGTTTTGATAGTAGTGTAGGCGATATGAGGTGTAGGCCAGATGAGCACAGGCCCAATTAAAAACTCCTTACGTCGCCGGATGTGACGTATGTACATGCACGTGGTTCACTGACCTTGAACCATGTTACGTAATTCCTCTATCTACAAACCTGACTGACGTTCAGGAATCGAGCCCAGATCAACGACAGAAGCGGACGGAATGTACGTTTAGTCTTGGCGTCGGCAAAGACCGTCGCCACACAAACGACAATGTCATGAAGATTCGCAGTCCGACTTCCTTCCTTTGCGCAAGTGACAGAGTAGGTCTCAGCCCCGGGAACATTGGCCACTCGGTCCCGGTGTGCGTTCTGTCACGTGATTACCATTACCTGAACCATTTTCGACCCATTCCAACCCATCCTCCCGAAGCAAGAGAGTTAACTGACTTTAAAAGTCAGTTAACTCTCTTGCCTCGGGAAGATGATTCCAACCCATCATCAATAAACATGGCTGCTGTCGTCTAAAAAAGCACCCCTGAATTTTGTCTTCCGTCGTCCACCCCGAACAACATCCGAGGACAAAAACGTACGAGCTTTGACATAAAGAAGGAATCTGTCGTAAATGATCATATGCGGGACACACAAGCAGAAAATGAAACTCGTGATCCACAATTTTTAAAGAGCATATTTTTCAGTCTCTCTTATTACACCGTTGATACAGCTATCGTTATGTCACCTTTCTGACAAAAACATATCCTATAAATAGCTGCAATATCCTATTTATCATAGGAAGGGGCATGCTTATGGGGAAAAAAAAGGAATCGCATTTATTTGATAGAATTGCAATTAAGTCTCGTTTATACGACACTCGTTAATCCGACAATCGGCTTTGTCCGGCACGGGTAGCCCAGTCGCCTAAGGCGCCGCCATTCACTGTACAGAGTTGCGTCCCTTGGGACAGCAGAAACCTATGATTGTGGGTTCGAATCCCGGTTCGCCCAAATTATGTTTCTAGGTTTGTCAGCACCATACCCATGCCCATGGGTTTCACCGAAGTGGTAAACGTCTGAGACCTGCATCACTTTGGGTTCTCCTCTGGCATTAAGTTGACACGCCGTGATGTAACTGGAATACTGTTAAAAGCGGCGTTAAACCCAACTGACTCACTCACTTTCTCCGACACAAATGATGGAAACCGACTCCGACACACCCAACTTGCAATCACTCATTAATCACTCAGTGTAATTAGAAATCAATGGTGACAGCCATGAAATATCCACGATGGACCTGTGAATGCAGATGCTCTGGATGAGGATTCTGGTGGTAGATCTTGATCTCTGGAGCCACACCTCTGAGAGACGACGGTGATGCACAACGTTGGCACACATGACGTCCACGTTTTTTCCCACAGATGAAACGGGTCAAGTCAGTATCTGGGTTTAACCATTCATTAAAAACAAATCCACTGACGTCTCCAAACACGACTCCCACCATCAGTCGACAAGGAACCTTGATTCGTCACAGGACACCTAATGCTTCGAATCTGTGTCCGTTTTTTTTCTGTTTTGACCTTTATACAATCATTGGGTGACTACTTTGCTGTTGGGACCCGTGAAGATTCCAGGGAAGAATAGGTCTTCAGCATCACATGCTTGCCGTAAAAGGTGACTATGCTTGTCGTTAAAGGCGACTAACGGGATCGGGTGGTTAGGCTCGCTGACTTGGTTGATGCATGTCATCGATCCCAATTGCGTGGATCGATGCTGTTGATATCAATCACTGGATTGTCTGGTCCAGACTCGATTATTTACAGACCGCCGTCATATAGCTGGAATATTGCTGAGTGGGGCGTTAAACAATAAACCAACCAACCAACCAACCAACCAACTTTGCCGTTGGACGAGAGGCCGGACGCCACAAATGTGAAGAGTTGCGTCCCTTGGATGTGACGTGATCCTATGATCGTAGTTTCGAAGACTAGATTCAGTCTGGTTGTGATGACTGGGCTGTCATCGGTGGCGGTAAACTTAACTCACTCAACAACAATTATCTTTTTTTTACATTGCATGGTTTACATAACCACCGACATAAAAATATCCCAAATGTAACTCAAATTTGAGAACATTTCATTTTTCTTCCCGCCAAAGACGTTAATTAAGTTTAACAATGTGAAAACATTAAAGTAAATCAATATATGAAAAGAAATAACAGTGTTTAACTCTTTGACAGCTATTCACAACTTGGCTCTTTCGTATGTATTATTTATTTTATCCAACCAACACTTTTACATTTTTCATGAGAATACTTTAAAAAAAAATTCATTTGATTTTTAAAAATATTGACATCCATCCTTCGCTCTTGAAATCAATCTAATAATGACGTCTCATTAAAACGTGAAAGAGTATGCGTTTTCAGGTTGTACTGACACACTTAGACTTAGGTGTTTTGTATAATATTGACATTCAGTTTTACCGCACTGACTGAAGATCGTATTCTCTCGTACTTGTTTTTTGGTTTTTTTTCAAATTAATTTTAAAAGCGTTCATCGTATGTCCCCGCTGTGGGCTGTTTGTAATAGTTTTCCTGAAAATGACTTATTAGTGACCGAAAGGACTTATGGGTAATTGAATACAAAATGCATGCATGTTCTTGAAACAATAATTATTTTTTTAATAACATGTTATATTTCGTCTACTTCATCTTAAAATTCCCGATGTGTTGTTAGTTATTTCTATTTGAACTCAGAAATGCATGACATTTGATAGAAAATTTAATGGGAGGAGGCAACAATGGGAGAGAGACGGTGCCCACGTGGTACTTGATCACGACATGCGTGACCTGAATAGGCTACTCGTTTACTGTTGAAAGACGATGTTTTTCAAATTCAGTTTGTAAGGGAGGTAATCGGATAGTAGTCAAAAGTGTCAGCTGTAAAACAAGGGAATGAATTGAAGCCATTATTGTTCATATTGCCTATGCGGATTAAACATTTTTGGGGAATTGTTTCATTGGAAATCTAATTTGTTTGCCATTTTGATTTAGCCATGATTATTTGTTACCGCCGTGTTGATACCTTGCATCAAAGTTTTCTTGTTTTGCATTACTCTAAAAAAAATGCGAAGTGTAATTTCTAAAGTGTTGGTGATACCATCCCCATCAATGCCGGGAGACATTGACAATAAACGCATCTCAAGTCGACGACCAGTAGGATCAATTTTGACGAATAAGGTGTACGTTGTTGTGTGTAGTTGCAACGTTTTTCACAGAAACTGATTCAAGAAACACGTTTATTGATTTTATTTTGTTGTAAGCGAGGCAAAACTTTGATGACGTCAGACCCGGAAGCGCATGGCCAGGTGCCGGTCGGTGTGAACTGTCAAATACGAAATAAATATTTCTGCTTCATTACAAATGAGCAAATACGAAGACTTAGTATTCCCCTATTGCGAAGATGAAACAAAATATGAAAAACTTGCGAAAATTGGACAGGGTACATTCGGGTAAAATATATTATTTAGTGATAAGCTGTATTTTTTTTTTATTTCTGTAGGCTTTTGTTTGCATGCCATGAATGAACACCGAACAGATGTTGAAAGGAACACTTAAATTTTATCCCATTTTATTATCCTACATTATATTTCAGACCAACATCGCTAAATATTTAATAGCAATTTGTTCCCGAGTATAAATAATTGGTGATATAGCTTTAGATAATTTTAAGGACTTTTGGATAATTTTATCAACTTTTGATACATGTCCTCTGTCATTACGAAATTTAAAAATAATATTAAGAACTTTTTTGGTGAAAATCAGTCAATGTCCTTGAAAATTTGTCAATGTAACCCAGTGTTTTATTGAACTGTATAATTTTTTCAGTGGTCCATAGGGGGTGGTGGGGTAGCCTAGTGGTTAAAAGGGTGGCTTCTCAAGCCGAAGGTCCAGGATCGATTCCCTACATGGTTACAATGTGTAAAGCCCATTTCTGGTTACCCCGCATGACATTGTAATTTGTTGGAATGTTGCTAAAAGAAGCGTAAAACGATACTCACTCAGTTGTCGGTATAACTGGTTGACAGTGGAGTCACTTGAACTTCAAGTGTTCACTCATCAAATTGAAGACAAGGTTGAGATGCTTAACATGTGGAGTCCATTCTTGTGGAATTGTTGGAATATGGCTCAAAGCCACTACAAATGGAACTAAATCAATCACACAGTTCCATGCCAAGATCCGGGTTAAAATAGGTCTTCAGCAACCCATGCTTGTCGTAATAGGCGACTATGCTTGTCGTAAGAGACGACTAACGGGATCGGAGGGTCAGGCTCTCTGACTTCGTTGATGCATGTCATCATATCCCAATTGCATGGATCAATATTCATGATGTCAATCACTGGATTGTCTGGTCCAGACTCGATTTTTTACAGGCTGCCGTCATACAGCTGGAATATTATTGAGTGCTGCATTAAACAACAAACCTACAAAAAAAACAAAGCTTGTGAGCGAGACCACGGTGGTAAACTTATAAGACCTGCTTCACTTCAGGCTTTCCTTCAACACCAAGCCTATATGCCATGATATAACTGAAATATATTTCAATGCAGTTATTTACTCACTGATTCATTCTGGGGCCTGTTTCAATTGTGAAGCTCTCTTCCTAGTCCTACATTGAGCATAAATAAAGAGAATCTGACCTGAGTGGCCTCCAAGGAGGGCTGGGACTAGTCCAAATTTAATGCCCCGGTACCCGACCCCCTATTACACGACCCTACCCGGATACCTACTGTAGGTCTCAAGAGTTGGGTACAAAATGTCTGATTGGTAATTTTGTTCTCGAGCCCAGGCAAAAAGTATTTAGATACACCCTAAACTGATCTGGTTAATCATACACTGATGTTGACAGGAGCTTTAGTCAGAAAGAAATGCGAACATTAGTGACTGGTAGTGCATCTTCCCGAGGCAAGGGAGTTAACTGACTATAAAAGTCCAGTTTAAAACCCTTGCCGAACTAGGCTGGTATTATGGAGTTACGTTTTGTCTGGAATAACGAGTCTATGCATAGTCCAATCAAAATCGCGCCCTGAAATCAAAATCTGGTTCGTAAACTGTCGTGCAGATTTCGATCAATTGCAGGGTTTGCAAAACATGTGCATCGCCAATTCGTTGTCAGCAGATATTTTCCAAATCCTTTCATGTTTTTAATCAACGTGCTCACGCAATGTAAGACCCGTTTTATCACAATATAGATCTTGATTATCGATCAGATCGTCCTGACTGGGCGCTACCATTTTGTGTGAAGCAAACGCAAGTGATACGAGAGGTGGAATCTGATTGGTCCACAGGAGAGGCTTAGAAGGGACATAATTGGTAATAGCCACTGGTGGCGCTACGATCGAGCCCAGTAATTCCAGCCTAGTTCAGCAAGGGTGGAAACTGGACTTTTATAGTCAGTTAACTCCCTTGCCCCGGGAAGATGATGGTAGTGTAACCATGAAGTTATAGCGAATTTCGTCATTAAACAATATAACCATGGGGGACTAACCCCCGGGTCTGTGAAGGCTGTGGGTATTTCGGTCCTACTCCGTACCCACCCAACCTGAGTACCTAAGGTACCCGTCCCTGCCTTAACTATAAGACATCAAGACTCGTTTATACAGGTTACAAATTTAAGCTTGAAAGACTAGTCCGGTTTTTACATTGACTTACAAAAGTTGGAAAAAAACCCAACCTGACTAGTCTTCCAAGCTTAAATTTGTAACCTGTATAAAGGAGTCTTGCTGTCTTATAGTTAAGGCTAGGCTTCTAGTCAGGTTTTTACATTGACTTACAAAAGTGGGGACCTGTGAAGATTCCAGGGTAGAATACGTCTTCAGCAACCCTTACTTGCCGTAAAAGGCGACTGTGCTTGTAGTAAAAGGCGACTAACGGGATCAGGTGGTCAGGCTCGCACGATGCTCATGATGTCAATCACTGGATTGTGTGGTCCAGACTCGATTATTTTACAGACCACCGTCATATAGCTGGAATATTGCTGAGTGCGGCGTTAAACAACAAACAAACAAACAAAACAAAAGTGGGAATCCAGGGGACGCCTTATAACTAACTTGAGGGTCCTTGCAGGCAATATGAGGGTCCTGTAAAGTAATGAGATCCCACCCGATCCCGTTAGTCGCCTTTTACGACAAGCATGGTTGCCTTTTATGGCAAGCATGGGTTGCTGAAGACCTGGATTTTCACGGGTGTTGATTGTTGCTGGAAGTAATAACACAAGGAGAATTCTCAGAGAAGGTAATTAATGGTAATAACTGGTAATGAGGTCATCTGACTGCATGATTTACCTGGACCTGCTCAGAGGCCGATGTTCAGCCCCAAGTCTGCAGCAAATGTCAGTAAAAATTCCCAAAATCGAATTTAAATTTTCCCAATTCATGTTATTAAATTATTAACTGATGTTATGTTTGGTTTTTTTTCTTGTTTAACACCCCACTCAGCAATATTCCAGCTTTATGTCAGCGGTCTGTAAATAATCAAAATTTAAACAAACAAAACATTCTTCCATGTGCTCATACCATGCAATGCTTTACCATAAAACTTTTTACTTCTGGTTTTCTTCCCACATTTAACTGGCACACTGTGATATGACAGAAGTACTGTTCAACCCCAATAAAAGATTTAATACCTGTGTTCACTCATGATAATCTGGTTGTTCCCGATGTGCATCCCTAGGGCACGTCAGAAACCTATAATTGTGGGTTTGAATCCCAGTTCACCTTGATTATGTTTCTAGGTTTGTCAGCACCATACCCATCTTCGTGGGTTTCACCGAATGGATAAAGTCGGAGACCTGCATCACTTCGGGCTTTCCTCCCACATTAAGCTGACACGCCGTGATATAACTGGAATACTGTTGAAAGCAGCGTTAAACGCATCTCACGCACCGACCCATGATATTTCTCAACATTCATTGGTTTTTCTTTTCAGTGAGGTTTTTAAGGCCAAAGACAAAAAGACGAAACGACTTGTGGCCATGAAGAAAGTGCTGATGGAAAATGAAAAAGAGGGAGTACGTTATTATCATTTGAAACCCTTGGCATGTCAGCATTTCATTCAGAAAGTGACCGCCTCCGTGGTCTAGTGGATAGAGCGTCAGCCCGGAGAGCAGGTCAGTGGTTTGATTCCCTACCTCGTCATACCAAAATGTTAGGAGGTGGTACTTGTTGTTACCCTGCCTGGTCCTCGGCATTGAGGAACTAAAACAAGGACTGGTTTGCTCGGAGTCAGTATTCTGTGTCTGAGTGAGGTATCCATGTTAATCTGCGGCATGGTATCTCAGTGTGCTAGCACTATAAAACCAACAGTCCGGACTAGTACAAGCAGCCACACACAAACGTGTATGTATGTCACTATATAAGTGCAATAGTCAGGGGGGCGACATTAAACTCCATTTCACCTCGGGGCGGTCGGGTAGCCTAGTGGTTAAAGCGTTCACTCCTCACGGTGAAGACCCGGGTTCGATTCCCGTTATGGGTACAATGTGTGAAGCCCATTTCTGGTGTCCCCCGCCGTGATATTAGTGGAATATTGCTAAAAGCGGCATAAAACCATACTTATTCATTCATTCCATTTCACCTCACTGTGAAATGAGTGAGATACTGTTCAAAGCATTGCAAAACCCCATCCATCCACCTCGCTCACTCACTCACTCACTCACTCACTCACTCACTCACTCACTCACTCACTCACTCACTCACTCACTCACTCACTCACTCACTCACTCACTCACTCACTCACTCACTCACTCACTCACTCACTCACTCACTCACTCACTCACTCACTCACTCACTCACTCACTCACTCACTCACTCACTCACTCACTCACTCACTCACTCACTCACTCACTCACTCACTCACTCACTCACTCACTCACTCACTCACTCACTCACTCACTCACTCACTCACTCACTCACTCACTCACTCACTCACTCACTCACTCACTCACTCACTCACTCACTCACTCACTCACTCACTCACTCACTCACTCACTCACTCACTCACTCACTCACTCACTCACTCACTCACTCACTCACTCACTCACTCACTCACTCACTCACTCACTCACTCACTCACTCACTCACTCACTCACTCACTCACTCACTCACTCACTCACTCACTCACTCACTCACTCACTCACTCACTCACTCACTCACTCACTCACTCACTCACTCACTCACTCACTCACTCACTCACTCACTCATGTTCTTGGTTTCAGTTCCCAATCACAGCCATCAGAGAAATCAAAATCCTTCAACTTCTGAAGAATGAGAATGTGGTCAGTCTCATTGAGATCTGCCGGACAAAAGGTAGTCATTTATTACGCCTATGCCATAAATGCACATCCCCGTGAAGATCCGGTGGAGAATAGGTCTTCAGCAACCCATGCTTGTTGTAAGAGGCGACTAACGGGATCGGGTGGTAAGGCTTGCTGACTTGGTTGATGCATGTCATCATATCCCAATCGCATAGATCGATGCTCATGATTTTCTATTACCCGTCATGCCTACAATACAAATGATGGCATGTTCGATTTCCAAGAAATGACCTCTCTCGCAAAAGGAGTGTTATTTGTTAACTTCTTTTGAAAAACTATGTGTTTTGTACACTTATTATGAACTACTCACGACTATGGTGTTTTTAATCTTGAACTTTAGTAATAATTGTTACATATATAACTACCTGTGACCACTTTTCGGAAAGTTCTAAGATTGCAGACCTGTGCACCTGTGTCATTACGCATTGCAAGAGAGCGCCGTTTTCAAAGCGTTGTTGCCGTCATGGTAGAATGGAGATAAACCTACTGTGTTATAAAATTTGATGTAGTCCCTCTGTAGAATAGATACCTCTTTATTATAATTTGGAACCTCGCGCTAAAGCGCTTTGGCGCGAGGTTTATCTCCAAATTCGATCATGTCAGAAGTGCAAAACAAGTATTCGATCATGTCAGGAGTGCAGAACAAGTATTCGATCATGTCAGAATAGATCTAAAACTTTCACTAAATTTCAATGTTTTCCATTAATTCAAACTCTCTAAATGGCACTTCTCCTGCCTCGTTTTTTAAAGATTTCCCATTTCTTGAGTTTCGTAGGTTGCTAGAGATGTGGTAAGTTAGTGTGTGAGTTGGGTTTAACGCCGCTTTTAACATTATTCCAGGTATATAACGCGGCGTGTCAGCTTAATGTGGGAGGAAAGCCTGAAGTGATGCAGGTCTCAGACATTTACCGTGAAACCCATGAGCATGGATATGGTGTTGACAAACCTAGAAACCAGGCGGACCACGATTTGAACCTACAATCATAGGTTTCTGGCGTGCCCAAGGGACACAACTCTGCACAGCAAATCTCAGTGCCTTAGATGACTTGGCCACCCGTGCCCCCCCGTAGCAAGGAAGCTGTGCATGGCTCCAGGTGTCCCATCTTTGTTAAAGAGGCAAACCTTTCAGTTTAACTGTGGTACATGGCTGATTGTGTCAGCATGTCGAATGGTTTGGACCAACCATTGGTTGGTCTGGCAGGTAATTTGAGATTGGAGAACCAAAGTAATGGATCCAGTCACGTCCTGTTCATGTTTCTAGGCAACTAACAGGGTCGAGTGGTCAGCTTGCTGACTTGGTTGTTGCATGTCATCATATCCCAGTTGCGTGGATGTTTTCAATCACTGGATTGTCTGGTCCAGATTTGATTATTTACAGACCGCCGTCATATAGCTGGAATATTGCTGAGTGTGGCGTTAAACAACAAACAAAGCAAACCATGTTTCTAGGTTTGTCAGCGCCATACTCATGCTCCCTGGTTTCACCAAAGTGATAAACGTCTTAGACCTGCAAAACTTCGGTTCATCCTCCAACACCAAGCTGACATGATATTATAGAACTGAAATTTACGAAGCCACCAATGAACAATCTCCAGCTATTTGTGCAAACATTTTAAATGTATGTGTAGCAGGGCGTGGAGTCATCCCACAAATGACATCCTTACCTTGTCAGCTTGCTGACGTGGTTAACCTCTTTGGTCATGTGGACAAGGCGTCCGACCTCTGATCAGAAGGTCCGTGGTTCGAATCCCATACGAAATTTTATATATTCACTGTAAGTTGTTTGACCAGCTTATGGTCAAAGGGAGATAACTCTAGATAACTCTTGTAACTGGAAGTGATAATGGATGTAAACAACTGCATAGCAGAATCCTTGAAATAAACCTGGGGATGTTAATCTCAATGAAAAGGAAGGTGCTAAATATGATGAGAAAATGACCTTCACTGGGTTGGAATATGGATCAAAAGTATTCCTCTTGTTGGCACTCTTAAGTTCCAGTGGGCACACACTTATATATTTTTATCTCTAGTGGTATCTCCTCAGGCAAGTGACTTTCTTCGAAATGTGCCTCTCTTTATGAATGGGTACCTGGTAGGATGAGAATTAATGTGACTGTAAACCTCCTAGCACCTCACAGATACAGTCCGTTTGACTCCAAATGAGAACGATGAATTGCAAAATAACTCAAAATCCAGAAAAGTGTATGAAACATCAATACGGTACTTGACCATGAATACCCTGTACCCAACAAAATCTGAATTTTGTTTATTTTAAGACCCATGACGGATGAAGTTCTTTAAGAAACTATCATGTAATTTTGTATAGAAATGTGTACATGACACGTAGGGGGACAAACCGTGGAAGGCACAGCGCAAGCACGGTCTGCACGTGCTACACAGTGACCGTGTTCATTCAATGACAAGATGCGCGACTCAGCAGATGTTAAACAGTTGATGTTGAATGTGTATGATTTCTTTAGAAGTGAAGCAGAAAGAGCAAAGCCTTTATATGCAATTAATAAATTCTTGAAACGAGCTTCAAAAGCTCTTGGTATGTCCCCTCAGAAACTTAAAAATGTTGTTAGTCGGGTACTCTATTTGCCAGTCTACAGGGACTGGCATTCACCTGAATTACCGGTCCTAGCCTAATTTTACTAGTAAAAACTGGTAATTACCGGTGAACGGGAACACTGGAACTTATACAGACCAATCTCCCTCAAGATATGTGAATATGTTTCAGCATGTTCAGAAGTCGCTGGGTCAGTGGGGTAGCATAGTGGTTAAAGTATTCACTGGTCTTGCTGAGGGGGTTGGGTTTGATTCCCCACATGAGTACAATGTCTAAAGCTCATTTCTGGTGTCCCCCACTGTGATATTGTTGGAATATTGCTAAAAGCAGCGTAAAATCCAAATCTCTCACTCACTCACTCACTCACTCAGAAGTCGCTTATAGGCATTTGCCTCTATGTGTACATTTGGTGCTGATCCGTGAAGATTCCGGGGTAGAATAGGTCTTCAGCAACCCCTGCTTGCCGTAAAAGGCAACTATGCTTGTCGTAAAAGGCGACTAACGGGATTGGGTGGTCAGGCTCGCTGACTTAGTTGATGCATGTCATCGATCCCAATTGCGTGGATCGATGCTCATGATATTAATCACTGGATTGTCTGGTCCAGACTCAATTATTTACAGACCGCCGTCATATAGCTGGAATATTGCTGAGTGCAGCGTTAAACCACAAACAAACAAATTATAGGCATTTGCCTCTGTGTGTACATTTGGTACGACCCGTGAAGATTCCGGGGTAGTATAGGTCTTCAGCAATCCATGCTTGCCGTAAAAGGCAACTATGCTTGTCATAAAAGGCGACTAACGGGATTGGGTGGTCAGGTTCGCTGACTTGGTTGATGCATGTCATCGTATCCCAATTGCGTGGATCGATGCTCATGATATTAATCACTGGATTGTCTGGTCCAGACTTAATTATTTACAGACCACCGTCATATAGCTGGAATATTGCTGAGTGCAGCGTTAAACCACAAACAAACAAACAAATTATAGGCATTTGCCTCTGTGTGTACATTTGGTACAGACACTGAAATAAGAACAAGACAATAACTCAATGTATTTCTTTCCAGTATCCCCCTACAACAGATTCAAGAGTACATTCTACCTTGTGTTTGAGTTCTGTGAACACGACCTTGCAGGCTTGTTGAGCAATGCCAACGTCAAGTTCACCCTCGGTGAGGTCAAGAAGGTCATGCAGCAGCTCCTCAACGGCCTCTACTTCATCCACAGCAATAAGATCCTCCACCGCGACATGAAGGCAGCCAACATCCTCATCACCAAAACTGGCATCTTGAAGCTGACCGACTTCGGCCTCGCCAGAGCCTTCAGTGCCACTAAACCTGGCCAGCCCAACCGGTACACCAACAGGGTGGTCACGCTGTGGTACCGACCCCCGGAGCTGTTGCTCGGGGAGAGGAACTACGGTCCGGCCATCGACATGTGGGGAGCTGGTTGTATCATGGCGGAAATGTGGACCCGGAGTCCGATCATGCAGGGGAACACAGAGCAACACCAGCTGTTGTTAATTACCCAGCTATGTGGGTCCATCTCGCCCGAAGTCTGGCCAGGCGTGGAGAAGCTCGAGCTGTATGATAAGCTCGAGCTGCCAAAGACTCAGAAACGCAAGGTGAAGGAGAGGTTGAAGTCGTATGTAAAGGATCAATATGCCCTTGACCTTTTGGATAAACTTATGAACCTTGACCCCTCGAAGAGGATTGATAGCGATACGTCTCTGAATCACGACTTCTTTTGGATGGACCCGATGCCTGCGGACTTGATGCCCATGTTGTCGAGGCATACAACATCAATGTTTGAGTATCTGGCGCCGCCGAGACGCAGGGGGCCAATTCCACAGCCACTGCCAAATAAGCCTGTGGCTCAGACACAACACTTTGAGAGGATATTCTGAGAAAGGTGGACCAAGTGTTATCTGGTGATAGTTGGACCAAGTGTTATCTGGTGATAGGTGAACCAAGTGTTATGTGGTGACAGGTGGACCAAGTGTTATCTGGTGATAGTTGGACCAAGTGTTATCTGGTGATAGGTGGACCAAGTGTTATCTGGTGATAGTTGGACCAAGTGTTATCTGGTGATATTTGGACCAAGTGTTATCTGATGTTAGGTGGATCAAGTGTTTTCTGATGTTAGGTGGACCAAGTGTTATCTGGTGATAGTTGGACCAAGTGTTATCTGGTGATAGTTGGACCAAGTGTTATGTGGTGATAGTTGGACCAAGTGTTGTGTGGTGATAGTTGGACCAAGTGTTATGTGGTGATAGTTGGACCAAGTGTTATCTGGTGATAGTTGGACCAAGTGTTATGTGGTGATAGTTGGACCAAGTGTTGTGTGGTGATAGTTGGACCAAGTGTTATCTGGTGATAGTTGGACCAAGTGTTATCTGGTGATATTTGGACCAAGTGTTATCTGATGTTAGGTGGATCAAGTGTTTTCTGATGTTAGGTGGACCGAGTGTTATCTGGTGATAGTTGGACCAAGTGTTATCTGGTGATATTTGGACCAAGTGTTATCTGATGATAGGTGGACCAAGTGTTATCTGATGATAGGTGGACCAAGTGTTATCCGATGATAGGTGGACCAAGTGTTATCTGATGATAGATGGACCAAGTGTTATCTGGTGATAGGTGGAACAAGTGTTATGTGTGATAGGTGGACCAAGTGTTATCTGGTGATAGGTGGACCAAGTGTTATCTGATGATAAGTGGAGCAAGTGTTATCTGATGAAAGTGGAGCAAGTGTTATCTGGTGATATTTGGACCAAGTGTTATCTGGTGATAGGTGGACTAAGTGTTATGTGGTGATAGGTGGACCAAGTGTTACCTGATGAAAGTGGACCAAGTGTTATCTGGTGATAGGTGGATCAAGTGTTATCTGGTGATAGGTGGACCAAGTGTTATCTGATGAAAGTGGACCAAGTGTTATCTGGTGATAGGTGGACCAAGTGTTATCTGATGATAGGTGGACCAAGTGTTATCTGATGAAAGTGGATCAAGTGTTATCTGGTGATAGGTGGACCAAGTGTTATCTGATGAAAGTGGACCAAGTGTTATCTGATGATAGGTGGACCAAGTGTTATCTGATGATAGGTGGAACAAGTGTTATGTGGTGATAGGTGGACCAAGTGTCATCCGATGATAGGTGGACCAATTGTTATCTGATGATAAGTGGACCAAGTGTTATCTGATGAAAGTGGACCAAGTGTTATCCGATGATAGGTGGACCAAAGGTTTTTCGCTTATATGCGGACCAAGTGTTATCTGGTGATAGGTGGACCAAGTGTTATCTGATGTTAGGTGGACCAAGTGTTATCTGATGACAAGTGGACCGAGTGTTATCTGGTGATAGGTGGACCAAGTGTTATCTGATGTTAGGTGGACCAAGTGTTATCTGGTGATAGGTGGACAAAGTGTTATCCAATGATAGGTGGACAAAGTGTTATCCAATGATAGGTGGACCAAGTGTTATCTGGTGATAGGTGGACAAAGTGTTATTCGCTGATAGGTGGACCAAGTGTTATTCGCTGATAGGTGGACCAAGTGTTATCTGATGTTAGGTGGACCAAGTGTTATTCGCTGATAGGTGGACCAAGTGTTATTCGCTGGTAGGTGGACCAAGTGTTATCTGGTGATAGGTTGACAAGTGTTATCTGGTGATAGGTGGACCAAGTGTTATCTGATGTTAGGTGGACAAAGTGTTATTCGCTGATAGGTGGACCAAGTGTTATCTGGTGATAGGTGGACCAAGTGTTATCTGATGAAAGTGGACCAAGTGTTATCTGATGATAGGTGGACCAAGTGTTATCTGATGATAAGTGGACCAAGTGTTATCTGGTGATAGGTGGACCAAGTGTTATCTGATGTTAGGTGGACCAAGTGTTATTCGCTGATAGGTGGACCAAGTGTTATCTGGTGATATTTGGACCAAGTGTTATCTGGTGATATTTGGACCAAGTGTTATATGGTGATAGGTGGACCAAGTGTTATCTGGTGATATTTGGACCAAGTGTTATCCAATGATAGGTGGACCAAGTGTTATCTGGTGACAGGTGGACCAAGTGTTATCTTGTGATAGGTGGACCAAGTGTTATATGGTGATAGGTGGACCAAGTCTTATCCGATGATAGGTGGAACAAGTGTTATCTGGTGATATTTGGACCAAGTGTCATGTAATGATAGTTGGAGATCAAATACATAGCTACCAGTAGCTTCTCACTCTCATTCTATCATCTGGAAACTTACAACAAAGTTGTTGTTTTTCTCCAGGAAGGGTTACACTAATCTCTGCAGAATTTTGTCTTGGATGAGTGGTTATGGAGTATGGTTACTGGAGTATGGATTGTCACTAGTCTCGGAGTAACGGACAAGTTGCCATGTGCGAAGTCCTGGCTTGTACTTATAACATGTGTGTCGCGTGCTGAAAGACATTGAAGTCACATTTTTTTAGGTCTTCCAAATATGAATTTGAACATTGTTTATGGACTGGTGATTTGTGGGATGGGGTGTCGTGATAAAATGTTAAATGTCGCAGGGTGGGGGAGAGGGGGGAAGGTGGGGTTTAACAAATATATGTTAGACGTCTTTACACTAACTCAACCGCCCCCCCCCGGCCCCAAGAGTCTTCTTGCATGTTACAGAAGGGGGCGAGTGGTGACGAATGACTCAGATTATTCCACTGGATGGTTTCAATTATCTGTATAGAAATTTACATAAATCAGAGCTCAAGATAAGCTTTTGGTGTTGTGGGTATTTTACCCATGCATTTTAAAATCATTGGGTATCAGTAATTCTATCTGGGTATTCAAATTTCTGTTACCCACTAGTTTTTACACATGTGGGTATTTAAGTTAAATATTTAAAAACACTATTCATCTAGTCCCTGCAAACTGGTGTCTTGTGGGTTCGAGAGCTTTATAGGACTAAAAAATACCACGATACTTCCACAAGAAAGTGTGATGGCAAATGATCATGATGTAACTGTCATCGTGGAGTTTGGCAAGGTTGACGGAATGCCCGTTTATAATTTCAAAATAAGTTACTGATTTGCTAATCGAATACGCAGGGTTACTTCACAATATTTTGATGATACGCACAAGTTTTATTTTTGTAGCGTATCTGTAATGTTCGTTGCGTATTTGATACGCTTGGATTTTATTTTACTGCATATTTCTGCATTTCTGATGCGTATTTCACGCAGATACGCAGCTTATCTGGAGCTCTGTAAAATAAATGAGGAATCGAGGCAGAGATGGAGTTACCTCCCTTTAGTCACGGCTACATACCATTTTCTGAGAGATTTGCAAAGTGTGAGTTAACTTACTTAGAAATAATGTTACCATGGTTACAATACCATTTTGGCACAGTGGGGGCCTGGATTGTTTATGTTAAACTAAAATAGGATACATTTTTTGTTAATAACTCTTCTTCTCTGTGTTTGTTTTTCAGTCATCCTGATTAGCCAGGTTGGCATATTTTGTTCTTTTTCACCTTGTTTAGTGTTGGTAATGCCAAACATATTGCAATCAAGTGAAATAAATGGTTATTTAGACTTTAAAAAGATAAGGCCGTAACAGTTCAAATACTTGTTTACAGATTTTTGTCTCTGTAAAACAAGTACCGTATTCAATGTAATAAGTGCCCATGGCACTCTCAAAATTAGAAATAGGGGGCTCTTATTAAAATATAATTTTGGTGGAAAAAAAACAGAGTTGAAAGATCGTAAATTTCATGGTTTATGCTAACAGCCTGAAATGAAACAAAAGAAAAGTCTGTGCGTATTATACACGACAGATACATTTTCCAAACATTAATTGCCCATAATTAAGGGTGCATATAACTCACGAGTGCGTATTATACACGAATATATAGGTCTTGTGTACATTGATCAATTGGAAGGGGTGCTAATTGGGATTGTTCACTTCTAATATATCAGCAAATATCGCTGTGGGCGCTTATTAGAGCGGGGGCGCTTATTACGTCGAATACGGTAATTAAGTTGGTCTTGTCTCATGAACAAAACTTATCCTGGCTTCTGTGACACTTCTTACAGCTGGTTTTCCTGAGCTCTCCCCATGTCCACAGCTGTGTTGTCTGGAACTGGAGGAGGAATAACCCTGATGGGTGGCAGCATGCTAGGAAAGATTGGTCATCAGGAACCCATGCATGTCGTAAGAGGCGTGGGGGCACTGGTGGCCCAGTCGTCTAAGGCGCTGCGATTCGCTGTGCAGAGTTGCGTCCCTTGGGCACACGAGAAACCTATGATTGTGGGTTCGAATCCCGGTTCGCCCCATTTGTTGCTAGGTTTGTCAGAACCATACCCGTGCTCGTGGGCTTCACCGAAGTGGTAAACGTCTGAGACCTGCATTACTTTGGGCTTTCCTCTCACATTAAGCTGACACGCCATGATATAACTGGAATACTGTTAAAAACGGTGTTGAACCCAACTCACTCACTCACTCAAGTAAGAGGCGACTCATGGGATCGGGTGGTCAGGCTCACTGACTTGGTCGATGCTTGTTATTGTATCCCAGTTGCACAGATCGATGCTCATGATGTCAAGCACTGGATTGTTTGGTCCATGAGCATCGATCCATGCAAGTGGGATACGATGACATGCATCAACCAAGTCAGCGAGCCTGACCACCCGATCCCGTTAGCCGCCAATAATGACAAGTATGGGTTGCTGAAGACCAATTCTACCCCGAATTTCTTGTAGTGATGGGTGGCCCGGTCGTCTAAGGCGCCGCGATTCGCTGTGCAGAGTTGCGTCCCTTGGGCACGCCAGAAACCTATGATTGTTGGTTCGAATCCCGGTTAACCCCGGTTATGTTTCTAGGTTTGTCAGCACCATACCCGTGCTCGTGGGTTTCACCCAAGTGGTAAACGTCTGAGACCTACATCACTTCGGACTTTCCTCCCACATTAAGCTGACACGCCGCGATATGACTGCAATGCTGTTAAAAGCGGCGTTAAAGCCAACTCACTCACTCACTCTTGTAGTGATGATATAGTTCAGTCTGAACGTGGTATTGTTCTGTAAAGGTCACAAATTTTTAGTTTGACAGAGTTACCTCCCCTCTCATGGGCTGTACGAAGTGAGTTTGAATGATTCAGCATTATTAAATAATAATTGTGATACCAAGGATCTAGCTTGCCATTTCAGTGAAACTGCAATTGTGTTTGCAAGTTTATCTGTTCTAAGTGTTGTTTTGCAACAGTTCTAGTCGAAGGGGGGGCATGGGTGGCCAAGTCATTTAAGGCGCCGCGATTCGCTGTGCAGTGCTGCGTCCCTTGGGCACGCCAGATACCTATGATTGTGGGTTCAAATCCCGGTTCGCCCTGATTATGTTTCTAGGTTTGTCAGCACCATACCTGTGCTCATGGGTTTCACCGAAGTTGTAAACATCTCAGACCTGCATCACTTTGGGCTTTCCTCCCACATTAAGCTGACACGCCCTGATGTAACTGGAATAATGTTAAAAGCAGCGTTATACACAACTCACTCACTCACTCACTCACTCACTCACAATACCAGCATGAGCACTCAGATATCTGTGAACACCTTGAGAAAAAGTAAGTGCCAACTGTTCTTTTCTTTATGCATTCAGAACTTCCCTCTATCTTTTGAGAACACAGGGCATGGGTGGCCTACAAAGGCCCCACAATTTGCTGTGCAGAGTTGCTTACTTAGGCATGGCAGAAACCTATGATTATGGGTTCAAATCCCGGTTTGCCACGATTATGTTCTTAGGTTTTTCAGCACCATACCCGTGCCTGTGGGTTTCACTAGTGTGGTGAACGTCTCAGACCTGCATCACTTTTTTGTTTCAGCAATTCAGGATGAGAATGACATTTTGTAAACAGAAACAGATGAAGTTTGTCTGAACATTAATACAGGATAGACTTGTTTTAGAGTACCTATTCTATTCTTTGTGTTTTCCAGGGCTATTTTTTATAATATAATCAAAAATATGTGATTTTCAACATTCCAAGGGTTTATACCATTGTGTATTATGGTTGTAAAGCAATATTAACTGTTTTATGCTTGTGTGTATGTGACCAATTGTTTATTTTGTCATGATATAATTTCAGTCTGATTTTGTCTGGAAGATCTGGGCATTGCTAGGAGAAAGAGGTTCTGTGGGAAATATGTGCAGATTACAGGAATGACAATATTTTCACTTTGTCAATGAGCTCATTGATGTAACTGTACATGTATATTAAAATGTTAATGTTTTCCTACAACTAGTTGCTTATTTATAGCTCATGTGACAATATTTGCTGAACAACATTTGCGACACAGATGGCCCAGTCTGACACACTACTATTGACCGTGCAAGATGGAGTGGCCCTGTCTAGCACACCACTATTAACTGTGCAGGATGGAGTGGCCCTGTCTGAGGCACTACTATTGACTGTGCAGGATGGAGTGGCCCTGTCTAACACACTACTATTGACTGTGCAGGATGGAGTGGCCCTGTCTAAGGCACCACTATTGACTGTGCAGGATGGAGTGGCCCTGTCTAACACACTACTATTGACTGTGCAGGATGGAGTGGCCCTGTCTAACACACTACTATTGACTGCAGGATGGAGTGGCCCTGTCTAAGGCACCACTATTGACTGTGCAGGATGCAGTGGCCCTGTCTAACATACTACTATTGACTGTGCAGCATGGAGTGGCCCTGTCTAACACACCACTATTGACTGTGCAGGATGGAGTGGCCCTGTCTAAGGCACCACTATTGACTGTGCAGGATGGTGTGGCCCTGTCTAACATACCACCATTGACTGTGCAGGATGGAGTGGCCCTGTCTAAGGACCATGCTATTGACTGTGCAGGATGGTGTGGCCCTGTCTAACATACTACTATTGACTGTGCAGGATGGTGTGGCCCTGTCTGAGGCACTACTATTGACTGTGAAGGATGGAGTGACCCTGTCTAACATACTACTATTGACTGCAGGATGGAGAGGCCCTGTCTAACACACTACTATTGACTGCAGGATGGAGAGGCCCTGTCTAACACTACTATTGACTGTGTAGGATGGAGAGGCCCTGTCTAACACTACTATTGACTGTGAAGGATGGAGTGGCCCTGTCTAAGGCACCACTATTGACTGTGCAGGATGGAGTGGCCCTGTCTAACACACTACTATTGACTGTGCAGGATGGAGTGGCCCTGTCTAACACACTACTATTGACTGCAGGATGGAGTGGCCCTGTCTAAGGCACCACTATTGACTGTGCAGGATGCAGTGGCCCTGTCTAACATACTACTATTGACTGTGCAGCATGGAGTGGCCCTGTCTAACACACCACTATTGACTGTGCAGGATGGAGTGGCCCTATCTAAGGCACCACTATTGACTGTGCAGGATGGTGTGGCCCTGTCTAACATACCACCATTGACTGTGCAGGATGGAGTGGCCCTGTCTAAGGACCATGCTATTGACTGTGCAGGATGGTGTGGCCCTGTCTAACATACTACTATTGACTGTGCAGGATGGTGTGGCCCTGTCTGAGGCACTACTATTGACTGTGAAGGATGGAGTGACCCTGTCTAACACACCACTATTGACTGTGCAGGATGGAGTGGCACTGTCTAAGGCACCACTATTGACTGTGCAGGATGGAGTGGCCCTGTCTAGCAAACCACTATTGACCGTGCAGGATGGAGTGGCCCTGTCTAAGGCACTAATATTGACCTTGCAGGATGGAGTGGCCCTGTCTAACACACTACTATTGACTGTGCAGGTTGGAGGGGCCCTTTCTAACACACTACTATTGACTGTGCAGGATGGAGTGGCCCTGTCTAAGGACCACACTATTGACTGTGCAGGATGGAGTGGCCCTGTCTAACATACTACTATTGACTGTGCAGGATGGATTGGCCCTGTCTAACACACTACTATTGACTGTGCAGGATGGAGTGGCCCTGTCTAAGGACCACACTATTGACTGTGCAGGATCGAGAGGCCATGTCTAACACTACTATTGACTGTGTAGGATGGAGAGGCCCTGTCTAACACTACTATTGACTGTGAAGGATGGAGTGGCCCTGTCTAAGGCACCACTATTGACTGTGCAGGATGGAGTGGCCCTGTCTAACACACTACTATTGACTGTGCAGGATGGAGTGGCCCTGTCTAAGGCACCACTATTGACTGTGCAGGATGGAGTGGCCCTGTCTAACACACTACTATTGACTGTGCAGGATGGAGTGGCCCTGTCTAACACACTACTATTGACTGCAGGATGGAGTGGCCCTGTCTAAGGCACCACTATTGACTGTGCAGGATGCAGTGGCCCTGTCTAACATACTACTATTGACTGTGCAGCATGGAGTGGCCCTGTCTAACACACCACTATTGACTGTGCAGGATGGAGTGGCCCTGTCTAAGGCACCACTATTGACTGTGCAGGATGGTGTGGCCCTGTCTAACATACCACCATTGACTGTGCAGGATGGAGTGGCCCTGTCTAAGGACCATGCTATTGACTGTGCAGGATGGTGTGGCCCTGTCTAACATACTACTATTGACTGTGCAGGATGGTGTGGCCCTGTCTGAGGCACTACTATTGACTGTGAAGGATGGAGTGACCCTGTCTAACACACCACTATTGACTGTGCAGGATGGTGTGGCCCTGTCTAACACACTACCACTGGATGTGCAGGATGGAGTGGCCCTGTCTAACACACTACTATTGACTGCAGGATGGTGTGGCCCTGTCTAACACACTTCCATTGGATGTGCAGGATGGAGTGGCCCTGTCTAACACACTACCATTGGATGTGCAGGATGGAGTGGCCCTGTCTAACATACTACTATTGACTGTGCAGGATGGAGTGGCCCTGTCTAACATACTACTATTGACTGTGCAGGATGGGGTGCCCTGTCTAAGGCACTACTATTGACCTTGCAGGATAGAGTGGCCCTGTCTAACACACTTCTGTTGACTGTGCAGGATGGAGTTGCCCTGTCTAACACACTATGATTCTCTGTGCAGGCACGGGTGGTCCAGTCGAAGGCACAACTTTTGACTCACTCACTCACGCACTCAACCAGACACTCACTCATTCAATCAACCAGACACTCACTCATTCAATCAACCAGACACTTTCTCATTCAATCAACCAGACACCCACTCATTCAATCAACCAGATGCACACTTACTCATTCAATCTACCACATACTCACTCATTCAACCAACGAGATGTTCACTCATTCAGTCAACACACGAAGCTCAGTCACCCATTCAATCAACCAACCAGATGGTCACACATTCATTTAACTCTCATTTAATCCCAAAAATAATGTGCCATGTTCTTGCAGAATATATTAAAGTGTTCAAAGAATGCAGTCATTATATAACGATATTATTTATTTAACAAATTTACTGTTTAACTGGGGGCACGGGTGGCCCATTCGTCTAAGGCGCCGCGATTCGCTGTGCAGAGTTGTGTCCCTTGGGTACGCCAGAAACCTATGATTATGGGTTCGAATCCCGGTTCGCCCCGATTATGTTTCTATGTTTGTCAGCACCATACCCGTGCCCGTGGGTTTCACCGAAGTGGTAAACATCTGAGACCTGCATCACTTCGGGCTTTCAACTCATATTAAGCTGACACGCCGTGATATAACTGGAATACTGTTAAAAGCGGCGTTAAACCAAACTCACTCACTACTGTTAACACATGTTACTGTTGGAACAGATAACTGAACTCCTACACAAGACAATAATGCTGACCTCAAACGAACCCTCTCACCCAGTGATAGCAACATCCACCCATCCCTTTATTACACGCTGCATCCGGGTTTCAAGAACTTTCCTATGAACACAACCACGCATTCCGACTGTTCCGAGTTGCCCAGGACGCACGACGGCAGACAGTCTGGAGCCTACCGCCTTATCGTGACCTAACAACCGTCGTCGCGCATCTGTCTGTTCTCTCGCACAGTTTGGTCCTGATCATAAGGTAAGAACTGTGTGCTTATATGTTATTTACCAGTCACACATTTGAAAACAAAGAATATTTATTGAGCGAAGGCATCAGATCCATGAGTATATGAGTGTTGTTACGCTTAACTCCGGCGTTTTCTTTGAGTTGTATTTTCTTTCTAGGATGGTTACCAATCATAACTGAGAAGTGTGTTTTAATTAGCTTAGAACGATCCAATATGTCAAATCAAGCAGAAAAATATTTTAAATATCGAGCAATGGTAATACGTCGGTTACTTTTCCTCTCTATAAAAGTAGACTCTTCTCGACTCAATTTCGCACGTGCAGCACGAGTTTCTAGTTACATTTAAGGGCTTGCAGCTTTGAACAATTTAGAAGACAGTCGTCAAGTTCAAATTCTTTCAGATGAAACCTCACGAAAACAATACAGAAAAGGGTTGGTGGGTAGCCTAGGGGTTCAAGCGTTCGCTCGTCACGTCGAATGGCCGGGTTGGATACCCCAAATGGGTACACTGTTTGAAGCCCATTCTGTCCCCCGCTGTCACATGTCTGAGATTTGTAAAAGTGGCCTGCAAATCTTGCTCACTCTCTCATAATGCCAGAATAAATTATAACATCTACAAAGAACGACTTCAAAAACATTTCCTCTCCAATCCCTGTTGTCGTGAATTTACATTAATTAAGTGAAAATGTCCTGCGGGTTCGAACGGAAACACTTTTTAACAAGTTAATGCAAGTATGACCGATTAGTATGTTAGAGGTAGAGGTATATTTTAACTTGGCAGAGAAGAAACATCAGTAAAGACCTACATGTACATCGGCGGAGGTACGGGTTATCATAACTTTATATATAACCTACTTGAAGACAGGCACACACTGAAGCAACCAAGCAACAACGCAACGCAGGCCTGAGCGTTTTGTTTTGTTGTTTTGTTGTTTTTTTCTCTCAAAAACACATTCAGGCAGCGTTTCGAAGCAGCGATATAGAAAGACATCACCAAATATTTTTGAAGGTATAGCAATTCAGAACAAAAAATCATCAAAATATACTGTTAAGAAATAGTGGGGGGTCGTGAAATATAAATGTTACTGCCAAGTATGAGAACAAAGCTAAGTGTTGACAAACATCATAATGTGTACAAGAACAATGATGTCTGTAAAAGGTAACACGCGTAAACACATCGTTTAGTTTACACGTGCCCAAGCACTAGTGCCACACAAGTGCGCTGGGGATTATTCCTGATTTTAACACTTTTCAAGAAGGTCGATTAATCTCTGTTCGTTGTTTAACGCCGCACTCAGCAATATTCCAGCTACATGACTGTGATCTGTAAATAATCGAGTCCGGACCAGACAGTCAAGTGATTGACATTATGAGCATCGATCCACGCAATTGGGATACGACATGCATCAACCAAGTCAGCGAACCTAACCATCTGATCCCATTAGTCGCCTCTTACGACAAGCATAGTTTCCTGAAGACCTGTTCTAACCCGGATCTTCACGGGAAACTCGATCATGCATGTGTTGCAGGGTCGCACATGACACCACATACATAAAATACCACAGGTGTTCGGTACCACAGGAATTTTGCCCCTTTGTATATTCGGGGTAGGCAGCAACCCATACTTGCCTTAGAAGGCGACTATGCTTTTCGTAAGAGGCGACAAACGGGATCGGGCGGTCAGGCTCGCTGGCTCAAGCATGTCATCGTATCCCAACTGCGTGGATCGATGCTCATGATGTCAATCACTAGATTGTCTGGTCCAGACTCGATTATTTACAGACCGACGTCATTTAGCTTGAGTATTGCTGAGTGCGGCGTTAAACAACAAACAAACAAACAAACAAACAAACATGGGGTAGGCTGTTTTGGAACATTCTTGTTTTAAATGAGTTTTCTCAAAACTGACAGGGAAGGGAGGCTCTTTCTTCGTTTTTTCCTACATCAAGACACGTCTATACCATATGACTCCAAATACCAAAATTCAAGATAAGATAAGAAAATTCTAGTAATTTCATAATTGTGTGTTTGACCCGGATCTGCCGGTGTACGCTCGGTGGATAAGTCGTCTACGGCGCACAATTCGTTGTGTAGAGTTACGTCCCTTAGTTAGGCCCGTATCCTCTGATCGTGAGTTCGAATCCCATATTCGCCCTTGTAATGTTTCTTAGTTTTCTTAGTGTAAGGCCTACATCACGACGACCTGCCACGCTCATATAAAAAAAATGTGATTAATGGCGCCGATATTAAGACCTAACTCACTCACTCATAACATCGTAACCCGTACCGCCTCCGTTGTCCAGTGGTAGAGCGTCCGCCCTGAGAGCGGAAGGTCCGGGGTTCGATCCCCGGCCGCGTCATACAAAAAGACTTAACGTTAAAAGATGGTACTTGTTGTTTCCCTGTCTGGCGCACGGCATTAAGAGGCTAAAACAAGTATACTGTGTCTGAGTGGGGTATTCATGTTAAACGGCGGCATGGTATCTCAGTGGGCTAGCACTATAAATCGGCATCAGTCCGGACTTGTACAAGCAGACCGGACTTGTACAAGCAGACACACACACACACACACACACACACACACGTGTCGCTATATAAGTGCAATAATCTTGGACGCGACGTTAAACCCAATTTCACCTCACCTCTCCTAACATCCTAACCCCGTTAGAACTAGAACTGGTTCTCAGAAATCTATGCCTCGTTGGGGGTAACTTAACTGGTGATCTTGGATGGATGACGTGTGATCGTACCCTGGCTGCGTGCATCGTTGCTCGCACTATCAATCACTGGTTTATTAGGTCAAACTCAGTTATTTACATACTGCCGTTATATAGCTGGTATATTGCTGGGTTTGGCGTAAAAAACAACAACAAATAAACAAGCTCTACATTCTAATGTGTACAGTAAGTTCGTAAAGATTTTTTCCCAAAATTCCAAATTATATTTTCCGTGTGCAGTTATGTAAATTGCGAGATTAAAACACACCTCACGTTTTAAATGCCGCATTTAACTTCTGTTATCTTGACATTTTTAAAACCTTCAACTGGATCTGGATAAGATAATAAACGACCAAAACGACACGACGTTCCTTGATTATGAAGAAGCAATGCGCCTTTCTTCCCTTGACTAGAGGACCGATTATTTAAATTATTGAAATATAATTTGACCTCAGCCCGCCCCAGTTTGAAAATTATAATTATAAAATTACTAATTTCAAAATGTTTCTAATTTTTAAACTATGGTAGTTTTGATTTGGGAAACTCTTGGAAGTTAACAGGTAAATCGTGAAAAGCTGTAATATGTTTGCGGAAATATCCTTAAATGAAAAATCTAACATCCGAGGGATATCAATGCTTGTTTGTATCTGCTAGAGAAGAAACAAATAAATGACACTCACTCAATGTGAAATAAAGACACCAGGTGTTTCAGTTTTGGGGGGCAGTTCAAAAGTATTGTGAGTGAGTGAGTGAGTGAGTGATTTGGGTTTAACGCCGCTTTTAACAGTATTCAAGTTATATCACGGCGTGTCAGCTTAATGTGCGAGGAAAGTCCGAAGTGATGCAGTACTCAGACGTTTACCACTTCGGTGAAACCCATGAGCATGGGTATGGTGCTGACAAACCTAGAAACATAATTTGGGCGAACCAGAATTCGAACGAACCCACAATCATAGGTTTCTGGCGTGCCCAAGGGACACAACTCTACACAGCGTATCGCGGCGTCTTAGACGACTGGGCCACCCATGCCCCCTCAAAAGTATGGTAGACACAGATCTGAATTCATTACGTTTTGAGGACAGGGCTGCATTCCATCCTCAAAATCAGCTAATTTACTGTTCAAGAAACGGCTCCAATCCCGTTAAAGACTACTACCTATAGCGACGTGCATGTAAGTGTGTGTGTTTGTGTGGCTGCTTGTACTAGTCCGGACTGATGCCGATTTATAGTGCTAGCTCACTGAGATACCATGCCGCAGTGTAACATGAATACCCCACTCAGACACAGTATACTGACTCCCAGCCGACCAGTCCTTGTTTTAGCCCCTTAATGCCGAGCGCCAGACAGGGTAACAACAAGTACCATCTTTTAACGTCTTTTGGTATGACGCGGCCGGGGATCCAACCCCGGACCTTCCGCTCTCTGGGCGGACGCTCTACCACTAGACCACGGAGGCGGTCTCATAAGAGGGTAAAAATACAAGACAGAAAGAACGTGCCAAAAGATTGTGAGGACACCTTGATGTATACATATATTTACTTTCTGAACGAATCTCACAAGCATGTGGGGCGCGGGGTAGCCTAGTGGTGAAAGCGTTCGCCCGTCACGCCGAACACCCGGGTTCGATTCCCTACATGGGTACAATGTGTGAAGCTCATTTCTGGTGTCCCCTGTCGTGATATTGCTGGCGTAAAACCATACTCACTCACTCACAATCATGTTTGTAGTTGGGTAGGGTGTGTATGTCTCAAAACGTAAGGAATAATTTTATTGACATCGGACTTTTGAAATGGTCCCTCAAGTAAAAGGTATTGTTTGTGCCTTAACACATGATTCTTGAATTATGGCAGGTGGTGTATGTCGGCATGAAAAATTACAAATGACTGTAACCTTCCTGATCATGAATAGACAACATGCGTGCCGAATCGGGGTCAGAGAGCGGAACGACATTGTCGCGATTCGAGAGTGTATGGCATTCTTGTCACGTACGATATGCACTTAAGTGACGCCGGAAATAAAAGGACAATATATTTACAATCAATTTAAGTCGATATATCGTAAATGAGACGTTGTCTATGCTTAAGACATGCTAATTATGTCCATACCGTAGTTTCAGGAAACAATTAGTATATGTTGTTGTTGTTGTTGTTGTTGTTGTTGTTGTTGGCACCGAGCAATACCACAGCGGCCCGGGGTCAGATATTCCAGTGGTTAATGCTACGAGCAAGAGCCAAGCTTAGGTAGTTATTTCAGGGATAATTAATTTGCCATTTGTCAAACACGGATCACAAGTCCCCAAACTGAATTATTAAATGTTATCAAACATACGCTGACAAACACTGAGCCGGACTGCTGAAGGCGTCTCTGGTCGCCTTATGCCGGAGACCCGCTCTACAGACACTTAACAGCTGTTGTGCAACAAATTCCTTTATTATGTCAAGGATTGTTTTTTTTAGAAAAAGAGTAACGTTTTGAATTGAGTGGCTTCTGCAACTTCGTCGTATCATCCGCGTGTGAAATTACTTTTAAAGCGATGAACTGACGCGGTTCAAAAGTGTTTCCCGACATTTAGCTATCTCTTGTATATTTCAGCGGCCATGTTGACTCTAGCCATTTTTGCGTCCTTTCTGGCAGTGGGGTGAGTTATCTACCTTTCATTTTGAGTTGTACATGTATATCTCATATTCTCATACGTGTGTTTTGCTGTGTTTCACGTTCTAGTAAGAGTGTATTAATTGTATATTTCATTCACAAATACGGGTGTATTCCATTGTTTCGATATAATACCCGTGCCTGTTATCTTTCAGGTTCTTCTGCCTCAAATTTGATTATTTACAATGTACAAAATGTGCGAACACAGACAGGACATGTTTAGATCTAAACATAATGAGGAATGTGTTTAAATACTAAACGGAACACTATTTGGTGTGTTCTATCTAAGTGCATTTAGGTCTAAACACATGAACTTAGCTATCATCTCACGGCCTAAACACCACCTAGCACAACATCCCGTAATTTAATCATGTTAAGAATTCAAATACGTTAAAACATGTTTAGATTTTAAATACATTTGAACATGTTTAGAATTTGACATGTTTCGATTTTAAAATTTAAACATGTTTCGAAATTAAATATTTTTAAACCTGTATCAATAAAGTACATATCATTAATAAACAAGTTAAATATGGATAAGATGTACCATATATATTGAAACTAGATGTGCAAATCAGATTCACAGGCACATTCATAACACATACATGTATACCAACAAGACTTACAACGAACATGGTACAATATTAACATGAAAATGTACAACTTAACGGTGACTAAGAAAACTGACACAGTCTCGGGTAGCACAGGTGGCAGCGTAAACGGCTACAAATCAAGAGGTTGCAGGTTTTCCGCCGAGGTTTAAAAGTATTATGTGTTATGCGTTGTTGCTGTAAGACTAAAAGCATTTCTCTCATACCATCTACCCGAGGCAAGAGTTAACTGACTATGAAAGTCCAGTTTCCATCCTTGCCGAACTAGGCTGGTATTATGGAGTTACAGCGAGAGAAGAGAGAGAGAATAATGTTTATTATAGTGTCACATGTTATATACACTTCATACTAAAACACGTACACGAACAGTAAAATATAACATCCGACCAGGTATGGTCTACGAGACACTTAGACATAAAAGCAAATTATAACGCCATGATCTGGGTAAGGTAACATAAGACATATACTAACACAATGTTTAAAATTAAGGTTAGGTTAAGAACACGCACGCTCGCACGCACACGCACAAACACACGCCAAATTACTTATAAAGTCACGCACACAATCATACACAAACACGTAGGTACCCACACACCCACCCCACACCATACCACGCACACACGCACACACACACGCACAAGTACACGCACGCACAAACACAAACACACGCACGCACACACATACCATACGTACATTATACCATACACACGCACACACACACCATACGTACATTATACCCCACACACACATACACACATACACACGCACGCACTCACGTACACATACACCATACGTAGATTATACGCCCCATCACACACACACACACACACACACACACACACACACACACACACACACACACACACACACATATATCCTCACCGACACTCAACATAAGCATTACAAGTATAACATTGATCAGAGGAAGAAATACTACAATTCGCAAGCATAATGACATACGTGCAGAAAAGCACACACAGAATCAAATGAGTGACAAGCGTCTTTGGAACATTTGATCAATCAGCTTACAAAGAGTATAACACCCGTGTTCACATCTGAGTAATGTTATAAATTTCTCGGTTGAAGATAAGTTTTTAAAATCTGGCATGCATTCACACATAGCGTTCATTACATCATAACGTAAATCATCATACATGTAACAATCAATTCAGAAGTGGACCTCAGTCTCTACTGAGTTAAAACAAAAAGGGTAAGTTCTACCCTGAAGGGGGACAGGGGGACGACTGTACCTCATTTTTTCAATGTTAATGGGGAGGCTGCCCCTGCGTAAAAGTGGCAAATATTTTCTGGTGTTTCTATGGATATAATTTGATAAGACATAGGGCTCAGGCGCTAGATCCTTCCTAAGCAAAGTTACATTTTGGCTGGACTAACGAGTCTATGCATAGTCTAATAAAATCGCGCAACGAAATCGAAATCCAGTTCGTAAACTGTCATTCAGATTTCGGTCGATTGAAGGATTTGCAAAACATGTGCACCGCCACCTCGTTGTCAACAGATATTTTCTAAAACTGTTCATGTTTTTAATCAAGGTGCTCACGTGATTTGATGCACTTTGTGATGTAAGACTCGTTTTATCACAATATAGATCTTGATTATCGATCAGATCGTCTTGACTGGACGCCGCCATTTTGTTTGAAGCAAATGCAAGTGATACTAGAGGCGAATCTGATTGGTCCATAGGAGAGACATGGAAGGGACATAGCTCGTAATAGCCACTGGTGGCGTTATGATCGAGCCCAGGAATTCCAGCCTTGTTCGGCAAGGGTGGAAACTGGACTTTTAAAGTCAGTTAACACTCCTGCCTCGGTAAGATGCTCTCATACAGGAAGCTGACAATGAACGTATATCTGATGTTACTACGATAGAGGGGCGGTCGGGTAGCCTAGTGGTTAAAGCGTTCGCTCGTCACGCCGAAGACCCGGGTTCGATTCCCGACATGGGTACAATGTGTGAAGCCCATTTCTGGTGTCCCCCGCCGTGATTATTGCTGGAATATTGCAAAAAGCGGCGTAAAATCAACCTCACTCACTCACTCACTCACTACGATAGACCCTTACAGTTTTAGTTACCACCACCCACCTATCTCCAATTTAATCCATTTTTACTGCTACCACCCCCCACCCCACCCCAGCAACCCCTCACCTCATTAAACGCTAATAAAACCCCAGAAAGCACCCTTTTTTAAATGACCTCCAATTGATGAAATTCAAGGGGTACACACCCTAAACACGTTTAGCTAATAAACACAATCCTAAACACGCTGAGACCTGAATAATGTCCGCGTTCAAGTCTGTGTTTAGGATCTTAACGCATTTTTACAGCGTAAAGACTGACGTCATGTAGCTGGAATATTGCCAGGTCCGGCATAAAACAACAAACAAACAAATAACAGCGGTGGTTTGTGTTTCAGACTGTGCTATCCATCAGGTCACGTGGGTGATAGCAAGGAAGCGAGAAGGTTGTTCGGAATATCAGATAAAGATGGCGACAATATTCTGACACAACCCGAATTTCATGCCATTTTTCTGGAGTTCGACTTAGATTGTAAGTTGATGTTTGTACAACGCTTACCTGATACTGCAGTAATCTAGAATTGCCAAACATTATAGACTTGCATGGGCTATATTGGATTTATTTGTATCAGGGTCTGTATGACAGACTAACACCCCATCTACTCTTACTAAAATGTATTTCTCGCCCTCAGTCTCATTAAAATCAGATCTTAGTTCTCGCTGCCGCTAAACAAAGATCTGAGGACATCCCATTACGGGTCACGTCAGACCGACCTTTCGCGAACTCTGACCGACCAATGGAATTACTGACAAGAAGTCGACATAGCCAATCAGAAGGCAGCTTTCTCCTGCTTTACGGCACTAATTTCAAATTGGCGACTACGCTTCGACACATATTTTGACAAATTCTCGTTTAAAAATTTGAAACCTGAACAAAAGAACATTCTCGAATGGCTAATATATGGTCTAGAATGTATGGATTCAGTCGTTAAGCCCTAACTATCGTTCGGAATACCCCGTTTTAAAGTTTTCGAGGCTGCATGATGAGAAATCGCATTCCGACTGTCACTTTCATGATCTGGTAAGCGACGCCCTGATTGGCCGGATGAAAGGTCGTTCTGTCGTGACCCCTAATTGGATTTCCTCAGATCTTTGTTTAGCGGTAGCGAGAACTAATATCTGATTTTAATGAGATTGTTCTCGCCCTTTGTTAACGTCATTCATTTCCCACTTCCGTACCCAGAGTTACCCAGCTACAGGCCAACGAGATATGACGATTTCTCACGCCCTTCACAGTCCGTTCAAGAATATTGCATATGTTTTCCATCTGTTTACCTACCATCAAGATAAACATATGTCAACTTTAATTGAGAAAATAGCCTAAAACGCGAAAAACTATAATTTTCCATTTTCGTTAATATCCGTTGTCTTCATTGCTTGTACGGCTCACTGTCATCGACGCCCGATGGAGAGCTAGCGATAGCGATCTACACTTTGATTTGATGCATGTCATCGTATCCAAATTGCGTAGATCGATGCTTATGATGCCAATCACTGGATTGTCTGGTGCAGGCTCGATTATTTACAGACGCTGTCATGGGGCTGGACTATTGCTGACAAACAAACAGATATGACATATTATTGTCAAACGTCGGAATGTGGCAGTTGTAGTAGCATATCAATACAATCATTCAATATAATATGTAAAGCGCCCTGAAAGCCTTGCATTAGGTCAGTCACGTGATATGCAAATTAATGTTTGCTTCTGTTTTGTCTTTTGTTGTTGTTGTTATGATGATGATGATGATGATGATGATGATGATGATGATGATGATTATTATTATTATTATTATTATTATTATTATTATTTGTCTTGATCTTCTCCGGTCAGCGGACCATCAGATAACCAGCAATGAGTTTGTGACAGACTGGGCTATCAAGGACCTCGGGCCCCCAAGCGAAGCCATCGTCCTTTTCCACAACATCGACGTCAACAAGGACGGCGTCATCACCGAGGACGTGGATCTGCCCTACATCTTCCACTACTTCGACCAAGACGGTAAGCGACATCTTCCACTACTTCGACCAAGACGGTAAGCAGCCGGCCGTTCTATGAGTCAAGGGTTTGTCAGTGGACGTTTTTAAATGTTTGCCATTAGCCACTGGTGTGCCTAGCACAGTCCCGATCATGAACAGACAGCTGTGACATAACCGACTGAGGCAATAAACAATGTTCACGCACTCACGTTCCTATCTGCTGTCAATATCTTGAGTGGACAGATGTGAAAATGCAGGAATAACTCTCCTCACGTTCGATAAGGAAACCCCGGACGGCCCATGTGAACCTCTGTTAACTTTGGTTAACTCATGCATGGGTATTATTTACAAAAGCCTAATGGTGCCACTTTGGTATCATAATTTTATTTTTGTTAAATCGAAATTTCTCGTTATTTCAATTATTTTCTCGGAAATGTTTTGAAATAAACTTCTAATAACGAGAGAATAATCGAAGAAAGGAGAGACAAAAATCGAAATTTCTAGTTTTGAAATAAACTTGAAATAACGAGAAAATAATCCATATTTCGAGTTATTGAAGCCAACTGGATATAACGAAAAAAAACTCGAAATTTCGAGTAAAAAATTGAAATAACGAGAAATAATCGAAGTAACGAGAAACTTATCGAAATTTCGAGTTTTTGATATAAACTTGAAATAGCGAGAAATGAATCGAAGGAACGAGAAAAAACACAAATTTCGAGAAAATAATTGAAATAACTCGATTTATATTTCGAAATTTCAAGTTTTTTAAATAAACTCGAAGTAACGAGAAAATAATTGACATGACGAGAATTTTCGATTTGAAAAAAATGAAATTATGCTTCCAAAGTGGCATCGTTAGGCTTTCGTAATTATGAAGCAATGTTTTTTTTAAAAATAATTCTTGAAATGTTTCAGCTGACTTCAAAGTTTCATCTTTTATATGCTTCCACAAGTGTGTCACATGTCGCATAATCTAACAGCCGTGTACATTGCTAAGTTACAATAGAGACTTGAATTCATTTCTGCTGAACAGGGTGTATTCGATCAGTAAATATAAGTGCTAGTCAGTAAGGAACTGCAGTAAACACGTTGCTAGGCTACACTGAGTTATTACGCATATATAATTGAAGTGTTATTACGCATATATAATTGAAGTGTTGCAATATAATTATTTGTTGGCGTATTTCTACACCAGCAACTCATAATGACTTGGGTATACGTAAGTGTGAATTCTTTTACGCATTTTACGCAAATACGCAACTTATTCGGAACTCTGTGTTTGTTTATTTTGTTTGTTTGTTTTTTAATGTTTGTTTGACGCGGCACTCAGCAATATTCCAGCTATATGACGGCGGTCTGCCAATAATCGAGTCTGGACAAGGCAACACATGAAGAGCATCGACCTTCGCACCTGGGATACGAAGACCATGTCAGCCAGAACACCGGATCCCGTTAGGTGCCTCTTACGGCAAGCAAGGGTTGCTGAAGACCTGTTCTAACCCGGATCTTCACGGGCCCAATGATTGGTATACATTGGTATTAACTCGTGGTACATTTTCTTTCAGAAAACAAGTCTGTCTCAGAAGCCGAGTTCGTCGTGCAGTGGGTGAAGATGTCTGTGTCATAGACCCAAGCAAGACAAGATCCGAGTATGTCCGATCTAAGCTAATAAAAAATAACCTCGGTTAAAAAGAACTCCTTGCTTTTTTCTTTCCACCACAATTCGTTTTCAGAGAACATGTATAGTATTTTCTCAGTTACAATGACACAGCGAAGGATGAGAGGGGGAGAGGTTGGGGGGGGAGGGGTGTTTAACGCCGAACTCAGCAATATTCCAGCTATATGACGGCGGTCTGTAAATAATCGTGTCTGGAACAGACAATCCATTGATTGACATCATGAGCATCGATCCACACAATTGGGATACGATGACATGCATCAGCCAAGTCAGCGAGCCTGACCACACCATCCCGCCAGTCGCCTCTTACGACAAGCATAGTCGCCTTTTACGACAAGCAAAGTCGCCTTTTACGACAAGCATAGTCGCCTTTTACGACAAGCATAGTCACCTATTACGACAAGCATAGTCGCCTCTTACGACAAGCATAGTCGCCTTTTACGACAAACATGGGTTGCTGAAGACCTATTCTACCCCGGATCTTCAGGGGTCCTGTGGCAGAGGTACTGGGTCTAGGTTGACCGCAAGGAACTCTGGGTAGGAGAGTGTACAAACCTGGACGTACTGACAATCACGTGACTCATGCGATAATGAAAAATATTCATTGTGGAATAGTATTGTAAGCTCAAACGTAGCCTTAATAAAAATGGGGGGCACGGGTGGCCCAGTCGTCTTAGGCGCAGCTTTTCGCTGTGCAGAGTTGCGTCCCTTGGGCACGCCAGAAACCTATGATTGTGGGTTCGAATCCCGGTTTGCCCAAATTATGTTTCTAGGTTTGTCAGCACCATACCCGTGCTTGTGGGTTTCACCGAAGCGGTAAACGGAAAGACCTGCATCACTTCGGGCTTTCCTCCCACATTAAGCTGACACCCCGTGATATAACTGGAATACTGTTAAAAGCGGCGTTAAACCAAACTCACTCAATTATCTGCACGGATGCCCAGCCGTCCGAGGCGCTGCAAATTGCTGCGCTGAGTTGTGTCCCTTGGCCCCGCCAGACACCTATGACTGTGGTTTCGAATCCCGGTCCGCCCCGATTATATTTTGAGGTTAGTCACCACCATACTCATGCTCGTGGGTTTCAGCAAAGTTGTTAACGTCTGAGACCTGCATCACTTTAGGCTTTCCTCCCTCATAAAGCTGGAATAGTGTTAAAAGCGGCGTCAAACCAAACTCACTTACTTTCTCCAGGAATGAGAGTCCGTCCTGGTATATTCCGGGGCCTCGCTATTTCATAATTGGTATTTTCAAATACACCCATGTGACAGTCACCATACCGAACAACCAGTGGCTGCTAATGGCAACCGTATTTTGTTAACACCAATCCATGGCAACATACCAAGAAAAGGCGGGTTGGGTCGAGTTGACTTTTTAGCTCACATGACTGCACGTCAAGAGAACTTATATTATGACCTGCCTGTCCTGAAATTTCACAAGCGTGTTCCCACCAAAGGTGACGCTCCAATTTGTTCAAGTGGTTGGAATCCGATTTTCAATATGGCCACCATAGCAGCCATAGCAGCAACATTTAATGGAAGTTGGTAAATGTGTAGTCAGTTGTGGGACTCACTGTGACATGCTAGAAATTAATTTTGGGCATGCAAGAAATATTATATCGACATAGGTTTGTTTCCTCTGTTTCCTCTGTAATTGACAGACGGAGGACCTTGTTTCTCCCTATGAGAGTCATATTTTGTTCAAATCATGGAAATTTTGTGTTGGGGTGTGCTTTTAGGTCCTCTGTAACTGTGCCGAATTCTTCTTCTTTTTTTAATAGATCCGTGAAGATTCCGGGGTAGAATAGGTCTTCAGCTCTCCATACTTGCCGTAATAGGTGACTATGCTTGTCGTAAAAGGCGACTATGCTTGTCGTAAAAGGCGACTATGCTTGTCGTAAGAGGCGACTGGCGGGATCGTGTGGTCAGGCTCGCTGACTTGGCTGATGCATGTCATCGTATCCCAATTGCGTGGATCGATGCTCATGATATTAATCACTGGATTGTCTGGTCCAGACTCGATTATTTACAGACCGCCGTCATATAGCTGGAATATTGCTGAGTGCGGCGTTAAACAACAAACAAACCAACCAACTTTTTTTAATATTAACGCCGCCATCAACCACTGTTAAATGGCTGTCTCTGTTGACAGTTTACACTGTTGACTATTTGTCCAGGAGAGCTACAGTAACGGAACGGAGTTGACAATAAGGCCAAGGAAAGCGTAGGAATCGCGATTCGGCTTGTCCCGGCAAGACACGAGTGGTCACAATTGTCTCGTACGTTTCGCAGATTCTAGTCCTATAATATGCATCAAGTCGAGATATGCATCCTGTCGAGATATGCATCCTGTCGAGATATGCATCATGTCGAGATATGCATCATGCCGTGAAATGCATCATGTCAGGATATGCATCAAGTCGTGATATGCAACATGTCGCGATATGCATCATGTTGAGATATCCATTATGTCGAGATATGCATCATGCAAGATATGCATCATGTCGAGATATGCATCATGTCGAGATATGCATCATGTTGAGATATGCATCCTGTCGAGATATGCATCATGTCGAGATATGCATCATGTCGAGATATGCATCATGTCGAGATAAACCATGTTTGAGTCAAGTGTACCACCAACAGTTTAATTGCAATCAGGATCTTTCTACAACTAGCTATTCAATACAGACATGTCAAGGCAAGAACATAGCCTGCTTAACCCCACCGACTGTTGACAAGTGTCCCAATGGCCAGTATAACGGTACGTCACCACCCACCGACTGTTGACACGTGTCCTCATTGCCAGTATAACGGTACATGTCACCACCCACAGACTGTTGACACGTGTCCCCATGGCCAGTATAACGGTACATGTCACCACCCACCGACTGTTGACACGTGTCCCCATGGCCAGTATAACGGTACATGATTCTACCCACCGAGTGTTGACACGTGACCCCATGGCCAGTATAACGGTACATGATTCTACCCACCGAATGTTGACACGTGTCCCCATGGCCAGTATAACGGTACATGATTCTACCCACCGAGTGTTGACACGTGACCCCATGGCCAGTATAACGGTACATGATTCTACCCACCGAGTGTTGACCCGTGTCCCCATGGCCAGTATAACGGTACATGTCACCACCCACAGACTATTGACACGTGACCCCATGGCCAGTATAACGGTACATGATTCTACCCACCGAGTGTTGACCCGTGTCCCCATGGCCAGTATAACGGTACATGTCACCACCCACAGACTGTTGACACGTGATCCCATGGCCAGTATAACGGTACATGTCACCACCCACAGACTGTTGACACGTGTCCCCATGGCCAGTATAACGGTACATTTCACCACCCACAGACTGTTGACACGTGATCCCATGGCCAGTATAACGGTACATGTCACCACCCACAGACTGTTGACACGTGATCCCATGGCCAGTATAACGGTACATGTCACAACCCACCGACTGTTGACACGTGTCCCCATGGCCAGTATAACGGTACATGTCACCACCCACAGACTGTTGACACGTGATCCCATGGCCAGTATAACGGTACATGTCACAACCCACCGACTGTTGACACGTGTCCCCATGGCCAGTATAACGGTACATGTCACCACCCACCGACTGTTGACCCGTGTCCCCCATAGCCAACACAACGGTACATGTCACCACCCACAGACTGTTGACCCGGGTCCCCCATAGCCAACACAGCGGTACATGTCATCACCCACAGACTGTTGACCCGTGTCCCCCATAGCCAACACAACGGTACATGTCACCACCCACCGACTGTTGACCCGTGTCCCCCATAGCCAACACAACGGTACATGTCACCACCCACAGACTGTTGACACGTGTCCCCCATACCCAACACAACGGTACATATCACCACCCACAGACTGTTGACCCGTGTCCCCATGGCCAACACAACGGTACATGTCACCACCCACAGACTGTTGACACGTGTCCCCCATAGCCAACACAACGGTACATGTCACCACCCACAGACTGTTGACCCGTGTCCCCATGGCCAGTATAACGGTACGTCACCACCCACAGACTGTTTCCACAACTATTCAGATTCCCTCCTGTATATGATTTTACAAACGTCTTTATCAGAGTAACAATACTTTCATCAATCCCCATGCACAAACAACTTATAATACACACATCACAATCTCGTCATTGTTTCAACGTATCTATGGGACGGTTGTCTCTTTAGCCTAGGTAGACCATCACTGATTCCAGCACGTAATGTCTCTTTTTCAGCAGGCCGAGTGTTCATTTCAGAAGCTAGGTTGTTCATTTCAATAATTTCTGACGTATTTTCTCCTTTTTGTTTGACGTTTCCATTTTGATCAGGTGAGCTATGTTTCTTTGGGGTGGTAAATGCATCATCGATGACGTCATTAACCATCTCTGTGACGTCGTAGCTATGGACACTCAGTTGACTTGCTACATCGTCGTCGTCGTCTTCGTCGTTGACCCTCCAAGGCGGCACGTGTCCCGTGTCTTTGAAAATCCAGTCTGTGTTAGACATGTCAACTTCGTCCTGAAATTAAAAAAATGATACACTTGCGAATACAATGACACACGGGTCATTCATTCATTCATTCGGCCGATTACACATGTAAGATGCTGACAGACCGAGGATCATAATCAGAGCGAATCCTGGATTTAAACCCACTAACAGCGGATCCTTGCACAGCAAAGGAACGCAACTCTGTTTAACAAATCGCGACACCCTTGAGCGCTCCGCTCACCTCAACCCCATAGTTAACCTTTATCAGCATGCAGTAGAATCTTCAATGAAAGTGGCTAGTTTCACTATTCCACGTGACAATCACATTACACAACACAATCTGGCTGCAGTTATGACCCTAATGTAAATTGAATCGCTAATTTCTATTAACCTTCAAAAAGAAATTTTGCTAAAGAGATCACCATTTTGACGTCATTTTGCACGGACTTATTGCGATGGGATCTGGCGTCAAAAGGGTTACTGTTAAATCACGCCACATCACTACTCCATTGCTGACCCAGGGGGCATGGGTGGCCCACGGGTATCGCCGCAATTTGCAGTGCAGAGTTCCTTCCCTTTGACACACCTGATTTCAACTGCAATATCCCAACCGACATAAAAATGAAATAAAAAACTTATTTTTTGCGACCGATCTTAAAAACAATTTCTGATAAAGTCTGTAAAGTTCAATGCACGACGCGGGGCCAGTCGTCTAAGCTGCCGCAATTCGCTGTGCAGAGTTGCGTCCCTTGGACGCGCCAGAAACTTATAATCGTGAGTTCGAATCCTGGTTCGCCCCGATTATATCAACATCATACCCGTGCTCGTGGGTTCCACCGGGTTAAATTTCTGGTGTCCCCCGCCGTGATATTGCTGGAATATTGCTAAAAGCGGCGTAAAACCTCACTCACTCACTCACTCCACCGAGGTTGTAGACCTCACTGCATTACTTCGGGCTCTCCTCCCACATTAAGCTGACCCGCTGTGGCATGACTGCGTTAGAACCAATTCCCTCACTCACTCACTCACTCACTCACTCACTGCAGCCCGAGGTATCATTCGTGAGCGAAACGGGTATGGCCAGCCCCCAATATATAAGTATTCGTCTAACCCTGTTTATGCGGATAGTGCTGCGTACAAAACAGAAAGCATGTGTGTAGGGGGATGGAGGAGGGGGATGGGGGGTTGTTGGAGGGGGATTATCCCGCTGCTTGATTATCTGAGGCAACCACCCTTTAAGAACACGTTAGGTGAACTTTCTAATCAGCCAATCAGCGTCGATGTCTCTAATTTTTCGGTCCGGGTAAGCGAAAAATGATTTCTGTACCTCGAAAACAAATATAACCAGGGAGTTCCGAATGCCAATAAATACAGACGCTCTATTATATTGTGAATAGTTTATATACACTGTCGTTTCTAAGACATGGCATCATGGCCCACTTGCACAAAGCGATCTTTGCGCTACAACTATTGCAAGCCTATGTTAAAGCATGGGAGTTACGATCACCTTAGCGCTAAGATCGTTTTGTGCAAGTGGGCCCTGGACCCAAAACGGTGTACAGTCGATGGCGTCTTTTTTTCTGGGACCAAAGTTTCGGAATTAGGTGGTAATTAAAGAAATGAGGTCGAATCATTTTACAAAGCTGAGCGGTAGTTGGCTCATTAAACCACGGATCCTTAAATTTGAATTGGGGGCTCAAAACCTAGAAGGGTTCACTAAACGGTCCTCAGATCTACACGTAGGGGGTACGGTATCGGAGTAAAATACATGATTTAATAACTCACACTCAGACTTAACTCGCAGCAAACAAACGTTACATCAACACTTAAACACTGTAAGATGCATCTTCCCGAGGCAAGGGAGTTAACTGACTTTAAAAGTCCAGTTTCCACCCTTGCCGAACTAGACTGGAACTCCTGGGCTCGATCGTAGCGCCACCCGTGGCTGTTACGAGATATGTCCCTTCTAAGCCTCTGCTATGAACCAATCGGATTCCACCTCTCGTATCACTTGCATTTGCTTCAAACAAAACAGTTGCTCCCAGCCAAGATCTGATTGATAATCAAGGTCTATTTTGTGATAAAACGGGTCTTTCATCGCGAAATGCATCAAATCACGTGAGCACCTTGATTAAAAACATCAAAAAGATATGAAAAATATCTGTTGACAACGAGTTTGCGGTGCACATGCTTTGCAAATCCTGCAATCGACCGAAATCTGAACGACAGTTAACGAACCGGATTTCGAGTTCGGTGAGCGATTTTTATTGGACTATGCATAGACTCGTTAGTCCAGCCAAAATGTAATGCAATAATACCAGGCTAGCTCGTCAAGGGTGGAAACTGGACTTTTAAAGTCAGTTAACTCTCTTGCCTCGGGAAGATGTGTTAGTTGTGAGTGAGTGAATGTTGTTTTATGACATTCAGCAACATTCCAGCTTAACCAAGGCGTCATGTGAAAACAATCAAATCTGAGCGTGGCAAACGTTTCAGTTATGAAAAGACTCAAGACTCAAGATCCGGGGTAGAATAGGTCTTCAGCAACCCATGCTTGCCTTAAAAGGTGCCTATGCTTGTCGTAAAAGGCGACTAACGGGATCGGGTGGTCAGGCTCACTGACTTGTTTGATGCATGTCATCGGTCCCAATTGCGTGGATCGATGCGCATGATGTCAGTCACTGGATTGTCTGGTCCAGACTCGATTATTTACAGACCGCCGTCATATAGCTGGAATATTGCTGAGTGCGGCGTAAAACAACAAACCAACCAACCATAACTGGGCCGATTGATAAGGATTGGGCGGTTACAGTGTGTGGCCTGTATGATTGTGTGTCATCGTGCACCATGTAGCGAATGTCGTCAGCCACCGGTTTGCATGAACCGGATTCGGCATGGCTTGAATATCGGTGGATGTGGCGTAAAACAGCATTCACTCACATGTTTCAGGGCGGTCGGGTAGCCTAGTGGTTAAAGCGGTCGCTCGTCACGCCGAAGATCCGGGTTCGATTCCCGACATGGGTACAATGTGTGAAGCCTATTTCTGGTGTTCCCGACGTGATATTGCTGGAATATTGCTAAAAGCGGCGTAAAACCATACTCACTCACTCACTCGTTTCGGTTGAAATCGGAGCACCATATTTCACAGGACAAACAATCATACACACATTAAGCATAAGCAAAGCGTTTACCTGGGAGTAAGTTTGAGGGATTCGGGGTAATTTCGGTTTCGAGTGATTCTACCTCTTTCTCCTCCCTGTTGACCTTGACACATGCCAAGGGGAGATAACAGCATATCCGGTCACATGCTTGATGAATAAAACTTGACGTCACCTTGCTGGGGGTGTTGAAACCTTTCAAGAGAAACACATGTATGTATAAACAACGTATTAATATATTTATCCCGGCTCATTTCTTCCTTCTTCTTTCGATCCCATGTCGTAACGTGCACGAACAAAGTTTCCAGCTTTCTAAAAAACAACTCACCAAAACACATCCCAGCATCACCATGGTCACCAACCAAATAAATATGTCACGCACTGTAACCCCGTGCATACATTCGTGACCAACTCGTGATTCCGGGACAAACCGAATAGCGACTCGTGCCCCTCTCGTAGCCATTTTTTGCAACTGGGTTCCGTCTAAGCGCAAACGGAACTCGTTGCGTAATGATTCACGTATATTTCCCCCATATATAAATATTTTCCAGATGCTTTTTAAAACACATCGCGACACATTGCGGTATTATACAGCATGTTTGAACACATTTAACTGTATGTTGGGTATATTTCTAGATGCAAGAGATATGTAAAGTCCAAAAATATTTCTGAGGGATTTTTTGACGAAGAACTTGAAATCATTCGCGCATTCTGATTGGTTTGTCGTATTTTCGCATATAACATTCATCGATAGGGGTACGAGTCTTCTTTCAGGTTACGGAAAGGGGCGAGTGGTGCAAATGCCCGTGCATAGCGACTACACGACCTGATCACGTGAATACCCATCAGTCTCTTTCGCAGAGCTGACAGACAAGATGTGCTGTGATGCGGGGATAACAAGAGTTGGTCACGAATGGGGCATATAGTGTGTTGATTTTACACCGCTTTGATATCCGCTTTAATATTCCAGCATTCCAGCGGGGGACACCAGAAATGGGCTTCACACATTGTGCCCATCTCGGGAATCGAACCCGGGTCCTCGACGTGACGAGCGAACGCTTTAACCACTAGGCTACCCGACCGCCCCGGAGGGCGTATAGCGTGTGCGATAGGATAAGTATATAAATATACAATTTATTATACAATTTTATCATTTTAAAACTTCCACACTTATTGCATTTATCTCACAGTTGGAAATCGCCAGGACGACTGAAGCGCAAGAGACGTCATACGGAAATGTGGCGGTTCGTCTCGTTAAACAACTACTCGTTATAACACGTTCAACAACTCCATGTTGAAAATGAGGTGAAGCTTCTGTCTATCTTTTTTTCGGGACTAGAAACCCCGGTTTGTAATTATTGTAACCATGGTAACATTGCCCGAATCACGTGATCTGTACATGAAGGTCGCTATGCACGGGGTTAATGTTTGTTTGGGTGGTGACTATGGTGATGCTGAGTTGTGTTCGGGTGAACTGTTTTTTAGAAGCTGGAAACATTGGTCGAGCACTTTTCGACATAGGATCGAAAGAAGAAGGAAGAAATGCACAGTGTGAGATAGGAAAAGTTTAGAAATACATTTATATGATTGAAAGAGATTGTGATTTTATTCTATTTTCGAAAGCAGTGGAGCCACACTCATTCGTAGTGATGACACCCGCAGGTTAAAAGTCATGAAGATATGCCTATTGTTTTTCGGTTTGTTTTGGTTTTCCCTTAAGTTGTAAACCTCTAAGACTTGCATCACTTCGGGCTTTCCTCCCACATCAAGCTGACACGCCGGGATTTAACTGGAATACTGTTCAAAGCGGCGTTAGGCAAAACATTCTCTCACTCTCTCACCGCCTCCGTGGTCTAGTGGTAGAGCGTCCACCCGGAGAGCGGAAGGTCCGGGGTTCGATCCCCGGCCGCGTCATACCAAAAGTCGTTTAAAGTTAGTACTTGTTGTTACCCTGTCTGGCGCTCGGCATTAAAGGGCTAAAACAAGGACTGGTCGGCTCGGAGTCAGTATACTGTGTCTGAGTGGGGTATTCATGTTAAACTGTGGCATGGTATCTCAGTGAGCTAGCACTATGAATCGGCATCAGTCCGGACTACTACAAGCAGCCACACGAACACACACACGTACATGCACGTCGCTATATAAGTGCAATAATCTTGGACGCAACGTTAAACATCCATTTCACCTCACCTCACCTCTCACTCTCTCACTCAACATGAACGTCACCTGTACACGTGGACGTGATGAATGTCACGAGGACCCCGGTGAGGACTGATATGAGGACAGCGTACAGCGCGTACCACAGATAGGACAGGTGATAGATCCAGCTGAAATATACACCAAGGGTGTAAAGCATTCACCGAAGTATCGATGCATCGCGGTGAGGTGAAATTGGGTTTAACGTCGCGTCCAAGATTATTGCACTTATATAGCGACGTGCATGTACGTGTGTGTGTGTGTGGCTGCTTGTACTAGTCCGGACTGACGCCGATTTATAGTGCTAGCTCACTGAGATACCATGCCGTAGTTTAACATGAATACCCCACTCAGACACAGTATACTGACTCAGAGCCGACCAGTCCTTGTTTTAGCCCCTTAATGCCGAGCGCCAGACAGGGTAACAACAAGTACCATCTATTAACGTCTTTTGGTATGACGCGGCCGGGGATCGAACCCCGGACCTACCGCTCTCCGGGCGGACGCTCTACCACTTGACCACGGAGTACAATAACCTTGAACGCGACGTTAACCTCACCTCACCTCACCCCACTTCACCCCACCTCACCTATATAAGTGCAATAAGCTGAACGCGACCTTTTAACTCATTTCCCTTCACCGCATCGTCTCGAAGGTTTGACATGATACACACGTGTCTCGAAGTACGGAAAACTCGACTTGTCAACATGGCCCCTACTTCAAAGTAACACTGCAAGAAAACTTCAGTCTTACAAATCCTCTCCCTTCGGTTCCGTAGAGGGAGCAGCCATTGTAGAATTGAGCATAGACGCTATCTGGTCCTCGCTGATGCTGCAGTTGCGGAGGACGCCAACCCAGTCGTCACAGGCGCTGATGCTGACGTTGCTGACTGAAGGAAAGGGGAGGATGAGCGTGCCCCCCACGCCGGCCCAGAACGCCAGCACCGTGGACAGTATCAACCCACAGAGTGCACCCTGCATAAACAAACAGACTCAATAAAACGGACATCTTTGTCTGTCGATATTCGGAGACTCTCAATGATACACTTCGAGCGTCAGAACAATCTAATTAAAATCAAATCTTTGTTTTTGCTACGCTAAACAAGGACATTCTATTACAGGTCACGTCAGAGTGAGTGAGTGAGTATGGTTTTACGCCGCTTTTAGCAATATTCCAGCAATATCACGACGGGGACACCAGAAATGGGCTTCACACATTGTACCCATGTCGGGAATCGAACCGGGTCTTCGGCGTGACGGGCGAACGCTTTAACCACAAGGCTACCCCACCGCCCCCAAACCGGTATAAGTTTACACTAGTACAAACAGCTATTTTTACTTCGATGAGATTCACGTCTGGTTCAGCTATTTTCAGTTTGACTTACTACTGTAATTTTGTACTTAAGTTGGTTATTTGAGACATTCGATACAACCGGTTCGTTTTAACAGAGGTCATATACTGTGAAAAGTTGAACGAATGGGACCCAACCGGTTCCACACAACCAAGAAATCGATTTATTAGATTTCGACACAATGTGAGTGAGTTGGGTTTAACGCCGCTTTTAACATTATCCCAGTTATATCACGGAGTGTCAGCTTAATGTGGGAGGAAAGCCCGAAGTGATGCAGGTCTCAGACGTTTGCCACTTCGGTGAAACCAATGAGCAAGGGTATGGTGCTGACAAACCTAGAAACATAATTGGGGTGAACCGGGATTCGAACCCACAATCATAGGTTTCTGGCGTGCCCAAGGGACGCAACTCTGCACAGCGAATCGCGGCGCCTTAGACCACTGGGCCACCCGTGACCCCAGATTACGACACAAATGTGTTCAACTGTATGTATACAGTAAACTACTTTTATAACGGTTATGACGAACTTAAATTAGCAGTCCCTTTGAGTTCGTTATAACCGTAGTATACTGTATATCCCAGTAAGCAGAACCCGCCTTACCCATGCGTTGATGAAGGGTATGAAGATTCCAGAAACGAACAATCCGAGCAGGGGTCCCCCACTTACTCCGAAGATGCTCAGCACGATCTATGAAGAAAAACCCGACGGAATTCTGAAAGGACAGAACTATCCAAACAATTACACATACTGATAAATATACTTGAAGCTGCGAATCTGCATAATTATCTATGTACTATGTCGGATCCAGAGCGCAACCACTCTTGAGGCTGTGCTGTCGTTTAGCGTGAATTCATACATTCAACTCAATGTTTATTTGACCCGTGAAGATCCGGGATAGAAAAGGTCTTCAGCAACCCATGCTTGCCGTAAGAGGCGACTAACGGATCGGGTGGTCAGGCTCGCTGACTTGGTTGATGCATGTCATCGATCTCAATTGCGTGGATTGATGCCCATGATGTCAATCACTGGATTGTCTGGTCCAGACTCGATTATTTACAGACCGTCGTCATATAGCTGGAATATTGCTGAGTGCGGCGTTAATCAAGAAACAAACAATGTTTAGTTCAGCAGGCCAGCTGCCCTACATAACACATAACTAAACAGCCGGGAAGAAGAAAGTATACACCAATGTTTGATGGTGGCTAAAATTGAAACAAACAATAAATGGTTGTCCGATGATGATGCACTAATACGGGTATGAAAGTTGTGTTTTGGACCTTAAGTTTTCAGTGTCACGGCGACCTTTTTGAGCCAGATAACGTTTGCATTTTGGGGTCAAATGCAATTTGCAACTGTATACTTTCCTTCGCTCGGCAGTTCAGTATCTCAAATATCGATGAGCCCCTACTACCTGCAATACGGTTTGTCCAATAAGACGTGCCAGAAACGCAACGCCAATGACGGCACCGCCAAACACCAACCCTAAAAACAAACATGGAAACAGATCAGGGATAAACGCTACCGTCACAGTGTGACAATCGGGGCATTAGTCAGTTGAACCTTGGTATATACATGTAACATAGAGCTGTTTTCATAGGAAATCACCAATGACACCTTCATAATGCATGTACAGTAAACTACGGTTATAAAGAATACGCTTATAACGAACTGACGGATATAACGAACTTACTTTTTGGTCCGGACTACTTCTTGTAGTCATGCAGTATATGAACTTATAACGAACTACGGTTTTAACGAACTAAAATTGGTAGTCCCTTTGAGTTCGTTATAACCGTAGTTTACTGTATATCAATATAAACTTGGCGGCAAAAGAAAGTTTAGGTCGAGTTCCATGATCGATGAAAAAATAACAAGAAGAGGTTTTGTTGTGAATTATAATTCCCATCTAGCGAGGGGTAACACAGGTAATGTAAGCTCATGGTAAACAACGGTTGGGTAAGAAATTTCATTTTCAAAAGTTGTCTGAAATGTCACAAAAAAATGGTTAGACACCACTACAAGTTCATTGTCGACACAGTTGCCTTCAATAGCGTGTATGACCTCCAGCTACCTCAATGCATGCTGTATTACGCCGCCTCATCGATGACGTGAGTCTTCTGATGACGTGGACTTGAATCCGTTGCCACTCGTCTATCAGGGCCTGCTGCAATTCTTGTCTGTTGACGGGAGGCTGATGGCGTGCTCTAATCTGTCTGTCAAGATGGTCCCACAGATGTTCAATAGGATTCATATCGGATGAGTGGGCAGGCCAGGGCAAAACGTCAACGTTCTGCTGGTTTAGAAAGTTCCGAGTCAATCTTGCAGTATGGGGCCTGGCATTGTCGTGTTGAAACAATGTCCCCTGCTGTTGGTTTTGTAAGAACGGAAGCACAACTGGCTGCAACACTTGGTCTCTCTACTGCACAGCGTTCAGGTTTCCCTGTATAATCACCAAATCAGTCTTCTGATCTCCACAAATACAGCCCCACACCATGACACCTCCCCCGCCGAATGGATGGACCCCTCGAATACACGCCGGAGCCAAACGTTCCCCTCTGCGTCGATACACTCGTTCTCTGCCGTCATTTCGAAACAACTTAAACCGACTTTCATCAGCAAACAGCACTCGACGCCAATTTCTCACTTGCCAGCGTCGAACCTGCCTCGCCCATCGCAGTCTCAGGCGTCGATGTTGAGCAGTCACTACCATTCCTCGGGAAGGACGATACGCTCGGATTCCAGCAGCACGAAGTCGTCGTAGTACTGTACGTTGGCTAATGGGATGTCCCAATGCTGCTGTTGCTGCCGTCGCCGTCGCCGTTACGAATCTGTTTCGCAGGTGAATGAGCCGTATCTGACCGTCTTCCAGTGGCGTTGTCACTCGGGGTCGTCCGGTTCTAGGCCTGTCCTGTCCTGTGTCCTCCTTGTCTGCCTGTACCGTTAAATCAGCCGGCTACTGTCAATGGTGTACAACCAAACCTTCTGGCAATTTGGACCTGTGTTGCCCCCATTTCGGCCATACCGATGGCTCTCTCTCTCTGCTCCTGTGACAGTCGTGGCATTTCTTTTGTGTGCTTTAATCACGTGTGCTTATACCCTGCAGACGAACGCATTTATACAGCTAACATGCACGTGCAGTTTATGCCATAGGCGGGAAACCTGTTTCACCATTTTTTTTGTCACCGCACGAGCGCCGTCAAAGGTGGCGCGTTCGGGTGAGGTGTTTTTTGGTACCTGTTCCTGGGCAGTCATATTCCCAATACCCACTTTCCACTAGTTATCGCTGTTTTTAGGAAAATTACAAATTGCCAACCTCTACTTTCTTTTGCCGCTCAGTTTATATCAAAACCTGGAATTGTGTCAGTTATACCACTCAGCGGACACTGTCATATCAATTATGCATCAATAAAAATATAAAAATAACAATAATATGAACTTTTTCATTTTACAAGATTTAACAATAAAGAAGCTTAGGATATTTTCTCTTGGCAGTCTTTAATAGCTGATGGAACAGAAATTGTTACTGGCTATATATTTTTTATCCCCCTTTTTCTAACAGAGGATTCTAATAAGCCTTGTTGGTCGTTGGGGTAGATCAGTGGTTAAAGTGTTCGCTCGTTATGGAAGGCCAGGGTTCGATTCCGACATGGGTACAATGTGTGAAGCCCATTTCTTGTGTCCCCTGCCGTGATGTTGCTGGAATATTGCTATACACACTCAATCTAATGGGTAATTTGTTATGATGAAATTATTTTTTGAAAATGTATATGAAAAAACATCAGAAAAGCACACCAAACAAAATACAGTGTACATCCGACTAATATCCAAACAAAATCATTTAGGGTGTCGCTAAACTGTCTGAGACCTCAACTTAGGACTTTCCTCCAACAAAAATCTGACACGCTGTGAAATAACTGAAACATTGTTTAAAACAGCATTATAGCCAACCCACTCTCACATATGCCGATACTAAACGAGCGCTTCCAGTAGCGATGATTTAGCACTTTGGAAATCAAAATCAGAAAAAGTTCCGTTTTAAGGCAAATGATTACTACGCTGACCTAGTCGCTAGCCTGTAACACTTGGTATCCCTTCGTATAAATACATGCAGTGACACCGTCAAACAACTAACCTATGACCTTGGCTGTCCTATTGAGGAAGACGGGAGACGGCACCCAATTCCTGGACTCCCACACTAGCTTGAGAATATCCTCCAGGAACACAATGGAAAGAGCATTGAGGCCTGACGAGATCGAGCTGTGAACAAGGGAGTCAGACTTTGGTTATATCCATGAAATGAATATGGGGAGTTAACATTTCTAAAGGATAAAGTATTTACAATAGTTTTAATTTGGAGTTTACTCCATATTAAACATTTGTTGTTATTTTTTTTGTTATTTTATTTATTTATTTTTATTAATTTTTTTTAATTTTTTTTGGGGGGGTGGGGGTTCTTTTGTGTTTTTTTTACTCAATCTTTACTTGTTTTGTTGTTGCTTTTGGGTTGTTTGTGTTTTGTTTTGTTTTTTTTGGGTTTTTTGCGGGGTGTGAGTGATTTTATCTTATCCCACGGGCAAGTAGCCATATGTTGCTGAAGCACTCGTAAAATCTCTTGGTTAACTGGTCAATTTCTATTCGAATCATTGAATGAATGTTGTTGTTGCCGCACTGGGCAGTATTTTGGCTATCATGGCGGTCTGTAGGAACTGGTCTGATGAGCAGTTCATTGGATCAGCATCAGTACCCGAGCAACATCTGACGGAAGCAGTTGTAAAATGTACAATTCTGTTCATTCCCATGCCACGCGGCAAGGTGAATGTCATTCTCCTCCATCGACGGTATCCCAGCTACGTCAATGCAGCATGTACATAATCGAGTCTCGGTCAAATAAACTAGTGGTTGATAACGTGAGCAACGACCCCGTCGCCCGGGTACACATAACAACCACCCGTCTACATACTGCAACTTGTATGTGTACCCGTTTATATTCTATAATAATAAGTCTTCAGCAACCTATGCTTGTCATATAACGGGATCGAGTGATGAGGCTCGCTGACTTGGTTGATGCATGTCATCGTTTCCAATTTGCGTAGATCGATGCTCATGAAATCAATCACTGGATTGTCTGGTCCAGATTCGATTAATTACAGACCGCCGTCAAATAGCTGGAATATTGCCGAGAGCGGCGTTTAACAACAAACAAACAAATAATTTAGTGCGGCATTAGAAAACATGTGGTAGAGATTCGTAATTCCCCGGAATAGCCAGGGGGGGTTTCGTCCTACCTGAGAGACGCGCTAAACAGGCTGGCAACAAACAGTCCGGCCAGGCCAGGTAGTATGGTCAGCTTGTCCATGACCAGGAAAGGCAAGAGCTGAGTGAGGGAGAGTATAGATGAACGGATGAAGGAGTGAATGAATAGATAAACGAATGAATGGCTGCATCCTCGGCAACCAGGGGTATATTATCCACGTAGTTCCGACTGTGGATCGTGGAGGAGATAGTAAACTTCTCACAAAAATCCCAAATTTTTACACACATACCGGTCAGGTCACGAGGGTTTTAGCGACACCTTAGACGACTGGGCCACCAAAGCCCTCGAATGCGTAAACAGACAGTTGTCTACTGTCATATCAACTCAATTACACGACCATGCATAAGCGTAGACATTACTATAAATAAAGACAGACTATATCGAATATATCGAAACTGAATATGTAACATAGACTTAAGATCAGGATAATAACAAGGGCAAAGCATTTTGAACCCATCTCAAACTAAATAGTGAGTGAGTGTGGTTTTACGCCGTTTTTAGCACTATTCCAGCAATATCACGGCGGGGACATCAGAAATGGGCTTCACGCATTGTACCCATGTGCGGAATCGAACCCGGGTCTTCGGCGTGACGAACGAACGCTTTAACCACTAGGCTACCCCACCGCCCCCCTAATGTCTCTAGAAGAGTGTGCGTAGCATCATTGACCTCCTTTGACCTCCTTTGACCTCCTTTGACCTCCCTTGACCTACTGACCTGATCCCTGGCCCTGACATGACCTAGGATGTAGGGGTCACAGTCGTGGTAGACGGCGAAGATGACGAGGCCCACGAAGCAGACGAGACAGGATAAGATGAGCGTGGGCGGGATGCTCATGTAGAGGGCCCTGGAACATATCAGAGAGTGAGTGAGTGAGTTTGGTTTGACGCTGCTTTGATCATAAATCAGCTTAATGTCCGGGTTGTCCCTAAATAATGCATTTTGGGGGATATTCAACCCTTCGGTGAAACCAACTAGCACAGGCATGGTGCTGACAAACCACGGATCATCATCAGGTCGAATCAGGAATTGGAACCCACGAGTATAGGAACCTGGTAATCCAAAGGGACACAACTCTGCACATCACATTGCGGTGCTGTAGACAACTGGGCTTCACGTTCCCTTGGCACACACACCAAGAAACGATAACATGTGTGATGAGCATGTGTTTTGCATGTGCATTTCAATGAAAAAAAGGATTCTAAACCGTTTTACACCAATCCGATTTCACTCAAATCTGAAAGGCTAGCCATTTTATTCCGAGGAACGAACTAGGAGAGTGGCCTGTTGGAGAATGCCCAAATTAAATCGTCAAAAAGAAACGTATCCTCTTAAAAATTGTTTTTTTATTTACCTCGGGGAGATAATGATTCTGAAACAAACTGCTGCTGCTACTGTTGCTGCTGTTGCTACGACAGATCTACGCGACAACTCAGACTTACTTTTGCGAATTGCGTATCTTCTTGATGGCCAGGTATCTCTGGATCGTCGTCTGATTGGCTGCATATATTGTGAGCTGACCTACCCAGGAGCCAATGAGGAGCGACCAGACAGAATGTCGCACAGCGGGATCTGGATCCCAACTATCGAATGAAAAAAAGAGATGCGCGCATTTTAAACCTTTTATATTCATTTACATTTAGATTGTTTAAATGTACACACACATATTATATAGTGCGCCTAAGATAAGATGCGGTTAATCTATCGGATGGTAAGACATCCCATTTGCGTAGATAGATGCTCATGAAGTCAATCACTGGATTGTCTGGTCCAGACTCGATTATTTGCAGGCCGCCGTGAAATGGCTGAAGTGCGGCATTTGAACAGAATCTAACTCACCTATTTTAACCCAGGTCCCAAAGGGGCGACCACAATTGGTCTCGTAAGACCAGCTACTCACTCAAAGAAGAAGATCCGTCCCTTCTCGTTTGCAATCTGCCACACCCGCTCGACCCCGCCCACCTCCATGGACCCCCGCACAGCCACTGCAACCAGGCCCGCCATCACCACAAGTGTCTGGAAGGTGTCTGTCCACACCACGGCTCGCAGACCACCCTGTCAGACACAGACACAGATGCAGACAACATTATTTACTTCAGTCTGAAGTTGAGAAAAGTGATATTTTCACTGCAGTGAACATAACACGGGATATTTCACTGCAGTGAACATAACACTTGATTTTTCACTGCAGTGAACATAACACTTGATTTCTCACTGCAGTGAACATAACACTTGATTTCTCACTGCAGTGAACATAACACTTGATTTTTCACTGCAGTGAACATAACACTTTAATTTTCACTACAGTGAACATAACACTTTGTCGGATCTTTTGACATACAAGAGCCAACTCACCGCAAATTGTCTCCCTTTTTCGGAAGTGTCTGACCCGTACACAAACTGTTGACTTCCTTATTACGTTAGTTCCACATTGACAAGGACAAATAACGACAGATGGTCATTTGTGGAGTAAATATCGCTTCTTGTCGTTTGTTATTCTCTTGAAAATGTTTCTTTATAAATTTCTCATTTAACTTTTCAATCGAGATCGATCGTTTCGCAAAGCGCCATTTTTATCACTTGACCAGAGTGTATTCCTTCGCTTCAAACTACGATGTCGTAGATTTTGAGAATATCTATAAGCTGAATTTGTATAGAATGGTATCCAAATGTATAATAAATATTTTGAGTGACCTCACACACACACACACACACACACACACACACACACACACACACACACACACACACACACACACACACACACACACACACACACACACACACACACACACAACACACACACACACACACACACATAAACACACACACACACACATAAAAGGCGACTAACGGGATCGGCTGACTTGATTGATGCATCTCATCAATTACGTGGATCGATGCTCATGATGTCAATCACTTGATTATCTGGACCAGACTCGATTATTTAAAAACTGCCGTCTTACGGCTGGAATATCGCGGCGTTAAACAACAAACAAACAGAAGAATCATGATTGAGTGGGTTTGGTTGAACGCCGCTTTGAACAGTTTTCCAGGTATATCACGGCGTGTCGGCTTGATGTGGGAGGAAATCCCAAAGTGACGCAGCCCTCTACACACGTGTATGGTGCTGACAAACCTAGAAACATAATCAGGGCGAACCGGGATTCGAATCAACGACCATAGGATTCTGGAGTGCCAAAGGGAGGCAACTCTGAACAGCAAATTGCATGACCTTAGACGACTGGGCCTCCTCATAAAAGGTGAGGTGGAATGGGATTTAACGTCGCGTCCAAGATTATTACACTTATATAGCGATGTGCATGTACGTGTGTGTGTTTGTGTGGCTGCTTGTACTAGTCCTGACTCCTGCCGACTTATAGTGCTAGCTCACTGAGATACTATGCGGCAGTTTAACATGAATACCCCACTCAGACACAGTATACTGACTCCGAGCCGACCAGTCCTTGTTTTAGCCCCTTAATGCCGAACACCAGGCAGGGTAACAACAAGTACCATCTTTTAACGTCTCTTCGTATGACGCGGCCGGGGATCGAACCCCGGACCTTCCGCTCTCCGGGCGGACGCTCTACCACAAGACCACGGAGGCGGCCTGGCCATATGCCTCGCGAACCGGTACATATACTCACCAGCGCTGTATAGAACGTGCACACCATACCAATGATTGCTATACACAGCTCCAGACTCAACCCGGTCACTGGAAGTAAAAAGCAGACACATACAGTGACACCCGTTAATCCGGACGAGTCCTGACTCGGTGCAATCGTTTCTAATAATATAAGTCCGGATTAAAGAGTACAAGTCACTAAGTAAGGAACTATATGCATGATACACCCCAAACAGTGGTTGTCCGGAAAACCAGGTTTCCGGATAAACGAGGTCCTGAATAATGAGGGTTTCACTTAATCTAACACATTACAAGAGAGCTTTGAATAACATATTTAATTGATTTGGTGTTTGAATTTTCCACAGGGGAGAATGTTATCAGTGGAATTATTTTGAGTAATTTCCATTTATAATTTGTATTTCTTGCTGATTGACTAGCTCGTTCCAATATTGGTTTGGTGTAGTCGTTATAGGACATTCACTCGTTAAAGTGAGTAAGTGAGTATGGTTTTACGCCGCTTTTAACAATATTCCAGCAATATCACGGCGGGGGACACCAGAAATGGGCTTCACACATTGTACCCATGTCAGGAATCGAACCCGGTTCCTCGACGAGACGAGCGAACGCTTTAACCACTAGGCTACCCGACCGCCCCTTCACTCGTTAAAAGATAGAGGGTTTCTCAAATCTTTACGCAAGGTTGGTTTGTTGGTTGGTTTGTTGTTTAACGCCGCACTCAGCAATATTCCAGCTATATGACGGCGGTCTGTAAATAATCGAGTCTGGATCAGACAATCCAGTGATTGATATCATGAGCATCGATCCACGCAATTGGGATCGATGACATGTATCAACCAAGTCAGCGAGCCTGAACACCCGATCCCGTTAGTCGCCTCTTACGACCAGCATAGTCGCCTTTTACGGCAAGCATGGATTGCTGAAGACCCATTCTAACCCGGATCTTCACGGGTCGCTTAACGCAAGGAGGTATCGTATCGGAGTAGAAAATGTTGATGAGACTGGTAAGAAAGCCTACCTGAATTAAGCGCCAGAGATGGAGCATAGAGCACGACCCCCATAAACAGAAGCTGCAACAGACATTTTGTGGACATAAATTATAATAAGAACGCAGTTCTAGTTATAAATATTGATTTTCTATTAAAATAAATATACTTAAAAATTTAAAAACATGTTTTTTCACAATATATATAATTTATATATTTTATATAGATGGATTTCAAAGGCTATATTTTGACTTTTTTCTTAATATTTGCCATTCTTTCAAATAATCGTGTGTGTGATTTTCGTCAAGTCCGCCAAGAGAGAGAGAGAGAGAGAGAGAAGGGGAGAGAAAGAGAGTCGTCTCCATTTTCATATCTTTGTGAAAAAAATCACAGAGAGAGAGAGAGAGAGAGGGAGAGAGAGAGAGAGAGAGAGGTCTCCATTGTCATATATCTTTGTGAAATTAAATGTTTAAGTCACAGAGAGAATGAAAGAGAGTCGTCTCCATTTTCATATCTTTGTGTGTGTGTGTGTGTGTGTGTGTGTGTGTGTGTGTGTGTGTGTGTGTGAGAGAGAGAGAGAGAGAGAGAGAGAGAGAGAGAGAGAGAGTCGTCTCCATTTTCATATAATTTTGTGAAATTAAATGTTTAAGTCACAGAGAAAATGACGGAGAGTCGTCTCCATTTTCATATCTTTGTGTGTGTGTGTGTGTGTGTGTGTTTATGTGTGTGTGTGTGTGTGAGAGAGAGAGAGAGAGAGTCGTCTCCATTTTCATATTTTTGTGAAAATATATATGTTTAAATCACAAAGAGTGAGAGAGCGAGAGGGACACGGAGAGATTCGTCTCCATTTTCATATTTTTGTGAAAATAAATATGTTTAAATCACTGAGAGAGAGAGTCGTCCCCATTGTCATATATCTTTGTGAAAATAAATGTTTAAGTCACAGAGAGAATGAAGGAGAGTCGTCTCCATTTTCATATCTATGTGTGTGCGTGTGTGTGTGTGAGAGAGAGAGATAGGGTGAGAGAGAGGGTGAGAGAGAGAGGGTGAGAGAGAGAGAGAGAGAGAGAGAGAGAGAGAGAGAGAGAGAGAGAGAGAGAGAGAGAGAGAGAGAGAGAGACACGTCCGTGACTGTGTTTACAGGGTCTGTATGACAGACTAGGTATACATTACCATGTTGAGCAAGAACAGAAGGGAGGCACACACTCGCACGGCCCGGTTGAAGCGATTTTCTAAATACTGAAATAGACATGGCGGAACGAGTATGAGCTAAAAGAGTGTGTCAACAGCAACGCTTAATGCCCAAGGGTCATCTCAAAACAAATAGTAGCAAGATAAAAAATATAACGGTAGCCCTTGTGATCGATAGAACAAGATTTCCGTAAAACATGAATTAAATATCTATCACTCACAGAAACAATAGTCGGGTCTTGGCCAGACAATCCAATGACAATCAAGTCAGCGAGCCTGACCACCCGATCCCGTTAGTCGCCTCTTACGGCAAGCATGGGTTGCTAAAGACCTATTTTTACCCGGATCTTAACGGGGATGTGTTTAAGTGGGGGAGTTGCGATTGTCTCAGGGGATGCGGTGGGGTAACCTAGCGGTCAAAGCGTTCGCTCGTCCCGCCGAAGACCCGGGTTCGATTCCCCACATGGGTACAATATGTGTTGCCAATTTCAGGTGTCCCCCGCCGTGATACTGCAGGGATATTGCTAAACGCGGCGTAAAACCATACTCACTCACTCATTCGTCCCAGTGCTGTACGATCACTTAGTGGAACTGGTCCCAGGGATTATAACGAATTATTGTTTAACCTCGGTTATTAAAACCGCTCTAAATCCCATCTGAGAACGTCTTTCAATTTCGATCATAAATGCCATTCCCCTCAAGGGCCGGTCGGATAGGTGAGGTAAGGTGAAATGGGGTTTAACGACGCGACAAAGATTGTTACACTTATATAGCGACGTGCATGTACGTGTGTGTGTGGTTGCTTGTACTAGTCCGCACTGATGCCGATTTATAGTGCTAGCTCACTGAGATACCATGCCGCAGTTTAACATGAATACCCCACTCAGACACAGTATACTGACTCCGAGCCTACCAGTCCTTGTTTTAGCCCCTTAATGCCGAGCGCCAGACAGGGTAACAACGAGTACCATCTTTTAACGTCTTTTGGTATGACGCGGCCGGGGATCGAACCCCGGACCTTCCGCTCTCCGGTTGGACGCTCTACCACTAGACCACGGAGGCGGTCTGCTTCAGTCGAATGTTCACCTACGTCTGTATTGAACCACAGGACCGTGCTTTCGCTCGTAGATACGTTTTGAAACAACTTGTCGTAAGATCAATGATATCTGACAGACACTCGTGTAGTATCTCTGTATCAGACCACTGTGGCCGACCTGGTGATCTTTTGATGTTAGGCAGTATGTAAGTGTGTCGGGATGTCAGGATATGAGTATGTCAGGATGTGCGTTTGTGAGATGGCATTGTTGTTAAAGCATTTGTCTGGACGCGCGGAAGACCAGAGTTCAATATTCCACATGGATACATTTTGTTGAACCTATTCGCGGTGACTCGAGCTTTTTATTAACTCTAACGTTGCCAACAGGGACAGGATATTCAACTCATCCAATCACTATCCCAATTCAGCTTGCCGAGAGATTTAGTCCTACCGGCATATATAATGATTAGTATATACAATATACTACGTTTATAACGAACACGCTTATAACGAACTGGCGGTTTAACGAACTGTTTTTTTGGTCCCGGACATTTGCTGTATATATGCTTATAACGAATCACGGTTATAACGAACTAAAATTTGTGGTCCCTTTGAGTTCGTTATAACCGTAGTTTACTGTATTTTGTATGAATACTGTTATGAAGCATGGCCCGAAGTAACCGTGCACTAGATTATGTTTGAAATAGACACGTGTTATCGACATGATAAAGCTACCGACAGGCGAGACTTGTTATCAGAGACACTGGCGAGTGATTGTACACTACTGTTTATGTTTTCACAATACCTCATTTGTGAGGCTTCTTTTGAACTAACATGCATTACGGATTTTCGGCCGAAATAGAAGAATTTAAAACTGTCGGTCAGCTTAAATACTAGGGAATGGAGAACGTTTTTATTTTTAAAGGAAAATCCAAAGGGTTACTTCCTTTCTTGTAATGACCTATTTTCAGGGGTGAGATACTTGTAAATTATTCTATGACAGACACAAAGTTGCTTCCCTTTTACGCGTCAGGATCAAGTCAACGTGACTTCGAATCCCAAATATAGACATCGGTCTGTCAGATTCATTTTATCGTCAGTGGGTCGTACATTGAATTACTTAACGTCTTCGAAATTAATCACATTGGGATCTGATTCATTATCAAGTTGAAATAACGTTCACACCTTACTCACTCACTCAGTACCGGATAAATACAACCGTATATTGACAGCCGCACAAAATGTCTCCCTCCTTATATTCCGCGTACGGGAGACCAAGTCGGTCCCTAATCGTGCCAGGATCCTATGAACGTGGGTTCGAATCCCGGTTCGCCCCAATTATGTTTCTAGGTTTGTCAGCACCATACCCGTACTCGTGGGTTTTATCAAAGCGGTAAACGTCTGAGACCTGCATCATTTCGGGGTTTCCTACCAGCTGACGCGATGTAACTGAAGCATTGGTCAAAACGCGTCACAGCAAACTTAAATGTGGTCAACTGAAACATAATTGTTTAGAAAAGCCCGGACCCTTCTATGGAGTTCTGGTCTATACATGCTGACCAGTGACTGAAAGAGGTTCTTGATGTTTTCCCCATAGGACAAACATTCGCTGTGCAGAGTTGCATCCCTTAAGCGTGCCAGGATTCTATGATGGTTGGTTCGAAGCCCAGACTCGCATTTGTAATGATTCATGGCTTGATTGGGAATATATCCGTGTCCTTGGACCCTATCAGTGATAAACAGCAAAGGCTTCCTATTACATTAAAGGTGCAGTTTGGTAGCCTATTAGTTAAGCGTTCGCTTGTAACGCCGAAAACCCGGGTTTGATTCCCCACTTGGGTACCATGTGTGAAGCCCATTTTTGGTGGCCCCGACATGATATTGCTGGAATATTACTAAAAGCGGCGTAAAACCAAACTCACTTACTGACTCCCATAACGAGATCGGGTGGTCAGGCTCGCTGACTTGGTTGATACATGTTATCGATCCCAATTGCGTGGATCGATGCTCATGATATCAATCACTGGATTGTCTGGTCCAGACTCGATTATTTACAGACCGCCGTCATATAGCTGGAATATTGCTGAGTGCCGCGTGAAACAACAACAAACAAAACATTAAACTGACAAGTTGTAAGATACTGAAATACTGTTCAAAGCGGCGTTAATCACACTCACTAACTCACTCTCACCTCATAGGCACTTGTAAGGTTGAGCTTGTGGAAAAATGGCAGGAATACGTGGTTTGTCATGACAGCGGTTGGTATCATTGCCCAAGAAGCGATCCAGAAACTCGTATTGTTGTTATACATCTCCGTGGGAGTCCCAAGTACCGTAATGGCGGACATAAAACTAGCCATCAAGGACATCGCGATTGGAAACACGCCTATGTCCCTACCACCCATCAAAATATCGTCTGGTGTGGCCTTCTCAGCAGCCCTTGCTTCGCGAATCATATAAAAGACTCCGATTCCAGCCGAAATCACCAACATACTCACAAACAACACAATGTCCGGCCACCCAAAACTTCCTACGAGCTCGCCTGGACACAACTCGCAGACGTTTTTGCAGACGTCGTTTTCGGCCATCTTGAATTTTTCACGTCTTGTCTCACCAATTTTTTTTCATGTAGAAAATATATCAGTCGATAATCTCAACAGATTATAGACCGATGCTATTGAAATTAATATGTCGCAACATCGATGTCTTGTCAGAAAGTCTCCTATTTGCGTGACAGGGGGTGGACAATCTGTGGACGCTTCTATTTCATACCGTGTGTGTCATTTCTAAGTCATGTCCAACCCACCTTTGGTCATGTAGTAGATCCTGCCAGCGGTGGACAAGTGATAGCAGTGCCCTGTCAATCACAGACGCAATATAGGTTAAATCTCCAGAATGTTGTTAGTGAAATGTACATAATCTTGTCAATTTCACTCACGGGTGTTTCAAACACTGTCGTTAGCATGTTCACCTATACAGCCATATCCTAGCCGGTAAAGCAGCTTGAAATGCACGATGAGACTTGGTTGTCGATTTCAAAATCGAAGCCTTAATACGGAGTTGTGAGTAAAAGCTTGCTTGGGTCACCCGGCCGAGTCATATCTGAAGTATGTTATCTCGCATACGTGCGTCTCCAGATACAATGTCACAGATACACACAGATTATGAAGGTAAAGCTAACAGACAACCACTGTCGGATGGGGGTTTGTTCGACCTGCTGAAAAAGATAACACGGAAATTCAAGGAGAGGCGCAATGGTGTAATAGTTATTTATAAACAGAATTACAGGGGTGTTAAGCTGTGTTCAAATTACACTCCTGGTATATTTTATTCAAGTTGTACAAAACCAATTCGTTTATCTTGAAATCCGAGTATTATTATGTGTTTTGAATTAGAAGTTAATGATTCTCTAAATGCTTTGAGACAGCGTCTCAGTGTCAAACAGCGCTCTTGCAAAGACCTGAGTGAGTGAGTGAGTGAGTGAGTGAGTGAGTGGAAAATGCATTCAACCTATAACGTTTACACGTGCCCTAGTTACCGTCACACAAATCCAACAAACATTTTCAATAACATTCCAAGATAATTTATTAGAATTATTTTTGACTTACTTACACAGACAAAATTTATGCTGACTTTTAAACGGCAATATGACCTTCAATCCTACATGAAATCCATGAAATGTTGTCTGAAGTGAAATAAGTTATTAAGGAATTGAGTCATGAAATATAACTGAAATATTGTTAAAACCCAACTCACTCACACATCCAAGCTGAATACAGATTGACCGGCTTAGGTTTAATACAGCTTTATGCCATTGTAAAATACACTCAAGATTGTTCCAATGTGTTTTGTAGTTTTTTGCGTTTTTCTGATATAATTATTAACTAAATATAATGGAATTATCATAATGTTTTCATGTCCTAAAGTACATCTACAAACAATCAAACCCTGTAGACGTTTACGTGTCTGACTGAACACTGACAACTACAGAGCAGGCTGACCCGTGAAGATCCGGGTTAGAATAGGTCTTCAGCAACCCATGCTTGCCGTAAGGGGCGACTATGCTTGTCGTAAGAGGCGACTAACGGGATCGGGTGGTCAGGCTCGCTGACTTGATTGATGCATGTCATCGTATCCCAATTGCGTAGATCGATGTTCATGATGTCAGTTACAGGATTGTCTTGTCCAGATTTGATTATTTACAGACCGCCATCATATAGCTGAATATTGCTGAGTGCGGCGTAAAGCAACAAACAAACAAACAAACGAAAGAACCAATACAACTTCAGAAAAACTACAACTACTTTTGTCGGAATTGTATACTTTGAGGTGAATGGTAGCATTGTTTATCATCCAATTCTGACCGATTTGATATGGCACGCTTGGTTGACACTCATTTCTGTGCCGTCCAGCAGAACGGAACCATCAACAAAATCAACACCGACATTGAGATTATGTCCCACACCCTTGGCTCGTTTAAGTAAACTGTGGAATGCCTTGTTTTTATCATGAGTCTTGACATGCCTCACAAGAGGATCATCAGACAAATAAATGTGTGCATAAGTGCACAAAACAATTCTATCACGAAGAGCCCCGACGTTAATCAAACCACGCCCTCCCATCATGATTGGTAAATATAAGCGATTGAGGGAAGAGCGGGGTTGGTGGGATCTATTGTCTGACATGATTCTTCGTGTGAGGGTGTCAATACCCTGAATTTCTTGTTTCGTCCAATCAACAACACCAAAACAATATGAAAGGATGGCTACAGCTTTTTTGTGGCTTTCACTTTATTGCGAGCGTTCAGCTCTGAACTCAAGATTTTCTTAAGTCTACATTTGTACTCTGCCCGAAGTTTTTCCTTGATATGGGCATTCTGGTTTTTGTCCCTAATCTGCATCCCTAAGTACGTATAGGCCTGACATTCCACGAGATGGTCAATACCTCCCCCAAGTAAGCTGACTGACCCTCCCTCTTCTACCTTGCTACGTTTTAGATGACGAATGTTGCACTTTTCGAGTACAAAGGACATGCCGATATCATTGGAAATGGACTCGACAAGCAGAATCTGTTTAAAAAAAATAATTTTTTATCATTATTATTATTGTTGTTGTTGTTGTTGTTGGTAGTAGTAGTAGTGGTACACACTTCACTGTCTGTCGTGTGTGAATTAAGTATAAGGAAGTGACAAAAAACAATGTTCCATCATTAACAGCGCCCTAATTTGTTTTAAAGGCTACTAGCGATGTTTTCTTCATTGTGATCGTAACCCCACTCAAAACATGGCAGCCTATGCCGCTTCACTCAGTATATTCCCAATAGAGTTCGCGTTTAATTTTGTCATGGTGATATGGTGGGCGTAATTCTAAAGCGCCCGTTTCCAAATTAAAATTAGAGGTATCTAATCTATAATGGAATTACCTCCAATTTCTAAGGGCGATTGGGTAGCCTAGTGGTTAAATCGTTCACTCGTCAAGTGAAAAGTGCCGGGTTCGATTTCCTGATTGGGTACAATGTGTGAAGCCCATATGGGTGTCCCCACCGTGATATTGACGGAACAACGCTAATGGCGGCGTAAAACCACACTCACTCAATCACTCAGTCATTCCAATTTCAAAATACAATATCTTAATCTTGTTATTGATATATACTATACTAGTTAGCCATTTCATAATTGTCATTTAATATCTGGGTACTTTTTGTCAAAGTTTCTAAAATTTAACATTACCGGAAAAATGAAATTTTATGATAAAGAAACAAAGCAGATGACAATAAAACCGATCGCACAAACGCATCACGGCAACGGCCATGGTAACCTGATGCATGTGAGTTCCGTGCAAATTAAAATGCACATGCGTTCCCCCATTTCTTGCCCTATAAAAATCCACCCAGATCGGATAACATTCATTCGTTATTGAATTGCTACCACATACATGCATCAAGATTGACAAGAAATCAGCGACATCAAGCCCATGGACGATTGCAAGCTGGACAAACCGCCTGGCAAGTAGCCAATGCATTTCAAGTCCACGTAAGGACCATATACAGGCTCCAGCAACGGTACCAGACCACCAACACTACAGATGACCGACCACGTAGTGGAAGATCAAGGGTCACCACCCGACGTCAGGATCGTCAGATTGTGCGACAGCGTCTTCAAGATCGCTTTGTTACTGCTGCGGATACTGCTCGACAGACCATGGAGACACACCAGCGACACAGTGCGGACACCGTGCGTCGACGATAGACGAGCAGACACCTCCACTGTCACAGGCCACACCGAGGACCCATTCTGACACCACGTCATCGCCGGAACCGTCTTCAGTGGGCAACACAGCACCAGCATTGGCGCCACCAGCAGCGGAGAAGAATCCTCTTCTCGCCAACACTGCGAGAGCAACAAGAGACCTCCTCCAGCAGAATGGCATCAGAACCATGCTGTGGCCTGCACTCAGTCCCGATTATAATCCCATCGAGCACCTGTGGGACGAGATTCAAAGACGGCTGAATGACGTCCGACCAAGGCCGACAACTGCAGCTGAACTGCGTCAGGCGTTCCTCAGAGTATGGGCTCAAGTGCCTATGGCCTTCATCAACCGCCTCATCCATTCCATGTATCGACGTTGCACGGCAGTCATCAATGCACATGGCGGACACACGAGATACTGACTTGTGATGCCATTTTCTCAGAGGCTGGTGTTGTGTTTCACTTTAAGAACATTTGACACTTTAATTTCAACCTTGATGATCAGTTTTGCCAAGTTTCATCTTTTTAATATGTCTCAAAGTACGTTTACAGTGTTTGAACAAATAAGGTTTCTCATATATCTATCCACGGTGACGTCTCTTTGGCGGTTCAGTATATAATAACACACACAGAGAACATCACATGGCCGGTGTATTAACCTTACCTCTACTATATTTGCTATGCTATTTCACTGATTAAGATTAACGCGAGTGTTTCAGGTGAGAATTATCCTCAGCATCCACTATTGTCATCAATTGTCTTCATTAATCAACACATCAGTTGAGAGAAACGTGATAATTTTTTCTACGCGTCACTCGTACAATGCGTCGTGAGGTATCTAATTATCATATTTAGGTGTGTTTTCATCATACTTCGCAGGAGCTCCACGGTTTGTTATGTGGGCACTGCCCGTGACGGGGGCGTCAGTTGTTGTTTGCAACATCACGGGGACGGAAGAAGTGAAATACTGTGATCACATATCCTACGTTTGGACTAAGCCAATTATACCCAATTCGTCGTCCGTGGAAAACGGGAAAATGAAAAGTGAGTATATATTTTCCTGGAATACATTCTATAATTATATCATATATATTTTTATTTGTTGGTTTGTTTCTTTGTTTAATGCCACATTCAGCATATTCCAGTTATATGACGGCGGTCTGTAAATAGTCGAGTCTAGACCAGACAATCCAGTAAATGACAGCACTACGATGTTATGTACCTAGCAAACTATCCTTGTCCTAAAAGGCGATTTAATGGGTTGGGTGGCCAGGCTCGGTGACTTGGGTAATGGAATGTCTTCGTATCCCAATTCCGTAGATCGATGCTCATGATGTCAATCACTGGATTGTCTGGTCCAGACTCGACTATTTACAGACCGCCGTCATATAGCTGGACTATTGTTTGAGTTCGGCGTTAAGTGCGGCGACAAACGAAAGACTTAACATCTTTATACAAAAGTCATGTCACAAATATATAAAAATCTTGATTTTCTATTTAAACAAATTTTACCTTTCTTTCAAGGGGAAAATCAATCTAACGTTCATCAGAAGAAATGGAACAATTTCTAGAGATTTGAGAACATGGAACTTGACGACATTGCATTGAATTTGTTTCCAAACTCAAGCCATACACGGTTCACTTGAGAAGAACTGGAAGTCAAGGGTAAAATGTTCTTGTGAAGACGTGTCTGATGTGATTCCAACGCACCTCTAATCACTGGTCACTGACTTAAACATGAAGTCTATTACTGACGGACATAAAGGAGTCCTTCTAGATGGCATATGTTTATTTATACACACATCCCTCTTATAGCTTCTGTACAATCCCTCTTAACACTGTTTTTCAATGAGCG